ATAATATTAAAAACAAATGTTTGTGAGGAAATGACGTCAACGTCATTAGACGACGTCAAAAGTCCCTCGCTTTTTAAAATAAATTATACATTGTCGCTGAACAATGTTTTCAAACGATTTTTTTAATTCTATAATGAAAACCAAAACATAAATGAGCACATGCAATAAAAAGGTTATAGAACAGGTCTGGTGTGCCTTAATGCGATATGGGTCTACAAGATCGGTATAGCCCTCGGGCTCTTTTAGTGGCCAAAATCGAAATAAAGGCACATCAGACCTCTGTAATAACCTATAAATATATCCCGCCTCTAAACCAATGAAAATTCGTGAACTTTATTAGCAGTATTATAATTGCGGCTAGTATTGTGCAATGTGAGTTTGCTTTTAGTCTTCTTGGAATCCATGTTGTTATTCATTACTTTATATTCTAGCATAAAACTGCCGTTATAACCATGATTTCGGGTGTTTTAACAGGACCAAAAAGGTCTTTTAACAAGGAGATTCTAGCGCTCATGCGCTGTTAAAAACACCTTTTTGATATACGTTTTCCGTGGCACAGCGTCAATACATTGTGCCCGGACGCTGCTTAACTAAAACGGAAATGACGTCACGGTCACATACAACGCTGACGTTCCCGTGCAATCCGAGGAAAATCAGTGATGTTGCTTGATTGTGTATGGATTGTGTTAGATTTATGCATGCTTTATGCTAGAATAGCGTTAACGAATGATTGTTCCGTGTCATAACAACTGCTGAAACCCTCGGGATACGTTGGGTCGGGTACCAACTAATCCCTTGGGTTTCTACAGATATTTTAACACGAAAAAAGAAACATGCGTTATTCCTATATTATATCAGAGTTCTTTAGTACTGACGGCTCATCTAGGGTTCAATATGGCGCGGTTCATATAGTTATTTTACCAGTAATATCTATAAAGGAAAGGTTAAATGAGAATCATGAAGGAAGTGAATAAATAAACTTAAAGAAAACTTAACATTTCTTGTAGAATATGATTGGTCTTGCGAAGCTATAATTACACGAGGTCATTCAAAATATCTTGCAAGCAAATTCGCTGAATTAATGTTTACCGCCGACAGCATCATATACTGATTGAAAATTAAACAATTGCAGGATACATTTCGAATAAAGACTCCGGGGAAATAGTCGGTTAAAGCATAAATTATCAGGGCCCATATCACTCAAGGTCACGGCGATAATGCACATGCCCTTTTTGTATTGAAGGTTCCCACACAATTAAAATTAGATATATTTACATTTGAAGACATGAAATACTTAAGTTATCTGACTGAATATTAAGCAACCAGGGGGTCTTAACTTCGGGTAAGTGCCGTCACATCTCCGCTTGGTATTAGATGTTACCCACATAGTTTTGTTTAAAATTATTCAGCAGATTTGTTGAAGAATAGGGCTGTGAATTAATGCTTTTCTATGAACAATAAATGATAATAAATTATGGATCATAAACTCTGTATTAAACGCCAAACGGGAAATACTGATGATGATGATGATGATGATGATGATATGCACATCTTGTTTGTTTGTTTATGTGTGTTTATCTAAAGTCGCCGCCGAAAGCCCATATAAGCGACCGTACCCTCAAGTCGACCAAATCCTTTAGTGTCCCGTCGAGATTTTTCGAGATGCGCATCTCCTCTTTATATTAAACTAAATTTCGTTGAAATTCCTAGAGCGCAGAAAAGCAATAGTTCTATATACAGTGTTTTATAAATAACAACAACAACAAGGGGCAATAAGTCTGTTTTTAAAAAGAAATGGAGATATGCTGGTTATATGTGCAACTGGTTTGTGAATGAAGGTTCCTACAAAGTTGCAGCATCGATATCCATCCAGAAGTTGCTGAAAAATAGCGTGGAACGAAATGATTCCATATACAGTGTATAATAACTAATCAATGGCCGGATAGTGCGGGAACTAAATCTGGACTGACAGGCGGACGAACACGCTAAAACAGTCCCATCACTCCGATTTCATCAGCGGGGAGGGGATAAAAATGTCTGTAGTTTAGTTCCAATAATTGATTTCAGTCCTAAAAATTTGTGACGTTTGTGACTCAGTGAAAAGCATTGAAGAAAACAATATTTATCTCAAATTTGTGACATTTGTGATTTTAAACTCGTGACGAATGTGATTGTCTAAAACATTGGATCACATGCATCACAAAATTTGTGACGAATGTGATCTCATTCTTCACAATTGTGACGAATGTGATTTGTGACACATGTGGCCTTACACAGCTATTGACAAAAATGAAATAGTTGGTTCAATTTTCCTTGATCTCTCTAAAGCTTTTGACTATGTGGATCACTCTATTATTATTGAAAAGCTTAGAATGTATAACCTAGACCCTTCATCAGTTGCTTGGTTTTCCTCCTATTTAGATTGCAGATCCCAACAAACTTACATATCCGGTTTATATTTAGAGTCAAGTTCAGTAACTACTGGAGTTCCCCAGGGCTCAGTGCTAGGTCCTATACTGTTTTTAATCTATATCAATGACCTGCCTTTGTCTATGGAAAAAACAGAAACTGATATTTTTGCTGATGACACCACCCTTTCAACCTCTGATGTATCCCTAAACAGAGTAGTTGAATCTCTTACTCATGATATTTTAAATGCCAACAAATGGTGTGATTTGAATTGCATGTCTATCAATGTTAACAAAACTAAGGTCATGTATATTTCCTCAAAACACAAGCAAAATTATATTCATGAAAGTAAATCTTGTATTTTATATAAAAGAGAGCAAATTTTTTGTAGCTCTGAAGAAAAATTATTGGGTATTACAATTAATAACACCTTGTCTTGTCTTATTATCACGTATCAAATTATTCATATCTATACTTGTACGTAAAATGTTTAACAATGCATATATTTTACCACATCTTGATTATTGTTGCATAATTTACGGTAACTGTACGTCCTTTCTAGAGGATAAACTCATTAAGTTCCAAAAGAGAGCTGCAAGACTAATTCTAGACAAAGATTATTACACTCCATCTGCTGAACTTTTTTCTGAACTCCGTTGGATGACCTTTTCACAGAGGGTTGTTTTTCAAAAAATTATTATGATGTTTAAAATAATGAATAATCAGGCGCCTTCCTATTTATTGAATAATTTCATTTTATCGTCAGATGTTCATACTCGCATTTTGCGTTCATCATCTGATTTTCAACTTTATACCCCTAGACCAAATTCTGAACAATTTCGTAAGTCTTTTGTTTATTCTGGATCTTGTATTTGGAACGGCCTTCCTGATTATATTAAGTCTGCTACATCTGTTTACCATTTTAAAACCTTATACTTGAGGTTTTATCACGCATTGATGTATACAAATTGATAATCTCCTGTATGTATTTACATTTATGTATTTTAATAGTTTGAATATGTTAAATTTATATTGTTCCTTGTTGAGGGCCTCATAGAAGATTCAAATGAGTTTTCTCGTTAAATAAAGTCTTTATTATTATTATTATTATTTTTTTTTTTTTTTTTTTTTTTTAAAGAAATATTGTTTTATAAGATTTTAGATGGTAAATGTAGGTTTGCCCCCATAATTTTGTGGTCAATTCTCGAAATAGTTGTGGCAGAATGCCATAAATTATAATACATATAGAAAATTATTATACATAAAGAATAGGAAATGCTTGGTAACGTATAACGTTGCCATTTTACATGTAGTAAGGTTTAACCGTTTACCAATGATTTCGTGCACACAACCAACGGTCTATAGGGAAATATACAAAATATTTCATTCTTACAGATATTTTTGAAGTATTTTTTCTCAAATTTCAAACAATTATTTTGTAAACCATGTGGCATTAATTATAAAGCTTCACAAACTATGCTATACAGTAAACACTATGTTAAAGACAACCACTGATTAAATATCACCCTGTAGATAAAGGCCACTCTTCGAAAATCCTTAATTGATTACAAAATAACAAAGTAACCTGCAAATAAAGCCCACTTGCCTGTAAAGACCATATTTAATATCTCCATACGATGACCGTAATTCACAGGTTTGGCTGTATTAATAACTGGTGGCAACGTTTATAAATGCTGCTGAAAAATACTACGCATTCTTGTTTAGGAGCTAAAATTGGTGGGGATGTTGTCAAGAAGAAGAAGTAAATAAGATATTTTTGTTCACGCCCTTTAATTGTTACTTTTCCTGTGTGTATTAATTTTCGCCAGGAGATATTTAATATTGAAGTTAGTTATGACAACGAAAATAGCGCCGCGAGGTAATTTAGCCAAATTGTACCACGTTTCTGTCTGTCAAAGTGATGTTTTGTTGACGGCTTTAACTGAACAACTGTCAACTTCTGAGCAGGTAAATTGAAAAATATATATCTATATAGCTGTATACGCTATTGTTTTATGAGTTTCGTTAGTATTCATGAAAATTGAGACTCGTCACAGGGGCTCCCTAAAGGAAATGAAAGAAAAAAATAAAACTAAATTTTCTGTATAGCAAAATATTATATAGAACAATAGAAAAAAATGGCAGGCGCAATCATTGACTAAGAACTATGATTTTCGTCGCTATGGTATTCGCATCACAAGAGAAACTGTTGCATGAAAATATATATATATATTTAAAACGTAATTCAACGTATTTTAAATTTACAAATTACAATAAAAAATAAACCATAGTCGGCCCAAATCGAAATGGAGATTGACTTTTGCCTGGTATGAATTAACAAACCGAGATTGAATAATAATTTATAATTACATAGCGTAACATTTCTTCATAAAATATGTATTGTTAATATGCAACGATTTTTGTTAGTATAATAATAAATATTCTGAATGTCACAATTTTAATAGACATGTACGATAAAACAACATTATATTTGGCTCAGAAAACGCTGTGCGCCCCACAAAGTTGTCATAGCATCAACTAAAAATGTTACGTCATTGTCACATTAGCCAATCAAAACGTCGCATTTCATTCACCATCCTCCCAACGAGATCAAGTGTGCGACAGAGGGTTGTCAAACTCATCAGAAATTTCTTGACTTTTTTTTACACCGTTGCTTTTTTTTACATAAGTAGATTGATCCATTGAAAAAAAAATATCGGGAGAAACTGACGGACGAATAAGCCACGGTGAATTAGCACGCTCGGTTTTGTGTCATTCCAGACCACATAGGGTTGCCAGAAAGTCGCCATGAAGGGATTAATCTATTTATTTGGAATTTTGTGTTTTATATATTATACTTACTCTAAGCCTAATGGAGCCCCTCAAGACTCGTGCTTTTACATGACTCCGAGGCATATTCACCCGCATACCTACAGGAGAGTGTTCCCGACTAAAGCCATGGGACTTTATAATATAACAACATCGGCGGACGTGTTTCGACCAGATAGGCCAATACGAGGTTGGTATTTCTGCTCAATCGAACATATTTTCACCCGCTTTTTCTCTTGTTACATAAGACAACAGATTTTTATGTATAAGCAGCTGCAGAATATTGTACATGTAAATTTCGCTTAAAAACAAACGAAACTACATACTTAGGCATATCAATTAAATATGAAAACGAAAATGAAAAGTTGTTAAGTACATCTCAATAAATGAGACTTTTAAAAACAAAAAAATTATTGAAATCTGATTGTATGATAATATAAACTTTTTGTTTAATTTGTTTTGTTAAAATACAAAAAAACGTCTGCATTTAATGCATGGTAAATATGAAAACGAAAATGAGAACTTGTTAAGTACATCTCAATAAATGAGACTTTTAAAAACAAAAAAATTATTGAAATCTGATTGTATGATAATATATACTTTTTGTTTAATTTGTTTTTTAAAATACAAAAAAAAAAAACGTCTATGCATTTAATGCATGGCGAATAACTTAAATCTTACATATTAGAATATTTTAAAGCTCATACAAAAAATAAAAATAAGCGCAATTAAATTGCTTACAAAAAATAAAAAATGCACTTAAGATTGAAAAAAACAACAACTAAGTTGTTAGCCTTCAAAACAAACGTATCGTAAAGATCTTATGAAATATATTTCGGTAATTGTAAAATAAGCTCAGGTATTTTCAAGCAAAGGCTAAATGTCATTTTTCAATTGTTATCTGTATATAATTTAATGAGCATTTTATATCATATTCAACGGTGTTTGCTGTAAAATTTCATGCGTTTTAAATGTCATTCTTAACACGTAACATGCTTTAAAATCTTATGTCTTAAGCATTCGTTGCGCATTTACACAATTAACTCCGCGAGAAAGAACAATTTATTTCTTTTTACTCGTTTTTATTAGTTTTCAACGTCATTTATAAGATGTTATTCTCTATATAGATATAATTTCCAAACGCACACTAACACTTATACTCGTTTTTCTAAAACCAAAACATAAAGCCGAATCGATTCTGTTAATTACTGGTTTCATTGCATATCAATTAATTCGACAATCAGTATCATTTTATTAGAATTGCTGACCAAATGTAGGCACAATAAACGGACTTTATAAATATTGTTTTCCTCACTTATCTTCCTAACATTTAATATTGCCCCCTGGTGGATAAAGAGTTCTTAAAGGACTGAGGTCCAAAAGCTTAAAATAAAACAAATTAATTTCTTACACGTAACTAGTGCTTTTAAAAAAAGAAATGCAAAAGATCATTAAGATATATACTCAGTAATACATTGAAAATTGTATTGTTGCCCTATTCTTAGCAACGCTGATCATTTCACAATATAGTCTGATAGAGAATTATTATTCTGGAAAAAAAACAGAGAAAGCGAATGATCTGACATTATGCAGACGGGTTATTGGTCTAGACCGACATCAAATGAAACATAAATGTCGAAAAAAATATTTACAAAGCGTCATGTCAGAAAAACACGAGTCGAGTCCCTTTAAAGGAAGTTGAATACAATTCTTTTATATGAAAGTGAGATCTATGTAAGGACCTGAATGTATGTTAAGGTAGAACTAATGTTATACATACAGTCAAATGTTTTGAAGAAAGGAAAAAGACCTTGACCAGGATGTATGCATGTACACTATATGCTTGCATTAATTCATTGTTCACCTGCTGTAGATAACGTTATTTTTATCAAACTGTCAGAATGTCAGTAATCATTATCCTATCCTTGCAATTCCCACGGGTTCTTCGGTCTTGACCCATCGTTGTCATTCGACCAAGAATAAATTCACTGCGCATTTCCCGACAGTGCACCTTGGCAATTGTACAACTACATGTGTATAAAGTCTGACGTGTCTAATTAGGAGAATGTTGTGCGTAAAAATGTTATACATTCAATGTTTGAAGCTGCTAGTTTTTGTACATGAAGAATTAATTGTGGGGAAAAGATGACAGCATTGCAAAGTTGCATTGTGCGTCATCCTTTATTTCTAAATGAAAATGGACAGGTGTTGTTGGTCAACATCAAGCATTGAAGTATTAGATTTCGTTTCCAATTTTCACGAAAGCTGAAATTGAAATTGAATACCCGGATGAACATGAAATAAGTTATACCCGGATGAACATGCCCTTGTCTTGCTGCATGCATTTTTCCAGATGTCCTGCCATTATACTCTGAACGAAAGAAGTTCTTATCCCCATCAGCATTCAATAAATGATTAAATGAATAAATAAATAAATAAATAAATAAATAAATAAATAAATAAATAAATAAATAAATAAATAAATAAATTAAATTTTGATCATAATTCCACATCAAAATAGTACAGCTGTTATGATATTCAGCGGTTTAGGACATCGTTATCAATAAAAAAAGATTCTAAAAGCATTTGACATGTCACCAATCTGTTCCAACCTTAATATGTCTCCATGCTTCTCAACTTGACAAAAATAAATTTATGTAACACGAGTTTGTAACTTAACAATAGCATTATTGTCAACACCAGTGATTCATCCACTATCATACATAACACCAGAAAGCAACAGTAAGACATGATGTTGATTTTTTACGTGTATACGTATTAAACTTGCGGTCAAACAATAACACGCATACTTCCATTTTGACGGACAGCTATATCAAATATGTCATAAAGCAGGGACAGACATTCCAGTTTGGTTCAAGATCATAGGTCATAGACCAAAAATGAAAGTTCAATGTTGTACATCACTGGTTCAGATGTTTTGTAAGCTTGTTATAAAACAGTAAAAAAATCAATATTTTTCTTCATTTTTATTTTGCAAATGTACTAGTATTTCTTATCACCTTGCTACAGTTAGAAATAAGTCTGAATCATCCATTTTGTTATACTACATTTAAATAGAGCATAAAGTCGATTCCACTTATAACGAACACGCTAATAACGAATTATCGTTAATAGCGAATGAAATCTGAAATCCTTATTTATTTTATATTAAATCACATCGCTTGATACGTACTCGCTTAAAACGAATTTTCGTCTATAGCGAACCATAGTAAATGTTATTCAAATGAAATAATATTCATAATCAGTTCTGACAATAAATTTGATTTGGTTAAATGTCACCTTTACAGGAGGTGTTCAGGATACGGTATGGGGTACGCCAACTCTATCAGTGTCATAATTATACCAAAGGTCTAGCAATACAGCATTACATAGCAGGACACATTACAGGATACAATGTCAAAATCTAAAGTCTCTAGATATTCTAAACCACAAGGATGATGGAAGAGGGGAGGGGGCGGGGGTGAGGGGCAAATGACATTTAAAAATGTGAATCATTTTCAATTTCTTGAATTATATATGAAACAATATAATTGATATATTAAACGAGCCCTTCCAGAAAATATGTCTAAAACCTTAATATTATATATATATTTATATACATTCATCACAAGCCGCTTTGCTACTTTCCCCTCGACGTTGTTAACAATGTAGTTAGGTAGATCTTATCACAGTGGTAGTATTTTATTGTTGACGGACTCATTTGTGAAGCTGATTTAGTGAAAAACAGTGTACAACTTGTTAGACAATAATTTTCATGTTGACAGGCTAATTCGTTATATACGGTTTACTTATGAAACTTAAAGCCCACCTTTGGTATTTCTTCCTAGAAAATTAATAAGGTTTTGGGAGGTCACGAATATAGGTCCGCATCTTCAACTCGCATATTAAAACTAAGGCAAATGACTGTTTTTCTTATTGTTAAAGGGACATAACTGATGTCTAAAAGGCTAAAGACATTGAATTCAAATTATTTACACATATCAACTTGGATACTAAAAACAAAGATGTGCTTTAGAAAATTAAGAAATAAACTCAGAAATTAATGGAAAATTGTATTTGTGTGCTATTTTATGCCCGATTTTACTGAATAGTGTTGCAATTAGAATGTTTGTTCTGAAAAATGAAAGTGAGGGAAAGATCTGAAATTTTCGCCCAGACCTACATGGAATGGAACATTAATTTATTTCGGGATATTATTTCTACTCCCGTCACGTCAGAAAACCTCAGTGGAGTCCCTTTAATGATTAGAGGGGTCCTAGCTGATTAAACTGTGTTTTATTTATTTCCGTCAATTAGTTTTTCGTTCAGGGCAAATAATTTAATTTACTAGGAGACCATACTTTGGATACCTTTCATGGACCTGAGAGTTCCATGACCACCGCCAAATTTTCATAATTTGCATTTTTGAATATTGAATTCTGATCAACCCGGTGATGAGAACAAGTGAATGAGTGGATGGCAGATTATCTGTACCCCCCCCCCCCCTCACGTCCGCCCGATCACAGGCTGAATCAAATCATTCCTGCAACATTTTTAATTTTGCCGTTGCGGATTTTCTTTAAGGCTTATTGTTGTTGTTGTTTTCTTTGTTTGTTTGGTTTGTTTGTTTGTTTGTTTTGTTTTGTTTTTTTTTGTCTATTTTAGATCTATACTGTACAGCAAAGTACGTTAGAGATTTTCTCTAATTTCAGGACCATTTTATTTAAATGTTCATAAATATATATTCCTTGTACATGTTGTACATATATACTTCAACATTGATATGTATATACCAACGAAATATAATTCCAATAAAATTCAATGGCTGAACTTCAATGCTTTGATTTGTAAAATATCTATCATTCTGAAATAGCATCCTGAATGTATAATAAATTAACAGACGACAAAATTGTGCCTATAAGCCAGTTATATAAACACATATGCTATGTATATATATATCATATATTTTAGAATGATTTACTTTATTCGGAGGAATAAGCATCTAATTCTGTACGCATAACAGTAACGTCTTTATTTGCGATTTCATGCATAATTGTGTTGTGCAAACCTTTTTGTATATAAATTAATGTCTTAAACCGTAATAAATCAAAGAAATCAGCAGACGAGTATTAAAGCAGTTAGACATTTTTCTATAAATTTGCATGATAAAGGTTATCTGTAGCAAGTAGTTGACAAATGCATGCCGCGTCGCTTTACATACATGTTAGGCAACAACAAGTAGTTCCGTATGCACTTCTGAAGTGGGTGACCTATTGCCATTAGAGATACAAAAATTTACGAAAGACCGGTGATGGCACCACAACAATGTTCATTTTCACAAATTCACAATTTCAACTTCATGAATTTACGGTTTCCACATGCCGAATTTACGATTTTAACTTCATGCTCGTGAACTTCGTGAATATGAAGTCTAGAATTCATGAAGTTGAAATCGTAATTTCAAAACATGAATTCATGAAGCTGAAAATCAAAACTTGAATTCGCGAAGTTAAATTCGTGAAGTTGAAATCGTGAACTCATGAAGTGAATTCGTGAAGTTGAATTCATGAAGTTGCAATTGAGAATTTAATCGTGAATGCCCTATGTTGAAAATTTGAATTCACGAAGTTAGAATTGAGTATTCACGAAGATGAAATCGAGAGTTCATGAAGTTGAAATGTCCCCACAGGTTTTTCGTAAAATTACGAAGCCAAAGCTAGTCATCTTGAGAGGACTACTATCAATACAATTTTTAATAATACCCCAGTTCTGTTTCCAAAACATGCCATTATTTCTTTAAGTTATTTTAATAAACAAATAAACATAATATTACATTACGTTACGTTAAGCTACGTTACATTAATTACTAAATTTGGTACTTTATTAGAGAATAGGGAATCAATGTATAAGGTAAATTATACCGTGTCAATCGTTACTATGCAAATCATCAGAAAAATGCCCCAATGGCTCAATTATATTAGTATTAAAATGTAACTTCTGATACGTCTCTTTATGGCAAATGTAGACAATAAATTGATTGTTAAATGATACTAACTGTGACTGACATGTACAGATGTATGCTGTTATAATTGACGCTTCCCGCGTCTGTCTGAAGTATCCGTGTCAAAGATGTAAAACTAATACGTTAAGTAAAGTTGACGTTACGTTAACGTTGACTTATGTATTTCTAATTATATTGAACTTTTACTATTTCATTGTAATTTCATGTGTACTAAAAGACTGCTGTAAACAAGATATATTCGCGAGGCAATAAATATCACGACATCATTATTTTAGTCAAATATTCTCGAATACCTACCTTCAATTCTATATCACTAAAGGTATTTAGAGGACCGTGAAAATCTTCAACTCAAGAAATTAACAAAATTTCGCCAATCGTGAAATTTCCTGATTTAACGGTAAACGTTTCAACATTTGAAGATTTTAACGTTTAAAATTGTTAATACGTTAAATAAAGTTTTATTAAAAGCTTTACGAGAATGTCCTATATATCTAGTAAAATGTATGAGTTATCACGTTTTATGCAAATTACATGTTTGTAATTATATGGGGATATAAGAGTATTTTTATTATGTTTAACAATATTGGTTTATACATATTTTATGATATATTTTGCCGTTAAAATTAATTAGAATTTCTATTTGATAAAGATATTTTGCGTAATAAAACGTCAAAGCTGACAAATTTAAAGATGTCGGCGAACGGTACGTTACGTTACGTTTATGTTTTGGGCTAATAACATGCCGTTGTCGTCCAGTTGTTTGCAGTTTGTTATTGAATATATTGTTTCAATTTGGTTTTATGAAATACACTATGTAAATACATTATATATAAATCTACGAGTTTAATAACGACATTAATTCTTACACATATGTTTTAACATGACAGTCTATGTGAAAAATGCTCCCCCATTTGACTCTGTGCTATTGGTTTAAAAAAAACATGTTAGGTCAAACCTGTAAACATTGACCTCCACCAGAAGAAACTAAACATATCCTTTATAGAAAAGTGATCTTTATTTGTAGGTAACTGTGTTCTCTTTAATCAATAAAGGGTTGTTGAAGAGTAGCCTTCATTTACAGGGTGATTATATTTATTCGGAAGTGGTCTTAACTGATTCTCATTTCAAACACATTCTTTCAAAACAGATAAATTAAATTTAGATCTACATTTTACGTCTTAGCTTCTTTAATCATTCGATAATAAATGCTCTTGGCCTATGTAAATATTTTTTGAATAAAGAACAAAGGGGTTGCCATATAGAGTTCCTCCTCTGGGAGCTCTGTTCGGCGTTATTCACCGGATAGTGCTCCCATATTTGTTCAGGAGCTGTATACGTAGTATTATACACAGCTCACACGTAAGCTTTACACGTCGTAAGTTTTATACAGTGCAAGCAGCATTCTGATCTTCTTGGCTATAATGCTTTGCAAAAGAACTCTGACATAATGAGGCGCCATATTGGAACTACTTTTAGTCACGTGGTAAAATGGCGGCCTCCATGTGCCATGATGCAATTCTCCGAATAAAGCTTCATTTCTGCCCGTTTTATGGTCATTAATAATAATACTTGGTATAAATTTACAATTTTATAGGAAATTTGCAATTTTATATACTGCAACCTCTTTTGTCTTTCAGTAACTTTATGGGGTCCACCTTTCAAAGGATTTATGATGGTCGCTGCAGAGGAAGGGGCTAAAGATTGGCCTACTGGAATATTTTACAGCGAGGATGGCGCCGCTAAACGGCTAGGCTGTCTAGCACGAGGTGACACCGTGACTCATCAAAATAATTCATACAAAGATTCCGTATCTGTATTATGGTACGGGCCAGAAAACATGATGTCTGAGCAAATCCAATTTATGTGAGTATTATTCTTTTTTTGGTTATGGCGGATATTTTTGGCAAGTTTTTACATGTTCAGTCCTGTCAAACGAAAGGACAACAAGTAAAAATTGAGATCATTTCTCATTTGCGAGCAGCGCGACATCGAAAAATGAATTAAATTGCTAGTCTTTTTTATATTGTTTTATTTTTTTTCTGTTCTTTTTTTTCTTTTTCTGTATTTTGTTCCTTTATTGCATGCGACAATTAGCAAACTTACACATGTATAGTAACTATCTGATTCCTCTACCTTGATATTTAAAACATGTTTTCATCCTTGAATGAAAAATATCGCTATAAATTGTGCATGTAGTTGAGTATGCTTATTTATGACAACGTGTTAACTAGTTTCCGGTCTAGCACCTGTTTGTAATACAAACTATTTTCTCATATACTGATATGCACTGCACATGACTAGCTTTAACACAACATACATGCTTTTTTGTGTTGTTTATATAAACAGGTTCTGAATAGTTAGTGTACGCACTATTCCTTTACGCACTTTTTAAAAACAATTTTAGAAATATATCAAAAGAATGTAGAATTTAAAAGCTATAGTTATTCATGTATATTAAAGATCCTGTATCACAATTTTTCTATGGTTTTATATCATAAATATGATGCTCAAATTAAGATTCATCAATTTTGAAAGTTCCAAAAAGCATTATTTACAAAAATATTACCGAATTTAACATTTTATGTAAATAAAGGGAGGTAATAAAAATACATTATCTATAAAGTCTAAGTCAAATGTTTCAATAAGAAATGATTGTATATATTTTAATGATTACAAATAGTATGTACAGATATTTGCAGTACATATTTTACATATTATTCGGTGTTTGAACATTGTTTTAAATGCATAATTATTTACATATATATATATATAATTTCACTTAAGTGTGGTATGCAACCTCAATAACAACATACAGGATCTTTAAACAGACTCAGCAATTATTGTCAGCAATAAGTCAGAAGATTATGGTTTTGAGCTTTAAAGTCTTCCGATTAAACTTCTAGATTGAACATGCATTAGAATGGCTTTGTAATGTATATTCAAAAATACTCATTGCACTTGATCTTAAAGGAACATAATCGGGTTCAGATGGAAATAAAGAAGGTCTTGGCAGCCGCCCCCCCCCCCCCCCTCACTCCAAGGAATTTGCTAGAATGTGGAAACCCTTAGACATTTGGATATCAAATTACAATCTTCAAAGAAAATAAAGCAAACAAATATTGGTGAAAATCAGCAAACTTTTAATTCTTGTCCCCCATCCCCACCCCTAGGAAACTAGTAAAATGTCTCCCAACCCCCTTGGAATCTGCATTACCCCATAAGGCAATTTTGCAAGTCCACTCTGGTAATAAATCCTGGACACACTTATTTCTTATCTGTTTATAAGTTTAAGAAATGATAGCGTACGAGGAATAGAACATTTTAATTTGGAAATATTTATTTGTTTTGTTTTACAGAGCAACAGTTGTTGTGAATTTGACGATATATTACACTAACATAAGGTCTGGAATGATTCGACTGGATCCCTCATTACATGGTTGGTACCAATATAATTTAGTACTTTGCAACCAATTCGTTATATGTACATAATGTAATTTAGTACTTTGCAATCTAGATATTTTATATACATAAAAACATTACATGAGTATCCTTTATTACACGGTGAATAAAAGTTTAAAATTATAAAGAATTAATAAATAGCTCACTAGTCTAATGCACGCAGTGCATAACAATTATAAATAATTAAGAGTGTTATTCGGGTGAATTGTATAACTCGAGTTCATTTCCATCGCGGGTACGTGGGAATACAACTAAATTTGAGTTTACAAAGCACATGTAAGACCTACTTTAATCTAAAACTCCCAATTTTGGGGTCAACACGAGCTATCCGATCCATAAGAAAAAACACACTTATGAAAGTTTTTTTTTATTATATTGTATATACATGTACTTTCCGTTAAATAAATTCAAGTAAGTAATGAAGTTGACAGAGTTATTTGTACTTATATGTTGGTATTGCACAAGTATATTGTCACAACAAGTACATGAGCACAGTCATCTGGGCATTTCTGACAATGGCATACCTTTAAGCATAAGTTTAACACTTAAAGTGCTGGAGCCGGAAGCATAATAAGCTTTTGCCACCAGTAAAGAGCCAGGCCAGCCTGCACGTCAGTGCAGTCTGACCAGGCTCTATACTATTGGCTGACAAAGTTTAAATATTCAAATTGATATCCCTAAAAGTGGAAGTGGGACACGTTCATTTAATATTTTCAGCATGTTAAGGGTTAAGCATATGCACTGTTTCACTTTCTCAAATCACTTATAGTGAATAACTTAATGGAGAATTAAAAAAAAGGTAAAACAAAAGAAAGAGAAACAGTTTCATAGGCTAAGATGTCTAAAGTGGTATCAAACTACTATAGTTCATTATGTTTTAATCTGTTCGATGAGTGTTTTGATGTACTTTCTCTTTTGTTTCATAGGCAAAAATAAAAACACCATTTCCCCTGTCGTCACAATATGAAACCCCGGCATAAATTGAACCAAAAGGGAGACCATATAAATGAAATGTAAATGTCTTGTTTTAACAACAGTATTGGCAAACACACTTGTTAAGTGATCATTTGTAATGAATCCGCATAATGTTTAAAGACAAATGAAACCTCAATAAAGCTACCAGACCTCCCGCACTCCAGAGCATGCCCATTGATTGGCTCATTTTTGCCGGGGTTTACCTATGATGACATCAGAGAAAGGGAAAGCGACAGAAATACCATAGTCAGATGCTCGTTCATTGGTAACTTTTTTCTGGGGTTTCATTTTGTGACAACAGATGATTTTATGTGTGACTATGATACAAAAGAGAAAGAACATCGCAACACTCGACAATCTGAATATTACGCCACTTGTACTCGATCGTGTTTCGATGCTCTTTCTATTACTTATCTTTATTTTCCACAGCTTTTTTATGTGTCCAGTTACAGTGTCCAAAAAGGATAACCATTGGTCATAAAGCTAGCATAACTTTTGCTTATTTTGCATTTTGGCAACTGATACAGAAATAGTGATTTAGTACGGAAGTTTTACATTTTGCTACTTTTATCCAATCGCAACTTTTCGGCCCTTGCCTTCAGTCTTATTATTATAGATAATAGCCGAGGATGTTCCGATTGGTATTTCGCATTCAGCGCTATTTCCCTCAGGTGTAAGGCATCTTACATATTTAAAATCCATTAACGTAACATTATAAAACGCACGTTTGATCTCCTTACACAGGCCCGTCGTCACGATTTTGTGATTGGTGCGGCCAATTTGGTAGATTTTAGCCAGAATCTAGGGGGGTACGGGGGCATGCTCCCCCGGAAAATTTTTTATTCTAGGATGCTCTCAGGGGCGTTTTCCCGTATATTTGGCACATTTTACAGCCTGTCGATAGAACATGTTATAGTAAAATGTCAACGATTTTTTTTACAGATTTAAGTGCGTCGTAAGTTTTAAGGGTGAAATTTAAGGTTTGCATAACGGACAGGCAGGTGAACATAAAAGATGAATACATGTAATTGGTATTTGGCGGATGAAAAATAAACATTCTAACACTATCGGAATTTTTTCTATGCATGTATAAACAAAGCACGTCCGAAGCGTGCATTAGTCTACAACAATGCACACGCCGTTCTTATTATCTCCCTGTGTATTTTCACATTTATTCTTTTGAGCTCTGAGAATGTCCTTTCACTGGTAGCATTAGTAGCAGGCATTACTAACAAATTTTTTCACAACACGACGACCTCGATCAGTTCTAGCACCGATTGTTTTGACACAAATTTCAAAGCGTCAGGTAGAGTAACAGTACTATTTTCTGATTTGTCAAAATGTGAACGTTACAGCTGAAGCTGCACCTCTAAGATGTCTCGGTTAATATCGTTGCAATATAAATCACAAACAAAACCAAGTTTTCTAGTGAACGGTCTTCAAAGGTTGTGCGGCTTTAATAAATAAACCCTCCACGTTCTGAAGTACGCGATATCTCGGTTGGTCAAATCTCTCTTTAACACTGGCCATGGCAAGATCGATTGCTTCAAAATACTTAGGCCGGAACACGTCCTGCACTGTAATTATGTAATAGAGTAATTGAATGAGTTTATTACTGAATTTATTTTAGGAGTTGAATGAAAATTTATTTTATTCAACGAGTTCAATAAATTCAGTAATGAACTTACATGAATTCAATATTCTGTTTATAACATACCAAAAATAAGTACCTTTTGAAGTGAAAAAGAACCATTTTTCATTGACGCCCATAGAAAAACGCTAACATTTATATAGTGTGTATAACGCAAATGACGTCAAAATATATGCACGGCCGTGCAATACCATTTTCAAGGAGTCGCAAAAATGGCACGGATATGTGATAAAAATATGACTTTTGGACGGTTGCCGCGTACAATCAATAAAATATTATCAAGTTCTCGGAGAATTCAGGCATACGAGTTCAAGATACTCATAATGCACATATATATACATGTATATACGGTGAACTGTACAAAGCCACGTCAATGTCAATTAACTTCACACTTAACTTCGTAGGACCCCTACATATACCTGGTCAATTAACAGTGTCCATTTGTTTCTTCGCGTCATGTTTGTATGTTACCGCGTATTGCATAAGGGGCCAGTTAAGTGTCAAATTGCTAATCAGCGATGCGTGTTTTTCTAATTTAAAAAAAAAAATTTTTGTTTTGTTTTTTTTTACTCATTTTTTTGGCTAAAATATTGGTCCGGCCAAGGCCGGACCGGCCGGACCATCGACGACGGGAAATTATCCTTTTCATTTCTGATGGACACTGTGCATTTATCAATATTTGTGTTAGGAAATTCTGCAATTAAACATATTGAAATCATTTTTTCATTTGTTTGAAAATTACACACAAAAATGAAAACCAAACAAACTATTCAAATTTCGAATATGATATTAAAGGAATGCATGAAATCAAAGAGCAGTTTTCATTTTGTAAATAATATTGTATTGCAATTAAATGTATGTGTTGAAATAGTAAGGCGTACGTAGTAAATGCCACAACCACAAAAATGATTTATAAAACATGAATCCGTTGTAACGTAGATGTAATGTGGGTTTTTTTTTGGTTAGATTTGTTGTTGTTTTGAAATATTTAACTTAAGTTTGCATAAAAAGTAAGTAGAAAGGCTAGTTGATGATATCAAATTAACGACATTTGAGCCGCGCCATGACAAAACCAACATAATGGGTTTGCGACCAGCATGGATCCAGACTAGCCTGCGCAGTCTGATCAGGATCCATGCTGTTCGCTATCAGTTTCTCTACATGTTATAGCTAGGGTATGTAAGCGAACAGCATGGATCCTGATCAGACTGCGCGGATGCGCAGGCTGGTCTGGGTCCATGCTGGTCGCAAACCCATTATGTTGGTTTTGTCATGACGCGGCTCATTTAAGTCCTTGGAAAAAACGCCTTAGACTTGACGTGATGACGTTCATTTTAACGCCTAACCAGTTGTTTTGTCTCTGGACTTGTCCAGTTTCAATTTCTAAAAGTGTTCATTACCATTTCAGGGGGTGGGGACATGGAGGGTTTTAAAGATAAGATAAAAAATTAAAAGTTGTCGGCTAAAAGTATTGACCTGGTCAGACTGCACGGCTGATGTGCCAACTGACCCGGTTCTATACTGATGAAAAAGGCTTATCATTTTTGGTTGCATCTTATAACTTGTAGAGAAGAAACTCTCATTCTGGACAACGCTACTTAATAATTTATTCTAAAAGTTTTCTGGGCGTATTAAATTTTTGTTAAATAGGCCATTTTTGTTATTAATATTTCAACAACAACACAATTAAAATATATTTGCACACACTTATATGAACCCACTTTATGTGCACTAAATATTATATTTAAGCTTATTTCATCTGCAATAACGTTTAAGCGCAAGATATTTTAATGTTTTGGTGTCAAAACAGAGAAATTAATTACATTTGCCTTTAATAGGTAATAAATCTTAATTTTATGACAGCCTGTCTAATGAACTGTCTCCATATGTGGACTAAATAAATCGTTTTCATGATTTTGCATTATTTTAAAGACACAGAAAGCCTAAAAAATGAACAGTTTTTCATTATCTTAAAGGCACATAAAGCCTCGAAACAAAAACAAGAATAAAACATGTGTTCTATGTAACAATATTGGATATAGATCATTTAAGATGCTTATCGCGATAAATGTGAAAATAATTTGTAACAAACGTGCTAAAATGTAACTGACGTCCGTCCAAAATCACCATAACTAAATTGCGAAAACGCAAAAGAAGCAAAGCTTGATACAGCTATATGGTCAATGCGTTTTTTTTTTTGAAACTGTAACAGGACAAACAATAAACGTTTTTAAAAAATATGGATACATACATTTTTGTGATGTATGGGCCTTTAACGGCCTTTGAGACAGTAAACGGAAATATATACTTTTGTTTATGAATTACATATGCCGTGATAATGTTTTTTCAATTCTCGTTTTTTAAAGGATATTTTTAGTAATATTATTATTTAATAGGATTTATGTTTTAATCAAATTGTTTTCGAAATCATATGATCAAATGTAAATTAAAGTTGTGCATAATTAATAGAGTTATAAAGCAACTTCTTAAATTCTAATACAATAAATGCTGAAGTTATTGTGGTGCATAAAGACGAAAATCGTACTTGAAGGTTCACCACAACCTAATTTGAGCCGCGTCACGACAAAACCAACATAGTGGGTTTGCGACCAGCATGGATCCAGACCAGCCTGCGCATCCGCGCAGTCTGATCAGGATCCATGCTGTTCGCTTACCAACCCTATTACAAGTAGAGAAACTGATAGCTCCTGATCAGACTGCGCGGATGCGCAGGCTGGTCTGGATCCATGCTGGTCGCAAACGCACTATGTTTGTTTTGTCATGACTCGGCTCATATTTGTATCATTTTATTACACAATTACTTGATATAAATTATACAGAAACAATAACTTGATATATCTGTGAATTTATCTTATTGTCAAAATTTAACGTAATATTGACATTCAAATGAAACTTGAATGAGCTAAACCTTTATTGGCCCGATATGTTGGATATCGCGCCAATATCAGAATCTGATATAACCTAACCAATATTGGACCGATATGCCCTTAACGATAAAATATCGGACCAATATCAGTGTTTGATATAACTTAACGTATATTGACCGATATGCTCTTGATTGTTAGGTCATCAACTGGTATTTATTTTCCTAATTAAAATTAAACTTTTGGGAAATAACATGCCGTCGTTATAGGCCTTAAGCAAAGGTTAAATTCCGTTCTTACTTAATATGATGTACTAAGTGTAGTGTTTTTTGTTTTTTTACTTCACCTATATTGTTGATGTTATATCAGATTTACGTTTTTTTCTTGCCATGAAATTGAAACAGTGTTTAAAATACTTTAACTGCCAAAAAGAGTAAGGATAACTAAAGCGGTTTTAGTGGTGGGCGTGTTGCTTTTAGTTTAAAGTCAAAAGAATTGATGTGAGCATAATTAATATTGTTCTATCATACTAAATTTAATCAGGCACAACTATTGATCCTGAAGGTAATGTGCCGGCATGATAATTTATCTTTTTTATATATGTATTGGCTAGTAAAGCCGCCTTTGAGTTGCCGTTTCTAACACTTAATCTATGAAATCATTCATAAAATCTGACATCAAATTTTACAAAAAAAAAAACTTTAAAATTTCAGTTTGCGATATTAGATTTTAAGTTGGTCTGGTTTAAATCAATGAAGACTTGGGATTTTCTTGGACACTTGTATTTGTAATTCCATTAAATGATTTCAGTATTCAAAATTTGACTCATTTACAGCTTAATATTGCTATCACACACTGCCGATTCATCTTAACATGCAATCGCAACTTTTCGGCCCTTTCGTCAGTCTTCGGATAAGGATTATTATATTATTATAGATAAAAGCCGGGGTAGTTCCGGATGCTTAACATGGTCAAAATAATGGCGACCGGAAGGGCTTGCTGGGTAGGAGTCATTGAGATGGTGTACCTTAATCGGCCTCGCTTTGGCATCATATCCGACAGTTTTCGACATTGCAAAAAGTAATCAGCTTGTTAATTGCTCGGTTATTTGTTTGAATACCCGTCAATTGACTCAGAATCATTCTTAAGAGATGTTATTTTGTCCAGATTAAAAAATCTAATGCTAATGTATAGGCCATATTCGCCGAAACAGGTACAAACAATGTATATATTATATTGGTCGGGTATAGGTTGAATGTACGTCGTAAACTTGACGACAGTATGGAATTTAATTGGTAATTTGGGGATCGCGTATGTTCTCTCGGGCGTGATTCGAATATCATCATGCAAAGAAGTCGCTTTAAACATTGTGAAGGACTATTGTTTGAGTAGGAATGTTAAAACAGAGTTCGAATTAGTTGTTGCATGCTTCTCTGTGGGCAATGCCCGCTTAAATGATGCTCGAATACCGCCTGGGAGAATTATAAGTCGTGTACCGGTTTGTTGATCTTTGTCGTGATATCTAAACGATCGGGTAAATCGAATCGGCAGTGTTGATCTTGAGTTTATTATAAACGATGTTCGAGATAAAGGTGTACAAGAAACGGCAACTCGATTATACACTTGCAAGCCATTATTACTAGCGTATGCTGTATGAAATGCATACTCGTTTAAGATAGAAATTTTAAGATATATTTTGTAAAACATTTTATTTTTCATACCTCATATTTGTTTGTTGCAATTTGTGTGCTTTGTATTATTTGCGTAACGCTCTGCGCGCATGACTCTTATTTTGAAATTGTTATATATGTTTTTCTAATTGTGTAAGCTCGATGGGACCAGGGCTAGAATCGCAGGGACCCGGCACAATATTTGGATAGTGTAAAAAAAAATCAAGGAAAAAATCCAACTTATCATATATTTAATTCAAACTTTGTAAAATATAAATGAGCTTTTAGCGTTTGAACCACGAATCATTCCAATAGAGATCAGTATTGGGTCCAATCTTATCAAATTCAGCCTCGTGTCGAAATATAATTAATATAAAATGCATATCGTACACTATATAGCCTCGTTTTTATTATTCAGAAGTCAAAATATCTATATTAAATGCATATCGTACTCCATTTAGCCTAGCTTTTATTTTAAGGGTTAAAAAAATCATATTAATTCTTTATTGTACTAGAAGTATTAAAAATTCTCTCCAAATGTCAAATAATGATGGTGAAAATAAGGAGGTCATTATATATACATTGCTAAGAACAATACTGATTCTGTCGGACATAGCTGCAAAACGTGTATCAGACTCGGCTAGTTATAGAGTAAACAACTGTGTAATCGTCCAATAGAATTCTCTTTTGTACTCAACAATGTTTAAAAACCTCATAATATTATATCGTTTTAATAATATGTATAAGGTATGATGTTTTTTCTTCTTCTAAAACTGCGTTTACATTATCCAAATACGGTCACTCTTTATAAAATATTTTAGGTATATTTTTCTAACATTGTTTTTCACTAGCCAAACACTGTGCTAGGATCGCTTGCTTTGGCCGATCGAGCGTTACGACCAGCCTAATTAAGCTTGGCAATTGAGCATTGCGCTTAACTTTTTATGCAAAGCCTTATGCCTGCTGTTATTTTACAATAGCATGTAAAATAGAATTAGCCGAAATAATGTAAATTTAAAAACTGAAATGTAGCTAGGCTGCAAACTTAACCAATGTGTTGGCCAACACTGCAATTTGATATTGTCTGAACACTCGTTTTACCATTTATGTATATTTGCAGCATTAGCTATCCGGCGTAGATATTTTTTTGCGGCATGCAATGCTCTAGGTATTCATTTGGACAGCCGCTTTTGTATTTAGTGTTGTAATGCTTTTGCTTTTGTGATGTTGTGTTAAATGTTGAATTACATAGCATGGATCATTTCAATACTATCAACACTACATGACTTCTTATGCTAAATTCTTTTCATTTATATCATAAATCTCCTTTAAAACAATTTTTAATGTATTTGTAAGACGCCACGGACATTAATAAAGATAACTAACTTTTGTGGTTTACTTTATTTTCTATACGCGTTAATATTTAAAAAAAAAAGTTTATTTTGAGATAAGGGCAAGGAGTGCTTCAAATAAATTATTTTGGTAATATCAATGCCATTTATAGATTCAATTGTTATTTATAGATATTGTGTTATTGTGTTGATAACAACACTTGTTTCTTACATTATAATAAAATTAAATAAATGTATCATACCATAAACTAATGCAAATTCTGGCGATATTTCAGCAGCCGCTGGAGCCGGTGGCGAAGGTGGAGCCCCTGTTGCAGTTACAATGGATCCCTGGCTTTCCGGTCAGTCGGCAACACAGGCGCCAACCAACTGGTGGAGCAATTTAGCTGGCGGGAGACGTGGTATTGCGGGAAACACAGGCTGGGGCGCCGGCGGAGCAGCAGCAACTGGAGGCAATAGTGGATGGGGAGCGGGAGCGGGAGCGAATACTGGGGGAACTTGGGGAGCAGCAAATGCCGCAAGTGGCACTTGGGGATCACAGACTGGAACTGGTGGAAGTGGAGGTTGGGGAGCTCAGGCCGGAACTGGTGCAAGTGGAGGTTGGGGAGCTCAGGCCGGAACTGGTGCAAGTGGAGGTTGGGGAGCTCAGACCGGAGCTGGTGCAAGTGGGGGTTGGGGATCGCAGACAGGAACTAGTGGTCAAGGGGGGTGGGGAACAGGTACAGGTGGACGTGCAAACAATCAGTGGGGAACTAATACTGGTCAAACGTCTTGGGGTCAGGCATCAGGGGCTGGTGCTGGTACTGGTGGCTGGAGCGCCAATGGAGATTGGCAACAAGTAAATCAGGGGTCAGTGACGTCAAGTAACTGGAACGCTGGACAGACGTCATGGCACGCGCCTGGTGACGGACGACCAATTTGGAACTGGAATTCTGGGAAAATACCAACAACCGCAGCCCCTGCCGCAACTACTCCGGCTCCTAAACCGACACAAGCTGGTGGAAAACAAACTACATCTGCATGGTCAGCACAAGCTTTATTAGAACTTGTTCAAAGACTTGGGTTGGGCCCTGTTGCTAGAGCCCCATGATTCTTTTTCAATTGTTTAATTTATTTCTTTAACTGCAACACTTTAATTCTATGCAGATTCTATGGAGATGGGCATTTAGTGATTTATGATTTTGACCTCTCATTGTTGTTAATGCACATGAAACTAAGTTAATAATGCGGCAAATAGCTGTTTATAGTAATGATTAGAATGATTTAATAGCTATTTAATCTTAGATAAAAGAGAAATAATTATAGCCGCTTGATGTATATAAAAATAAAACTATAAAATGATAAGAGATCAGTTTATAAGAATATATATTCTCAGAACTTTGTAGTATATTTTTTGCATGGCGGAACTTTTTTTCTGAAAAACGATTATAAAAACAGTCTGATACGTCTGTAAATCAATGTTTTCTTTTGAGAATACGGGCATGTGCCTTTAATACTAGTCATAATAATAAAATATATACAAATTTTTCCGATAAGCTTAAAAGAGATTACGTGGCTTTGATCTTGAATTTCAAATCCTGCTTAAGAAAAAAATTACGTTTTATGTTTGGACTAATAAAATGTGATTATAATCATAGAATACTGATCCAGATGAGTCTGATATTCAGGAGTTTGCGGTAAAAAAGTTGAAAATAGAAAGAAAAAAAGAAATTTTTAGAAACATATTTGAAGATGTAAATTGTCCGTAAGCTAACTTGCCTATACAAACTTACGCATAAATCAAGTTAGACAAGTACAGCCTTGTGGTGGGAGGGTGAGGGGGTTAAATGCCTATTTCTTTGGACTCGAAGCAGAATGAGAGTATTTGTAAGAGGGTGTTGGAACAAAGGGTGTTTCGTGTTTTTAGTATTCCTAGAAAATAAAGGATAATATTAATCTCAAATATACCAAGTTAGTTCTAAATAAACTTAGTCTATAGTTGTTTTAGATAGTTGTCTGAAGTAGGAAATATACTTGATATTCGAACAGATGTGTTCGTTTCCAGTCATTTTGTTGAATTAAAAATTATAATAAAAGTGATTATGATAATTTTTCACAATTTATGTCTAGCCGCACTGTGTGTTTATTTGTTAAAACATGACATAGTATACATGTATGTAGTAAAAGCTGTACCTTACTTCCTGTTGAATTTTGCGTAAATAACGATATTCCAGCGAACTGAAAGATACATTGGCCGTCTTCATTATACATGATGTTAGAATGCAGCGATATTTGTTTCAGCCTTGCTAATGTTACATTAATTTATTCCTTTGCCGCGTTTATTGCCAGAGACAATTTCAAATACGCATGCACGGCTTTAAAAAAATTTGCATTATCCATGTAAAGATATCATATCAATTTTAGACAATAATTCGAATTTATAAAAACAATGAGAATGTGTCATTTAATAATTCTATATGCATACGATTAAAAAACATTTAAGTAAAGCTCATTTTATTTCATATACAAACAAATGTATTGAAATGTATTGGCTTTGTCATTGGATGCTAAATGTCTTTTTGTTGTATTTTTGCAGATTTGTTGCATGGCCTTGAAGAACTGCTTGAATTATGCACGGCGCTTCATCTTCAATCATTTATCATGCTTTGCATGTCAATATGTTTACATGAAAATAAAGCCCAGCGACACAAAAGATACGTCTGCCCTTTACTTATCGTCTGCTTTATTTTGTTATTATTTTATGTTCATCATTTCATATTCTTGTTTTTGCTTGGCTTGCTTTCGTACACGTTGTTCAACATAAGTGTTTTATAATGCATGCATACACATTGTGTTTGTGTCAACAGGGCATGTACATGTACATATAGAATCTTTTCAACAGTAGACTTTGTTGCATTTAAAAAGCGTCTCTGGTGTTTTAAGCGTGCCTGCGCAGAGTTTTATAACATTTCTTAAAAAATCATTTTATTCTGTTTACGCACAATATTCATGTGTGTTAATAACAGAGACATTCTATGTTGAGAATCGATCATAAGATAAGGAAAACAAAATAGTTTTACTGTTGATTAATTTTTAATTTTATAGAAATTTTTCATAAGACATAGCTTTATACCCTTTACAATAAATATACAATACGTGTATATGTTAAGAAATAACTGCCGCTATACTTTTCCCATTTACATCACGCATGACGTAATCATGACATGCATATTTGTAATCACTATTATTTTACATTGAATCTGGCTGTCAGTGTCCTGTTTTGATGCCAATATAATTATATAAGTATTTTAAAATATATACATGTATATCATTTTATATGCACGATATTCACGCGCGCGAGTGAACAAAATTTTGAAAAGAACTACTATTGCAAATATCTAAACTACTTTGTCCGATAAACTATTGCAATGAAACTTAAACATGTTGTATTGAAGCATTAAATTTATTTCTTACGTTTTGACAACCTTTTTATTATTATTATTTTCTTGTATTATTTATTAATACTTCATTCGATTAATGACACAGCTGTATATGTAATGCCCACACACGCTTAAATTTGTTTGTGTTATAGCTTTTCGGATATGTATATTATTTAGATGCAAAAAAGAGAGCTTTTTTAAATAGTAAAATAAACCAGAGCCTTTCAACTTGAAAGACCCTGAACAAAAGCAAAGAGTTTTGGGTAGTGTGGAAAAGTCAAAGAAGGTGAGATTGACTGAAACATATGTACACAACAAAACATTGTGATACATTGAGTTTATTTAAAAATCCCTTTTGTATGCTATTTAGGCCTACACAAAGTGTTCAAATAATAACAAGTATGTAGTCTGGTAGAAACACAATCGGCCTACAAACCAAGGGACCGCCACTCCAACTAAAATTTAATCGTAATCATGTCTTATGAAAATTACTAGTAATTCATGTCTTCTGGAATGAAGTTATTTTTGTGTCTGAGGCCGAACCCCTATCCTCCCACCTCCCCAAAAAGAAAATGTAGATAATGTAGAATTTTATTAATTCAAAAGGGCCATAATAAAGTATAAATCCAAGTCAGAGTTATGGTCCTTTGACAAATGACACCTTGAATAGTGACCTCCTATTATGCATTGAAATAAGTTTATGAAGTTTCAACTAATTTCCTTAAGTAGTAGTTTTAGAGATACCAACTTGCACTCAAAAACTTAACAAAAGTGTGTCGCCGACGCCGGGGTGAATATTCTTCGAATAGTCGAGCTAAAATACGAACAGGATTCTAGAGTAGGTCGCACGCGTAGGTTTGTCTCTCTATAGTGTGTGTTCACATTTAAAATAGAAACAACAAACGTAGAAAAGTTGGCCACATATAATGACAAAATATTTTACAGCGATTGAACAGAACTACAACAACGTTCTACGGAAAACCGGAAGGGAAATTTCATCTTCATGAATTCATCAATTCAATTTCATGACTTCACAATTTTAAATTCATAACTTCGCGATTTCAACATAATAAATTCATATAAAAACACGATTTCAACTCTATCGGAAGGGAAATTCCATCTTCATGAATTCATCAATTCAGTTTCATGAATTAACAATTTCAAATTCATAACTTCGCGATTTCAACATAATGAATTCATAAAAACACGATTTAAACTCTATAAATTCACGATTTCAACTTTGTGAATTCACGAGTTCAGCTTCATGAATCCACGATTTCAACTTCATGGACTTACGTTTTGAAATTCACGATTTCAATTAACATCTTAATTTCATTAATTCACTATTTCAACTTACGAATTTAACTTCATGAAATTTGAAATCGCGAATTCATGTATTTGAAATCGTGATAACGTGAATTCGAAACCGTGAGTTCATAAAGTTGAAATCACGAATTTGTGATGATACCGTGAATTCGTGATGTTATAACGTCACAAACGGTATTTCGTAATTCACACCTTTCTGTTCCATAAACTACACGCTTTAGTCATCCTCTAATAATAAGTCAGTTCACCTTACACTGTTGACAATATTAACAAATGGTTTTTGTTCAAGTATATAAAATCTTTCAATTATAAATGCTAGAAGTTACGTGACCATTTTATACATGCCTAAAAAGAGTACAGCTACACGGTTCAATCAGATACTGTTAACAGTAATATACAGTCCATAGGTCCTTTAATACGGGAAAAGATACCATTACCTAAAAATCAAATGTTTCACATGTTAACTAACTGACTGCATATATACTAGTAACCTTATTAAAGTCACATGTCACATTCAATAACGTCACATGTCACCTAAATGACGTCAAATGCCATCTTTCATCGGGACAGTTCAGTGTTTGTCACTTCACAATGAATAATAATGCAAAATCAATGAGATGTCAATCAGGATATTTCGGTCATGTTTACTTGTAAGAAACACAAAAAATAATACCCATTAAACATTAAGTTGATTTAAAACAATGCATTTTTCGAATTGACGTGTGATTTTATTGCCTTTTAATTTTTTTATGACACAAATCAATAACAAGTTTAACAAAACAAAAACAATTATATACAAAAATCACTTACAGTGTTCTTGAATAAAGAAGACTGATAACATTGAAATATGCACTGCTTTGATAATCTCCTTTAAATAAACAAAAGCATGTTTACAACATAAAAAACAATAAATAAATATAAATATAACTTAAAAACAAGAGCACGACATGCAGTATTAACGCTCGTCTGTTAAACATTCTAAGTTCAAAAGGCGCATAACTCCGTCAATACAACTGTCAGAATGATGCCCCTTGTCAAACTGCTCTGCCTTGTCATAATAAACAAGTATTCCAAGTTTTATAATGATAGTTTTAAAAATGTTCAAGTAATGGGCTTCATTAAAGATTTTGAACAACGACGTCGCTGCGATCATGAGAGCTCGACTATTTCTTCAAAACAGATGAGCTAATAAGTTAATACTGGCACCCTGTACCTATAATGTTACATACAAAACGTTTAGAACTGTTAAGAACATGGCCAACAAACTCAAGTTTAAACAAATTATCAAAATCGAATTTAAGAAATATTATTGTTCACGATATATATATGTGCATAATAAATCACTTTTGAAATCTTTCAATATTTTGTTTTCCTGAAATATTTCATAAGATTATCCACATGATACTTTTTTATTGCTATTATAGTTGTAGGCCAATTCATTTTAACTTTCAATAGCCATAAATATCTACCAAATAACTAATTTCTATTCTTCTTAAAAAAAAAAATAAAATCTTAAAATGAGGTATTTTCCAAAATACACACCGAGATCATTTGATTAATTAAACGTTTTGATTATTATAATGTTACCCTGAACATTTACATATATCATGTATATAAAAACTGAATCTCTTGAAAATCTATGAAAAAAAAGGGAGCTCCCCTGAGGCCAGAAAGCCTAAAAAACATAGAATTTGAAATTCTTACAAATATCAAGTAAAGTACTTACAATAGAGAAGTCTTCAAAGGTTATAAAAAATATACTCAAAATCAAACTGATAGTCTATTATTGTGCAATTCCTAGCCCCATTTGAGGCTTTCCATTTCTAGGTCAACATTTTTGGCAATAAAAATGATTATTCCAGTAAACAGGGTGAAGGAATGATAAGAAAATTTCCACACGAGATATTGGTCCAGACAGACATCAAATGGAACACAAATCTCGGGACAATATTTCAAGTCCTGTCGTGTCAAAATACTCCAGAGGAGTCCCTTTAAGAAACTGTAGGAAAGGTCTTTAAACAGAATGTTAATTACTACAAGTTTTTAAAAATTATCTAAAATTAAAATAATGGAGATGTTAAGTATCAAAAATTCTGAGCAGAGTATCTCCTGGTGTAGAAAATCATTATAAAAGAAACAGAAAAATTCTGCACTGTAACATTTTCTCTGCTCAAAACTAGTAATTTACATGTCCTGTCTAGAATAAGAAACCTCTGAATTAAATCACAGCTACAAGACTGAAGTGAAATATAAAACATAAACCTCCTGACAATGTATAATGAACTTGTCCAGTTTTTTAATTAGAAACTGACCATTGTGAGTTAGAGGGATTTCAGAATTTTATCATTCAAAATATTAAGAATGTATTCAGACTGAATTGATGTGCATGGCTCTATACTGGTGGCATTTGTATTTCATGTGCTACTGCCAACCTTAATTCCTTTAATGGACTTGTCCATCGAACCATTCATCACTTTTAGGGAAAATTTCAAAATATGCACAGGCTGAATAATCAACGGGGCAGACCATGATCAGATGGCAAAGAACAAGCCCGCATCATTGGTTTGCACTGGTAGGATCAGTTGCTCCCAGCAGGCTATTTCCTCTCAACTTACAGAAGAAAAATAGCCAAATTTTCATAAATTAGCCTAATTGGTTCATATCAAGTTCTAAGACATACACAATAAAATCAATTCTTCAAAAATGAATATAATTTCGAATCAAAGGCTTGTAAAAAAAAACAACTACTGCCTCCATGTGAATAACTTATCTTAATCAATTAATTATACAAAACACATGGCCAAATTAATAATCTTGTACAAAGCACATGGAAGTTAAAGTAATCAATAATTTTTTATATGGCACAAAGTGGAATAATTATTCTTGTACAAAGCACATGAAGGAATCAATAATCTTGTACAAAGCACATGGTGGAATCAAAAATATTGTACATAACACATGGAAGTTAAAGTTATCAATAATATTTTATATAGCACATGGCGGAATTAATAATCTTGTACAAAGCATGATTTTTTAATCAATATTCTTGTACATATCACATTTAGAAATCTATTATCATATACAAAACACACAGTTGAATCTAGTATCTTTAACAAAGCACATTGTTGAGTTCATAATACTATACAACGCACATGGTGGATTAAGTTACCTTGTACATACATTTAACAAAAAATCTTTTACAAAAAACACATGGAGGAATCAAAAAATCTTGTACAAAGTGCATGGTGGAATTCATTAACTTGTACAAAGCACATAGTAAAATAAATAATCTTTCACAAAGCACATGGTGGAATCAATAATCTTTCACAAAGCACATGGTGGAATCAATTACCTTGTACAAAACACATGCTGATATTGATAATCTTATACAAAGCATATATTGGAATAAATTTCTTAAACATTACACTTTAAGGAATCATTTATCACATGCACAACACATGGTTGAATTCATAACCTTATACAAAGCACATGGTGGATTAAGTTACCTTAAAAACACAAAAATTTTTTACAAAGCACATGGAGGAAGAAATTATCTTGTACAAAGCCAACAACAAGTGTTGGAATTAATACTCTTGTAACTAGAACTGTGTCCAAAGGACACGGATGCCCCCACTGTACAGATGTACTCGTAAACAAGAGCATGGATATCATTCTGTATGTAAGATTTTTATGTGGAACTTTTTATAAAAATCTGCCATTCGGTTTAAGAGGAGTTGCGTTCACAAAATTTCTTTATGGTATATAGTGAAAAAATCAACAAAGGGCCATAATTCTGTTAAATTTGGTCGCAGCAAAAATTCCTTCCTTTACTACCATCTACACATTAAGGTTGTTCATCCCTGGAAGTTTAAGCAAAATCTGCCATCCGGTTTAAGAGGAGTTGTATTCACAAAATTTCTATATGGTATATAGTGAAAAAATCAACAAAGGGCCATAATTCTGTTAAATTTGGTCGCAGCAAAAATTCCTTCCTTTACTACCATCTACACATTAAGGTTGTTTATCCCTGGAAGTTTAAGCAAAATCTGCCATCCGGTTTAAGAGGAGTTGCGTTCACAAAATTTCTACATAGTATATAGTGAAAAAATCAACAAAGGGCCATAATTCTGTTAAATTTGGTCGCAGCAAAAATTCCTTCCTTTACTACCATCTACACATTAAGGTTGTTTATCCCTGGAAGTTTAAGCAAACTCTGCCATCCGGTTTAAGAGAAGTTGCGTTCACAAGATTTCGGGACGTACGGACAGACGTACGGACGGACGGACAAGTGCAACGCTATATGCTCCCCACTTTGTGGGGGCATAAAAAGTACATTGCAGAATCAATTAACTTGTAGATAGTGCATGGTGGAACCGCAAATTTTGTTCTTAACAAAATTTTTGCTGACTTGTTTAACAAGTCTACGATGGAATTCAACAACACATTCTGGGCTGTGTAGTTTTCCCTATCATATGTGAACACATATAACATCAGCATAATTTCTGTGTATGGTCATCTGCGTACAAGAGGAGTGTCTACGATTTGAAAACTATTTTCCACTGTCTTTTTACAGTATCTGAAGAACAGCTGTTCCGACTGCTCTAGAATTGAATCCAGATTTATTTCCAAACTGAAACATATAAAACACATATCATTATTAATTATATTTAATAAAACATTCATCAAATTTTACATCTTATTTGTTACCTGTTGTAATAGAAATCTCTTAACTTAATTATTTCCATTCAGTAATAGACCATTATCACGATAAAATTAACTACATTGTAAACATATGTGTGAAAAAATATAATATGTACCTTATACATACGAATTCCTACATTCAAACACTATCATATTTAAACTTAAATATAACTAAGTTTTAGCTCTATTCTTTTATTTCTTTCAAGTTGTAATTTTTAATTATTTCCATTCAGTCCAAAAGACATACATTTGTACGTGTATAGAATTTCTGACAGGAAGTCTTTCATTGAACAAGGTACTTACTTATTTATACACTCAAACACCATCGCAGCATCGTAACATCGGAACAATTTATCTCTACACGTTTCTAGCAATGCTACACACATAAACAGCTCAAACGTGTATTCTGCCTCCGTATCAATAGGCTCTGTCCTGGTTACGCCACCTGGTGGTCATATATACATATACATGTACAATATCTCTTTATTTTTTGTTTTTGTTTTGTTCTTATACTGCACAAACACAGAGGAGGTCATATGGGGACTTCCCAGTTGTATTAGTGCATTTTTTTTTTAATTTCAGTTTAAGTTTAACATAGCATGAACGCAGTACAGGTCATATGGCGACTTTTCAGTTGTACTGGTGGATATCAGTTGGAGGGGGGAGTCCTCAGATGCCCCTCAGTGCATTATTTTACAAGCAAATTCGTTGAATTTATATCCCCCGCCGAGTACTGGTTATTATTAAAACAACAACTGAAGACATAAGGCTTTATTTATATATTAATCATGGCATAAACAGTAATATTCTTTGAACTTGATGAATATTCAGGGCAATAACAGAGCCATAACTTTGTGTTAAATAGTAAAATCTGGAAATGCCAATGAGATGTATGCAAACTACATAACTAATCAAGGGCCATAAATCTGAGTTATAAGTATCTGACTGGAACAAGGCAACTATATGCACATCTCCTCTTAGTATCCCATAAAGTTTCATTGAATTCCAGCCAGTAGTAGCAGAGAAGTAGCGAGGAAACAAATATTTTTCTATATGGATACTGCATAAGTAATCAAGGGACATAACTCTGAGTTACAGTGTCTGACCCTCACAAGCCGACGATATGCGCATCTCCTCTTGGTATTGAAGGTTCCCATAAAGTTTCATTGAATTCCAGCCAGTAGTTGCAGAGAAGTAGCGCGGAAACGATTTTTACTCTATATGCATACTACATAACTAATCAAGGGCCATAACTCTGAGTTAAAGGGTCTGACTAGAACAAGCCGACGATATGCGCATCTCCTCTTGATATTGATGATTCCCATAAAGTTTCGTTGAATTCCAGCCAGTAGTTGCAGAGAACTACTCCGGAAACGATTTTTACTCCATATGCATAACTAATCAAGGGCCATAACTCTGAGTTAAAGTGTCTGACCCAAACAAGCCGACGATATGCGCATCTCCTCTTGGTATTGAAGGTTCCCATAAAGTTTCGTTGAATTCCAGCCAGTAGTTGCAGAGAACTACTTCGGAAACGATTTTTACTCTATATGCATACTACATAACTAATAAAGGGCCATAACTCTGAGTTAAAGGGTCGGACTGAAACAAGCCGACGATATTCGCATCTCCTCTTGATATTGATGATTCCCATAAAGTTTGGTTGAATTCCAGCCAGTAGTTGTAGAGAACTACTCAGGAAACGAAATTCGGACGGACGGACAACGCCAAAACTATATCCCCCTCCCGATTCCATCGGTGGGGGATAATTAGGGGGCACCTGAGGAGAAACATGGATGTTCAGTTAGCTAGCTTCCTCATATGAAAGAATCTAAAGTTTCTGGCAGGATTTGATCTATATTGGTGAGGGGCAAGTGGTTCGAAGTCTACAACCTTTTAACCACTTGGTCTTGCGCGCCCTATTTTCTTATTTTACATGTGTTTAGTAATTAACATTAGAACAGTTACATATTTGCATGACATTGTGTAAATGTACAAATCAAAGTGAAAATTGTACATGTATGTTACATCAAAGTTAAAATTGTACATGTATACATCAAATAAAAAATTTAACATGTATGTTACATCAAAGTGAAAATCGTACATGCATGTTAAATCAAAGTAAAAATTGTACATGTATAAGTATCAAATCAAAAGGAAAGTTGTAAACATGTATAAATCAAATGGAAAATTGTAGCTGTATATTAAAATCAAAGGGAAAACTGTAAACATGTACATGTATAAATCAAAGTTGAAATTGTACAAATTAATCATGTTACCTTATACAGTCTAATACAATTTGAGGAGGTTATTATACATGGTTAAGTACAATACTGAATTATATTTGAGGAATACACAGCCATAAAACCTATATCGGACTTGGCTAGTGCCTTGTTCAATATAGTTTTAAATTGGACGAGGCACTAGTCAAGTCTAATATAGGTTTTACAGCTGTGTATGAGTTTATAAAGGAGTTTAACTACCAACGATAAGGTAGCTTGTCATAGCCAGGTTAAATATTTAAAAGAGCATTTTACTAACCTTGCCTAACAAACTCTTTCATAGCTTGTTTTCTTTTAGCAGTTTCTGCCTCTATAGATGAAAGCTCTAAATGATGACTACTCAAGATCTCAAACACACGTAGTGAGTCCATAAAACTAAACTCTCTCTTAAACCCAAGTAACAACCATCTGTAATATGTATAAACAAAATAAAAAAATTGAAAATCTATATTTTTGTGTTCTTTAAAGTGGATTGGTCTACAAAAAAAATTCTGAAAATCTAAATCTTTGTATACTCTTTAAAGTGGATTGGTCTACAAAAAATCTGAAAATCTATATCTTTGTATTCTTTAAAGTGAATTGGTCTACAAAAAAAAATTGAAAATCTATATCTTTGTATACTTTAAAGTGGATTGGTATACAATGGACGTAATATTCATTGAACATTTCAAATATTGATTAAAAACAATAGAAATGTATCATTTGGATATCATTTATAAAATACTTCTTGAAAAAGGTTTAAGTGATTTAGAATGAACATTACTGAATATTTAATAATTAAAAAATTTTGTTCCAGAACAATTTATTATCATTTATCTGCTATAAAAATTTATACGCATATCAGATCATGTATCTCACATTTGCCAACAACACCCATATATAATTATTCTATGGTTTGTTGTAATGTCTTATACTAATTACTATCAACATTATAATCTATTGTATAACAGACCTTCCAATATAGACCAATTCACTTTAACAATTGTTTAAAACTTATAAAACTTAAAAGTGCAAATTCCTCTGGAAATATACAATCCTGCCTGAAATATGTACTCACAACTACTTCCTTACATGCAAACTCTCATATTACTGAGCCTTACCATTCATTCCCTTGACAAAATGATGTGGCAAGGTAATTTTTCTCTGATAAATGATGTTTTCAAGGTAACTTACCTATGACAAAAGAGGTTGGTACAGTAACTTACCTATGACAAAAAAGAGGTAGGCATGGTAACTTACCTATGACAAAAAGAGATTGGCAAGGTAACTTTCCTATGACAAAATGAAGTTGACATGGCAACTTACCTGTGATAGTAACTTACCTATGACAAAAAGAGGTTGTCATAGTAACTTATCTATGACAAAAGAGGTTGTCATAGTAACTTACCTATGACAAAAAGTGATTGCCATAGTAACTTATCTATGACAAAAAGAGGTTGTCATAGTAACTTACCCATGACAAAAAGTGATTGCCATAGTAACTTATCTATGACAAAAAGAGGTTGTCATAGTAACTTACCCATGACAAAAAGTGGTTGTCATAGTAACTTATCTATGACAAAATGAGGTTGGCATGGTAACTTACCTATGACAAAAGAGAAGATCACCAAGATCATGTCTCTGAAGATGTTCAAGTAAAGGTGAGTCCATCTCTAATAACAGCTTTCTCACCAACTCTACAACAAATAAAATGTGCTACACAGTTCAGATCCTGATATTTACAGAGCCATTGACCTTGACACAGGTGATATGGGTGATAAAATATATAGCAAATCAATGAATAATCAAGAAGTCTTTAAGTTTAAATACATGTACATTGTACTTTGTCTGTACAACAACTTAACTTAATCATCATCTAAAAGTGAAACATAGAACTATATTTTTTATAAAACAGCCATAGATGATAAAAGTTAGATCATGTACTAGTTTGTTAATTTGTTTGATTGGGTTTTTACATCGCACCAATACAGTATAGGCCATATGGTGACGTTCCAGCTTTACTGGTGGAGGAAGACCTCAGGTCTTATTTCAGGCACAAACGGGCACCTGAGTAGAACCACCGATGTTGCATAAGCTAGCTAGATAGCTTCATCACATGAAAGAATCCAAAGTCCCTGTCAGGATTCAAACCCACAGCAGTGAGGGGCAAGTGGTTTGAAGTCAACAATCTTAACCACTCGGTCAGGCACCCCACTCATATACTAGTGAGTTAACATTAATCTTAAATGACAATTTTACTTCAATTTTCAAAATGTCCTATACAACTGGCGGCAAATTTTACAAACCATTTTTGGGGGCGATTTTAACTCCAACCTTCAATGTACACTGTAAATGTCATTTGGTGTCTTTCAAGCTATACTGATGGAAGAAGACCTCAGTTGCCCATTTCATTAAACAGGACCTTCTTTTAGACAGGTCAGGCTTTAAATTTGTTTATGTGGTTATTACACAAAGAGATGTTATAATAAGTTCATATTATTGACTGAAGTTACTGAACAAACTTACCTATCTTATTTATCATTCCAACTTCAAGGAAATCTTCTTTTATCTTCTCTAAATAGTTATTAAAACACCAGAATGCCTCAACCTAAATAACGTCAACAAAAATTAAAAAAATTACCCTTTTATTTATTTATTTACAATTTTCTTTAATCTTAGCTTAAGATTTACACTTAAGTCATTTTTTTTTCAATGTCAAGCAGAGCTAATTTGACTATATAATTTACAAGATTGGCCTTTATAATTGTAACTGATCAACAGTTGATATTCAGAAATGTTTCAGATGAAATATAAATCTGCCTAAAATATGAAAAGACTGTCGCACTATTTTAAAATTGAAAGTTACAGGTAAATTACAATGGATATTTATAGAAACTTCCTTGGGCCATGCGAGTATGTACTTGTTCATGCAAAGTACATGAAAGTTATAAAATTGAAAAGAATTATGACAAAAAGTTAACTTATTTTGACTTTCACCTTTTCACTCAATAAATACCAGTGGATGGGCATAATGTCACTTTCAGATTTAAACTTTACTTCAGATTCACTTGCTAAACTGATACAACATACATGTAATCACCTGACAAATATATGACAATACATTTGTATATGGCAAAAAAAAAAACCCCACCAGCAATTATGTAATACGAATGCGGGCAAAAACATTTGCTTCTCTAGAAAATATGTGTACAACATGAGCACCATATTGCCATCTTAGTGCAGTAACAGGTAAAGTCCCTCTAAATTTAATTCAAGTTAACCAGTTATTTCACTATGGAGACAATATGTAATGTTAAACTTGTCTGTTTAAAATTCTTAGTTAAAGAGGGGCATAACTCAAAAAGTATTGCCTTCAGAATTATGCTGCTTGTCTAAAAAATGCACCTTGTCATGATAAAGCAAGTATTTCAAGTTGATAACTCTTAAAATGTTTGAACAATGGGCTATATTGAAGTTTTTGCATGATGGCAGTATTGAAGATGTGACGAAAACAACAACAACATCCCAGTTATCATAATTGCTTGACATTTTCCCCGTAAAAGACGAGCTTAAAATACAGCATACCTCAGAATCAAAGACGTACAAGAATCTGGCGAGTATGTCATTCATACCCTGGGCATAGCCTATGTCCGGATGAAATGTTGCATATGTTATCAAAATATCGCGTAACATGGACAGCTGATTGGAGGTAGATTCCCTGAAAAGATACAGAAAAATGTTTACTATTAGTCAGCTACATTTGAAAGCTATTAAAGCACATAGATTTTGCTAATGTTTATATAAGTATTGCATAATTCCCTTAAGCAGACTTGAGTCTGCATAAAATAAAGCTACAAGTTTTCTTCACAACCGTGTATACTAACCTTTTTCCTGGCTACCAAGCTGTACTGCAAAATCATTATTTTTTCGTGGAATTTTTTGTGGATACATCTATCCACAAATTTAAGTTTAATCACATATTTTGTCTGTTGTAATTTTATTTTGCATTAAATTTTTTGCATTTTACACTTTTTGCAAAAGCAGACAACTCACAAATTCAAAAACACACGAAATTTGTCTTTTTTGTTAAAACCACGAATCACATAGTTCATGCCCATGAAATTTAAGTGAATTCACAGTATATATTTGAAATATCCATATACCCTCATAGCTTAACCTGACTCTTAGTTTTTGTTGAGTTTATTAAATTATAAACAATGATGAGAGAAGGAAAGACTTACTTAAAGTATGGCACATCTCTATCTGTTCTAGGAACATCTTTGTCTATAAGTCGTAAATAATTCTTCATTCCCGTAACATCGATCTTACATCGATTCACATAGACCTGTAACAAAACATATTCTGTGTGTATAATATAAATGCTAAGTGAAAGACAACAGAATATGCAAAAACTTATGCTACTTAACAAAATATGAAATAAAAATGAATTGATTCCAAGCATATAACAAATGGTAACAAGAGCTGTCGGTAGGACAGCAACGCTTGACTATTCTTAGTGCTTGATAGTAAAAAAAAATGCTTAATACAGTTACCTCCTCCTGTTTACAGGTTGGGGTAATGATGGTGAACAAGTGTGCAATGTTTAAAAGCCATAGGTCAATGGACTTTGAAAATATTTGAACTATTACAAAAACTATAACGTAAATTCTAAGTAGAAAAAGGGGCATAATTCTGTCAAAATGCTTGATACAGTTACCTCCTCCTGTTTACAGGTTAGGGTAATGATGGTGAACAAGTGTGCAAAGTTTCAAAGCCATATGTCAATGGACTTTGAAAATATTTGAACTATTACAAAAACTTTAACGTAAATTCTAAGTCGAACAAGAGCTGTCAGTAGGACAGCAACGCTCGACTATTCTTAGTGCTTGATAGTAAAAAAAATGCTTGATACAGTTACCTCCTCCTGTTTACAGGTTGGGGTCATGATGGTGAACAAGTGTGCAAAGTTTCAAAGCCATATGTCAATGGACTTTGAAAATATTTGAACTATTACAAAAACTTTAACATAAATTCTAAGTCGAAAAAGGGGCATAATTCTGTCAAAATGCTTGATAGAGTTACCTCCTCCTGTTTACAGGTTTGGGTCATGATGTTGAACAAGTGTGCAAAGTTTCAAAGCCATATGTCAATGGACTTTGAAAATATTTGAACTATTACAAAACTTTAACGTAAATTCTAAGTCGAAAAAGGGGCATAATTCTGTCAAAATGCTTGATAGAGTTACCTCCTCCTGTTTACAGGTTGAGGTCATGATGTTGAACAAGTGTGCAAAGTTTCAAAGCCATATGTCAATGGACTTTGAAAATATTTGAACTATTACAAAAACTTTAACGTAAATTCTAAGTCGAAAAAGGGGCATAATTCTGTCAAAATGCTTGATAGAGTTACCTCCTCCTGTCTACAGGTTGGGGTCATGATGGTGAACAAGTGTGCAAAGTTTCAAAGCCATATGTCTATGGACTTTGAAAATATTTGAACTATTACAAAAACTTTAACGTAAATTCTAAGTCGAAAAAGGGGCATAATTCTTTCAAAATGCTTGATAGAGTTACCTTCTCCTGTCTACAAGTTTGGGTCATGATGGTGAACAAGTGTGCAAAGTTTCAAAGCCATATGTCAATGGACTTTGAAAATATTTGAACTATTACAAAAACTTTAACATAAGTGGTTACGCCGACGCCGACGCTCGGGTGACTGCAATAGCTCTACTTATTCTTATCGAATAGTCGAGCTAAAAAGGGGCATAATTCTGTCAAAATGCTTGATACAGTTACCTCCTCCTGTTTACAGGTTGGGGTAATGATGGTGAACGAGTGTGCAAAGTTTCAAAGCCATATGTCAATGGACTTTGAAAATATTTAAACTATTACAAAAACTTTAACATAAGTGGTTACGCCGACGCCGACGCGGACGCCGACGCTCGGGTGACTACAATAGCTCTACTTATTCTTATCAAATAGTCGAGCTAAAAATTCCAAAAATTTTTAATTTGATATTTTAGGTAAAGGTCATTTAGGATTCGAAGTTATATAACAATTAATCAAAATGAAGATATGGTTCACACATATAATTGTGTTTAAATACAAATAGTCAAGCTAATAGAATGGTTATGACAAAGTATAACAATCAATGTCTGTAAAGAGACGGTCCATTTTGAATTTGAGGCAGTCTATTTTGGTTTTATCACAACCTGGCGGTCATTTTTAGTTTTATTACAATCAACAAAGATTTGAAACAGTCATTTTGGCCCACAGCTACCTCCAGTCCTAATGACCACCATGGTAGGGTAAATTTTTACACACAAAAAAAAGCATATTGAAGATTAACAAATTTAGTAAATTAACTCATACCTGTGACTGTATTTTCATAAATTCTATTTTCTGTTTAGTCTCTTCGCTGTTGAAATCTAAAAATTTACAGTTTTTGGACAGTGCATTGAAATCTGATTCCATGCTGTCGGCCTGCGCGGCTTCAACATTAATACTGAGGTTTTCAACATTGGCTAGAGGGTCACTGGTTTCCAGTGTCGGGCTCTGTAAACCGTTCTGTGGATTTTCTAGCTGGTACCTGGCCACCAGACCTTGCTCAAACTTGGTTGCTTCGAATAAAGGTAATAAAAAGGATAAGCAAACATTTTCTTTCTGACATGAGAAATATTTGAAAACACGACAAAAAAGGTTTTTGAATATCATTCTGTACTGTTAGTATAAATAAATTTAAATGGTTTAAGATGAAAAAAGTAAGAGTATACTTTACAGAAACATTACATCATTTAAGTTAGTGAAAGCACGTTATAGCTAAATGGGGTATATTGTACAACATTAAAAAGGAAAGTAATTCAACAGAATCCATGCTTGAGATATTGGTCTTTGTCAGTTGTGTCCAGCAATTACATACATACAAATACATATCATTATACACCATAGCTTTCATATGTATCTGTTAGACTTACCTCCTGGTTTAGCACTAAGAACTAGTAATGTTTTCCATCTAGACTTCATCTCATTATATTTGACAATATAATCCAATAATAATACTTCCCTCTCCCTGAAATAATCAATTTAACATCTTAAAGGAACTCCACTGAGGTCAAAAAGCCTAGAAACATAAAATTTGAAATTCTTACATAGATCAAGTTAAGCACTTAAAATGGACAATTTTGCAAAGAATAATAAATGAATATGTTCCGAATTAAATTGACAATCTAAATTAAGTGCAATTCTCAGCCTGATTTGAGAGGAAAGCATTGCAACGCTTTTCATCTTTGTGCCATTTTCAAAATAAAAATGACTCTGGGAAAATGTTCTGAAAATTTGTCAAAGAAGATGTTTTTTGTGTATTCTAAAATTTAGGGTTTGTGTAAAAAAAGTAAAATGCAAAATAACATAATAAAAATAATTGATCGCAAACAAAATAAGATTTTGTTGGATTTGGAATTCGGTGATTGATCTATCCATTAAAAAACACGATAATCTGTGCCCCATGAATAATAATGATTATGCAGTATCTGTGCAGTCTGACCAGGCTTTGTACTGCTTAATTTTGAATTTTATTGAAATCCCTTAAAATCTAAATGAACTAGTCCAAACTCCAAGCAGGGCAAGTCCATTATAAAAATTCAGCAGGTCAAGGGTCAAAGTTCATGTCCGTCCAAACATAACAAACTTTATGCAGAGCTTCCATTAAGTTCCAAAATTTGAAAGAGACTGAAAATGCTTGACATTGAAAGTCACATTATATAGGTAAAGAAGGAAAAGCCTTAAATTTTGGAAGTCACAAGTCAAAATCGGGAGTAAATGACTCCCAAACTTCCACTAAAGGAAGGAAGCCCTGACTTTATGTATCAATTTGATGAGAAAATAAATCATAATAGACTTTAATCAACCTGACCTGACTTTCCGATGAGTTTACATTAAAAACAATCATCCACCTATGCAATGAAGCATTATTCTTTTTAAGTTGATTAATATGCTAGCTGTTTTTTAAAGCCACATTATGCCTCAGAATTCCATATTCATTAAATTCTTTAGAAATGTCAAACATTTTTTTATTTAGTAATCTACAAATGGATTTAAAGCATGTTATTGTGATTAACATGCTGAATTTGCAATTATGGGTCTAAAAATTGCAAAATGTAAACAAAGTACCACGGTACTATTTTTACTTCCATACAAAATTCTCATTCATTATAATTATACCAATTGGTTTTGTTATTAATTGCCAACAAAGCAAAATAAGCATACATGGTTAAACTATATGGCAAATGTGATTTTTTTTTCAAACTGTATAAGATACCAAAAATGAAAAAGTTTTTTGAGAAATAAAACTGATAGCACTACTGAAGCATAATGGGCCTTTAGGTCTACAGCCATTTTGTTTAATTCTCTAGTTTTAAGGTTAAAGGTTAACAACATATGTAAATTTTACATCATACAGCAAACTCTTACCTCCTTGTTGAAGAGCATGGATAAAGAGCAAACAAATACTGCCATACTTCTCTTCTAGCGTTCGGTTCCACACCGCCTGAAACCAGTATTGAAAACAAAGTTAGGCATCTGGTGGCAAATGAATTATCATTACATGATGTCTGTCTGGCAAGCATGATATTATTTTATTCAATGAGTTCAATAAATTTAATAATGAACTTACACAAATTTAATATTCTATTTATCACATACCAAAAATAAAGACCATTTGAAGTGAAAAAGAACCATTTTTCAGTGTTGCACCTGTAGTATAATGCTAACATTTAGCACCTCTTAATGCTATGTTTATAATACGCAAATGATGTCACGTCAAAATATATGCACAGCTGTGCTAAAACATTTCTATGGTGTCACAAAAGTGCCACAGCTATGTGATAAAGCTGTAATAGAGAATGCTATTAATAGAAAATATGGCATAGATATACATATGTAACATACAGTATACCAAGTTTACCTAAAAACACGGTTCTCCTCAATAATGACTCATCCACCAGTCTTCCATCTGTATCTATAAATTTCTGGAAATTCTGTAAGGTCAATGGCTCTGTCCTTTGACTTATTGGTGATACCTGCTATAGATAATCATTAATGAAAACAATGGTTATATATCTAAATGTATTTGCAAAGGTTCAACTTTATAATTATTAATGTGAATCCAAAAGTCAAAATTTTGAAGAAGGATAAATTATAATTTTGTTTGTTTTTCAGATTTTTATGCACAGTTTTAACACATTTTTGGCTGTTGATCCACCTACCCAGATTCCCTGGATAACTAACCAGTATTTTCCCAATTTCTCTGCAAGTAACTAGTTATTAATCCCATATGAAGATTTCTAAATCATCAGTAAGAGAAAAAATGTCCAATTAGACTAAATGTTCTGCATCAATGTCATGGATAAATTTTGCCTTGAATGTGGATTAAATGTGGATCAAACCAGTGACCCCTAGATTATAAATATGATGCTCTCTCCATATCATATAGTAGCCTGTAGATATTCCTTTTTATAATTTTGTCAGAGTAGCATTGGTAGGCTTACAATTTGCCATTTTAATAATCTAATTGCATGAAATTTTGATGTGCTCTTCTTTGGATTGAAACATATTAGACTCCATAAATTGACTCTATAATTTCAAGTAAGAACTACTATCATAACTTAAGATTATTTAATATATTAAATGAGTCAAAATATGAAGTTTTACTGAAATTTAGATAAAGAAAAAAAAAATTATATTAAATCAAATAAAAAATAAGTTGTGAAGGAAATAAATGTATTCTTACAGAAGAAATTGGTTTTATATACATGTATTATGTTCCAGCAAAATGTGAAGAAAAATGTTATATTACACAAACATGTGAAGAAAATAAATATATACATGTATCTCTGACAGTAAGTTGTGAAGAATGTACATCATTTATGTATTCTGAAAGTTGTGAAGAAAATCAATATGCATATACTTTAGTAGGTTGTGAAGAAATTTTTCTTTATGTTTTAGCAACTTTATCTACATGTAGTTATGAAGAAAATTGTTGTTTTGCGAAATCAATATATTTCAGCAAGTTTTGAAGAGAGAAAAAAACACCTGATTTTGTATATCTTCTTTATTTGCTTCTGTGTTTCTTGTATTACTTGATGTATCCCCAGCAAGACTTGTTGCAAGCACATCTACTGATCTTACAAACACAAATGAGTCATCACTTTTTTCCCTCCTAATATTTTTCCTGAAACATAAAAAGTCAGAAAATATTTTGTAATGTCCTCCCAGTCATTCTAGCAGTACGAGTACGTGGACATGTAAAGCAGGCATATTTTATTTTAATTCAAATTCTAGAACACATAAAAATATAGAAATCTGATTAAAATGTTAATACTTTTTAACTGTCTACTGGTCGGGGACCATCAACCTGACGCTTTTTAAACATTTTTCCGTACAGATTTCATAATTTTTAACCTAAGAGACCAACAATTTGACACAGTTCAGCAAGGTTCTTCTCCTAACTTAACACACTAGTTTGTTTATTTCTGATTGTATTGACACTTATATGTGACGCTCGACAATGAGGGTATCAAAATTACCTAAATAGCCTTCGATCTGAAGGTAACACTGTTCTAAAAATAGATTTTACCTTATCACCACTACATCACCTGTACTGACTTTCGGACAAGGGATTAGGGAGTACACATTATACATCATGTTAATCAGCGTATATTAACTTTGTTTACATGCAATATTTTAAGATATTTAATACAATTGTAGAAAGCAAACAAGTTGGAAATGGAATTTTGTGTGAAAAGAAAAGGGACACTACACACTGTACTTTTTTAAGTTAAATTTAAACATATGTCACAATCTGCTCTGACCTCTATATATACATCTTTAATTTACACCTTGTCAATAAAACAAAGTTTAAAAATGCAAAAATATTTTGTGTGAGACATAAAATAAAAAACAAATGTATTTTATTGTCTGTACGTAAACAGTGTATGTTAAATCACGGACCTCAATTGTCAATTCAGTTTAAATATACATGCAAGCATGCATGTACGTATACAAATAAATACTAGAATCGGCATTTTTTATTAGGAAAAATAGGAAAAATGCAGAGTTTTGCTTATTCTAAAATTATTAAAGAGTTAAGATATTAATCATTATATAATCTAATACTCGTAGCACTTTGGTGGATAGATTCATGACATCTCCAATCTACGTACGTATTTATATAAAAAAAATTTGTATGGTACATGTATATCTGGAACAGAAAGATGCACTTTCATTTTTAGTCCCAATTTCTTAAAATCATACCATATCATATCACCATTTCTAATTTTGATAAACAGTGAAACAAAAACAAATTGCCAAGCGCCGGCATTTTTCTCAAATGTTGACATGCAGGGAAAGTATTGCCCCGAAAGTTATTTCTTTTTCACCATATCATCTTTATTTTCCTGATGGTTTTAAACCATCTCAATTATGCTTTACGCAAGTTTAACTCCAGGAACATCATTTCCATTGAGAGAAATGTGAATGAAAGTATTCGTAACCATTATGTTGTATAATCTACATGTAGATTAACCAGTTTCCTTGTCCGAAACTTATTGATATGTGGCTATTTTTAGAACAGGCCTCTTATCAGTGACGTATACGATGCTTATCTCAGATTGTTCCCTATTGTCTACACTACAGTACCATGTGTCCGAACAGATATGTACATGACATGATTTAATTCAGATAAAAGCTTGGGTGTTTTTATTTTTTATTTTAACATGATATACAATATTTCAGCAACAAATGCTGACTCTGGTTTTGGATATTCTATTGTTTACACTGCAAATGATTATAGTTGGTAATTGAGGTCAGGCATTTCTTTCTTGACCCCCATTCTCAACGTCAACATTCTTGAAATAGACATTAAAATATTACCATTTACAGAGGTTGAAATAAATTTATTTACTTAAATTTAGAAGCAACATGCATTTACTGTTGATACAAAAGTGACTGACAACCACTGAAGAAAGAAATTACTAAATTAAACATTTTCGGGGCCGTTGGTAGTTGGTAATTGAGGTCAGGCATTTCTTTCTTGACCCCCATTCTCAACGTCAACATTCTTGAAATAGACATTAAAATATTACCATTTACGGAGGTTGAAATAAATTTATTTACTTAAATTTAGAAGCAACATGCATTTACTGTTGATACAAAAGTGACTGACAACCACTGAAGAAAGAAATTACTAAATTAAACATTTTCGGGGCCGTCCGGGTTTGGTGGTTGTCCGGTTTTGGTGGTCCCAGACCAGTAACCAGACCAGACAACATAAAATTAGTACTATGTAATTTGATTGTAGTCTGCACATGTATTATCCAGACATACCCAGGAATTTAAACATCACAAACATCTAAAATTATTTTGGCATATAAACAGGTCTAGGATTTCATGATATTTAGGAACAGTCTAAAGATTTATAGACCATCCTTAATTTTATAGATTTTTCAATGTGTATATTTACAGACATAATGATTGAAAGTAGTAAAAGTTGCATTAAAATTCAAAACCGCATGCTGAAATGAATAAAGTTATAAATTATATGATTAATTGTAAATATATGGTAAATTTCAAAACAATTTGATCACTTACAATTTTTTTTTTCAAAAACTTCAAAGTCATCATAAAAAGATGAAACTTGTTTCATGACCTTTATTTATAAAGTTGCGAATTATAGTTTAAAATAATAAAGCAAATTTCTAATTCATGTCTATATATTTATGGATTGCAAAATCTTTAAAATTTATTAAAAATATTATGGTTTGTCCATAAATCTCACGAAATCCTAGACCTGATAAATTTATGCCATCGCGAAAACTCATTATATTCTACTTTAACTACTACAAAATAAATATCTTCTAATATTATTTATAAAACTTGAATAAACAATTTCAATATTGTTTAGTATGATACATTGTCCTTTTCCATGTAAAGGTTATATCTACAAAATAACTAAAAACATCAACCCGGAAATAAATTACCTATCGGAGGCTGACATCTTGTTTTTTTTTCCTAATCCCTTTACCATACTATTGCTATCAATTTCTCCTTGGTCTTAAAGTACTAAATGTTTTGTTTTGAATGATAACGCCTACCAAACTGAATCAGTCTTTCTGCATTCGCTTTACTAAACTTATTTTCATCACATTTAATATGAAAATGTATTTAATGTTCATAATATAAAAAAAATTATTATCCAGTGACTCTTTATACAATTATTTTACACAATTAATGAAGAGCGAGATATAAGATATACTGTACATATATACTCATGTATAATTTTATAAAATATTAGGCAATGTATGCACAGAAATGTTTCGTAGATCTAATCTTTACTTTTGCCATTGTAAGCTTGTGAAAAATATACATGCAGGCAAAGGCAAAGACAAACCCCGCACGGGCCTCACCTGCATGACATGTTTCCATTAATGTTTCTGCAGCCCGTTCCAATTTAGAGCCAGTGTACGTAGAATTAAAGTTTTACCCAGTTGAAAATAGAGACTTATGAGTCAATTTTTAGCATTGTAAACTGAACTGTTGATCAAATGTTGATTCAAAAATTTGTTTAGAACTCAATTTTCAACAGCTTGTTGAATTTTAAATTAAACGCTCTGTTGGAGAGGAGAAAAAAAGCACAATATTTTCCGGAGCCAACTAGCTGTGACTTACCCATTTTGTGTTAAAATTTTATTCCTGTTTTTTTCTTCTGTTATAATGTTTCTAGGAAGTTTTTATTTTATTTTAAATCTGTGACTTTCTGATTGGCAATAGCTTGGAGGTATATCTTCAAGGTAAAAGATGGCAAATGGCATAAGCCACCACACACACAAACACTCCAAACAATAATGATTGATTTTCTTTTGATTGTTTTTATTACTTTTCTTAAAGGCTAACGTCAATATAAAATTACGTCGATGTTTTGTCCATGTTTAAAGGTCGATACCCGTATTTACCAACACTAATGTCACAGTGTTACGTCAGAACAACGATAGCTCGAAAAATAAGATGAAAATAAGTTGTGGTCAACAAATTGTTGGCTTGTGTGATGTATTAATATACATCAGCAGAGACAGACTTCATCAAGTTCCATCCGGATCCAAATTTGAACGGATGCCGATTTTTTGGATTGGACGAAACTGTCCTTTCGTAGTTTCGAAGATGAGATTGTCATTTATATGACACATTAAAGCTTGCATGAAAGTTCAAAGAAGTGTTTCTTGAAAACATTTTTGTTATTCGTTCTTCCATCATCTAGAATCGGGTGCGATGGCTTTTATCAATATTCTGAACGTCTAAATGGCTCACAATTTTACAGCCGGCACTATATATATATACATGTATATATAAATGTAGGAAGAGTTGACATAAATTTAATTTGATTAGTGCCACAAATGTATTCTAAATGTTGTTAGCTTTTGCCGACATATTAAATCCATTCTTAATGCACTTGACTTCACAATTAAGGTGTCATTTGAATAACTTCTAAAATAATTCATTTCATGCACCTATTTTTGCACTGAAATTATTTAAAAAACACGCGGAAATCTAAATGTAGACAATGAAAATGTCAAGGTTAATGTAACGAGTATTTATTTGCAGGGAATGGAAAACTCAGATGTCTTTGACCTATACAATAACGACGCGAGAATATTAAATCAATGGTATTTTAAAACCCCATCTGCTCTTTTGCAGACGACAATTTTTTGTGATATATATTCGCGAGTGCAACCAATTCATAATGTTGTCGATCTGGCTAAATATTCTGGTCAATGCTACAAATGAGTCATCGTTATTTTTTGTATTATTATGGCTTTTATCACTAGTCATCATTATTCATCACTAGTCATCATCATCATTACGCATATCATTGTCATTCACAGTCATATTTTTGTAATGATTATTAACAACATCATTATTCATTCGTACATAATCCGTATATACATTCATTATAATGAATGAGCAATTCAGTCACGTACGTACGCGCCTTTTTCGAAAACTATACATGCATGTATTCGTATTTTTTTTCATTTTTTTTCCAATAATTTTAAAGGCAAAAAAGGAACAGGAAATCGGCAAATATTTTTAAGGAAAAACATATTGGCTACATTAGATTAAAGTCAATGTTGTGATTGGAACTTCAATAGGGCCTGGAAACCTTTAATTAGAGGTGTTGACATACAATCTGATTAAAATCAGCTCCTTAAGAACGGTACGCTTTAAGAAAAAAGTAGATCTGAACTTTAGTCATATTGTGTTGACATAGTAATGTAAATCAAGTTTTGACATATTCATTTACTGGCTCCTGCTGTGAGCTTCGGCATTTATCATCTAAACAAATTTGATCCGTTCTAATTAAGTCTAATTAAGATTTATATCGTAATAGTTTCAATATATGTGTTTATTTTCATAGGTTTTTTTCACTTGCACTGTCAGACAAATTCTTATTGATTTCACTAGCCCGGATAAAAACTTTAAGTTGCCTGGGCAGCAGGACAGCTCTGATAATTTAGTTTGATGGATGAGAAATTTATTAAACCAATCTGTTTCATATTCTACTGCTGTTTTGAGTGATCGTACACATGTCGGTTGTGTTGTACTTAGTCTAGCAAAGCGTAAACTCACGCTGAATGTGTGTGTTACATCGTCAATATAAAACACTGATCAAGTGACCTGGCTTGATTCCTATCAAGGTCAATTTCTTTGAATAAGAATTTTATTCTTCGTACGTGGCTTTATTGCACAATAATCGTGCAGCCTGAACAGGCTCTATATATATACTGGTTGCTTAGCAACTTAACAATTTTCCTCCTGATATAGATCTACCTAAACTTGATAAATGACAGTTCGAAAACTGGTCTAAAGTAAACTGGTAGAGTAAAATACATTCGCGCCCATGTTCGATGATACTAAAAGTATATTGTTTAGAAAGACGCCGACACCATAACGTCTGACGCATCCCTAAAGATACCGGAAACAAGTACCATTGCTATTTTTATGATATTATTCTAAACTGCTATTTAATCAAGATTGCACCTCTAAAGAAATGAAATACGAAAATGTTCTGCATCATTGATTTAGCCATTACCTTGATAGACCCGGAAGTGATCGATTAGTCATTGCCAAACGTATAAAGCCAGGCACCATCAGTGCTGGCTGACAAAGACTTATACGGCTTCTGTTCGCAGATTTAAACTTCTAACACAGGAACTTGAAATTCTATCAATTGATATTAATGATAAAATCCAAAATATACCACATAAACAGTATTTATACTGTATAGGGGGTATATTTTGGATATTATCATTAATATTGATAGAATTTCAAATTCCTGTGTTATATACTGTATAGGGGGTATATTTTGGATATTATCATTAATATTGATAGAATTTCAAGTTCCTGTGCTTCAAATTTTCATTTTGATACCATTAAAAATTAATAATTGACAGTTCTAATTATGGAAGCAAGTTTCTAGATCATGTAAGAAATTAAGAGGGTATACAAGTTTTCATTTTTGCGGTTATCTAAATTTAAAAAGCCTTCAAAAAGGAAGGGACCCATATGTTTGAGGTTTTTGTTCGATTTGAACTTATATTCGGAAGTTAGATTTTCAATCAAAACCGCCATACTAGGATCAATTTGAATCAATTACATGCATTTAAAAACTATATAAAGCTATATACATATACATTTGTATAGCTGTATAATAATGTAAGATTTTGCACCGATTAAGATTTATATACCATCCATGACGCAAAAAAGATATAAAACAATAGATAAAACCTATATATCTTTCAAATATTTATTTCCCTATTTAAAGAAAGTCGAAAATGAAAAGTATTTATATCCAAAGTCCTTCTTCTGGTCACAGTGCTCGGCTAATGCTGGTATCTGAAAATACAATAAATAAATAAATGAATAAATAAATAAATAAATAACCAAACAACAAAGAACTAAAACCAAACTAATAAACAAGTAGTAAGAAAGGATTAAATGAGAAAAAAACAAGTGTCCGGAAATTTTCACCACAATCAGGCTTTCTGACAACATTAGACATACATATTTGAAATGAAAAAAAACAACAATTGATTAAGAGAGTATAATACAAAGCTCTTAACTACAAAAAAATAATATTCGTGACGCTTTGTGTTCGTGTATAAAATCAGTTGCTGGAAAATTGTTCAAATGCATTAAAGTTATACTGATAAACATCAATCAGTAGTATGCAAAGAACTCACGTTGTTTAAGTCGAAGTGTAGATCACTCTTTACGTAGATGTTCATGATACCAAACAGTTTATCATCATCGTCAACCATATCGTTGTCGTTAGTAGTGTTGTCAGCAGTGTCATTCCTTGCTAATGAAATATCTACTTCGTCTTGTTCTTGAAGAGCCATGGCTTCGATGTTGACAATATCGTCATCCGATTCTATATCTAAGATATCTAGTGTATCACCGTCTGACATTTCATCAATTGCATCTATATCTATAATTGTTGAATTAACTAATTCAAACGTACCCGGCTCGATATCAGCAAAAGTATTGTTGTCCTTATTGGCTGCTCTATCTACAATTGTATCAGATGACATTGGGCAACATCGGTCTTTGTCTAAAACCTCTCCAAATAAATTGAAGTCTGCTACTTTGTTATCTTTATTGATATCTATAACTAAACTCGCTGGATCGCTTCCGAATACATCCTCTAGTAGTTTGTCGTTTAATCTCTTCTCTGTAGTTGCTGGTACATCTTCGTCAAACATATGAGAGCCTCGTTTTGAGATTACGAATACTTCATCCAGATATACATGCATATCTTCTGCGGGTGGAAAGCCTATTGGCCGAATGCAATTTTCTTTATAGGCACCTGATTCTTTATCCATTGCAATCCCTAACATTTCATTTTCATATGCTTTATCAATGGCTTCAAATGAAATTGTCCTCTTTGCTTTTAAACTTTTTTCGTTATGTTTATACAAATAAATGTTCATATTTGGCTCATTTAGGTTTAGATAATCAGAGCGTGGTGAAGTAATTCCGTCAATTCCTTCTTCGTGCCTTGGTTTTCGCCGTAAGTCACTTTTGATATCAGATGTGAAAAATTTCCTTATCGTCGATTGAATAAATTCATCAGTGGCAGCAATGTCGCATTCGATTTTTATAGATTTGTTTTCTTTCAGAAGATTCGTGTCAGATATTGTATCCGTAGCATTTTTGATTTCCTTTGGTGCCTTAACCATAAGGTGGTCATATAGCTTAGCCAGTTGTCTATCGATCTCTTTCATACTTGGGAATTCTCTCGAAAACCTTTCAGCACTTTCACCTACAATCTTTTCAATAGCTTCACTTTTACTTGCTTTCAGGTCTTCACCTTTGTTTTTTCTTTGATAACGAGCATCTGTGAACTTTCGGGTGGCATATTTCACTGAAGTTTTCAACTCCTTGCCATTCTTCGCAACGAACTTCTCAATAAATATACCACATTCGTTTCCTATACCAATGTGTAATACGGCTTTGTCGAACGTCGCACTGATTGGAATGATGACGTCATCATTGTTTGGACTAATGAGGATATCTGTAACAAGAAAAAAATGGAATTTGTAAAATAAACTCAAAATTTTAATATAGATTTGAAACTTCTTTGATTTAACACTAACATTGACGACAGATAATAAAATGCTTTCCAGTGTTTTTTCTCGAATCGAGATGTACTTTATAAAGCGGACTGTATAAGATGGTCATTTTTTTCCCAAATGTACCTAGAAATTAACGTTGACTGTAGAAGAGGGCAAATGTTTCTTTATTAACCTAGGGATGAACTCGTACTGTATAAGAGAGCGAATGTTTCTATATATACAAAGAAATGAACGTGGACTGGAATAGAAGGCTTATGTTTATATTTATACCATAGAACGCACTTGGACTGTATAATAAGGCAAATATATTTAGACATACCCAGAATGAACGCGTACTGTATACTTATGATGGACAATGTTTCTATTATATACCCAGAAATAAACGTTAATTGTATAAGAGCGTCAATGTTTATTTATATACCCAGAAATTAACGTTGACTGTATAAGAGTCTCAATATTTGTATATATATTCCCAGGAATGAACACGGACAGTGTAACAAAGTCTTTGTTTATCGATATAGCCAAGAATTACATAATTATAATATCAAATTGACCAATGATTGTTGCAGAAAATAAGTGCCAACAGATATACCAAGCAATCGCGTAAATATGCGGACGCTGATTGGAGGAGAGAACTAATATTTCCCATCCAAATATTATGTTAGTTCGAGAACAATCATGTCAGAGTAGGAAACTTTAAAGCATTTTCAGAGTAGGCATACGTAAGCAGAAACCCTTTTATGCAAATCTTTTTTTTATTTTATCCAAAATATAATAAAATATCAAAACATGTTTATATGTACATGTTCAGAACTATACATTATTTAGGGGAAGAGATCTGTAAGCGCCCGGATAGCTCAGTCCTCAAAGCCGCTGGACGGTATTCCGCGGGGCTGGGGTTCGAGTCCCAGTCAGGCTGTACATTTTTCTCACCCTGTGACATTTGGCGCCCAACATGGGGCCGTGCCCGCTTTACTCTAAAAGTATTTTTTTAAATTTTACATTGTTTCCAGAACCCGGGAAAAATTCGGGGGGCGAATTTCAATATGCGAGGGGGATGTCCCCGGTTTTTAAAAACTGTTCACTTTTTGGGAGAAGATGTTTTTAGGGGCCCGGGATACTCAGTCCTTAGAGCCGCGGAAGGGTTATTCCGTGGGTTTTCGGGTGCGGGGCCCCGGTCAATTGCACATTTCTTTTCCCCCCTATGACATACAAGGGTACCAGGGCTTCCCCCAAAAATGCATTCAATTCCCCTTTTTCAACTGCGTGCCTGCGTGTGTGCATGTGTTTGAATATATGTACCCAAACAATTATTAGTACATCGAAAGAAATATTACATTTCATACAACAATTTTGTGGTTGAGAAAATAAACAATTAAGAATTATTGATTGATATTTTTTAAATTATTCATTTTATTGTTTCCTCTGGTATGATAAGTTGAAATTAAAGACCTTTGTGCAACTGTTGCACTGTTCTTTGACTGAACGATGTGCATACGTGCGTGTCTGCGTGCGTGTGTGTGTTTGAATATATGTACCCAAACAGTTATTAGTACATCGAAAGAAATATTACATTTCATACAACAAGTATGTGGTTGAAAAAATAAACAATTAAAAATTATTGATTGATATTTATTAAATTATTCATTTTATTGTTTCCTTTGAATAATACAGTCTGGTATGATAAGTTGAAAAGACCTTTGTGCACTCTTATAAGTACAGTCAAAATTATGTATCGTAAAAAGCTTGGTATCATGACTAAGAAAATTTTCATAAAAACTCTCTCATGTATTTTGATGATTTTATTCAATGACAAATTTATATTTTTCATTTAATGTATTGAATATCGACCACAAAATTGTTAAGAGAGGGTCATGCTAAGCAGGTGTTAATGTCCTTATAAGTTTTTTTGTCAAATCTTCTCATCCAAAAGTGAAATGAAATGCAAAAATAAACTTTCTTTTTACAATAATTATAATCATTCAGATATATAGAAAATCTACCTTTAAATGTGCTTTCCGCTACACGTCGGTTGTCAATTGCCAAGTTTTCTTCCATTTTGCAGATGTGGTGTCTCTTATTTGCTTTTAATTGCATAAATATTTGTCTGCACTGTAAGTGTGCGACATTTTAATTGCTGTAACTACGTTCTGCTTGTTACGTCACAATCAATTGATGCGCCGTCCAATCATATTCAAGCATCGTGTGACGTCAAAACGTCTTTACGCAACAGACGTTATTTTGTCAAGCGGTGAATCAGTACACATTTTGTTTTAACTCGTACTTTTAACTTACACTTGTTTGGGTAGCAATTTGGGAAAAGATATTTAGTTTTGGTAAAAATAATTCTGTCAAATGTTTAACCCTTCATTAAATTTATATCTATACGTGTGTATATCGAAGCATGATGAAAAAGAACATATTTTTCATTTTCTATTTATTCAAAAAATTTTTTTAAAAAACATGGGACAAGAACAACGACAAAAATTATTTTCATCCACATATGAGTATATAAATATAACCATTTGAAAAGAAACTTTATTTGGATTGCTAATAACAGTAACTGATGGATATATTTCCCAAAACATTTAATTGTCGTGCAGGTCTGAAAATAGTTTCAATTTCCCCGAATTATTACGAACTTAGTTCACTTACGGACACAGTGTCACGTCACTCATGCGATATCATTTGAATTGAAAAAAAAAACACATTTTCGACAGAAATGTCACAAATCTATGATGCAACATGTGATAATAGCATATATTGTAGCAAAATGTATGATTGCCGTATCTAAGTATATTATCTATAATTCTACGAAAGGGTAAATAATTAAGGAATCTCTATTATATCAATTTGTAGAGAGTAATTACCTTTTATTTTAATTGTAGTTCGAAAGTGTCAGGATTAACGTGTAAAAGATCTATAAAAGAGCATGATACATAAATATACTCTCTGTTAGAGCGCGAGACTTGTAATCTAGACATTGTGGGTTCGATTCCCGGGCTGGCCAACTAAAATTACTTAATTACCAGTCTTTCGGATGAGACTTTAAATCGACGTCCCGTGTACGAATGCTTTAACACATGACACGCTAATAAAAAAACAAGGAGAAGCTTCTGGAAAAAAAACATTTTATATAGAGAAAGAACAAATCGCCGGTTCAAAAAAAAAATCGACCATGTCATGCCTTAGTTATATAGATTTAAAGAAGAACTAACACAATTTGTTATCCTCAAAGCAACGGAATCACACACATTGTGTTATAGCATAAAATTTTGGCTCCAAATAATGGTGTATTTTTTTTAAAGAAAATATATTCACTTTATATATTCTTAAAGAATAAATCGCCAATGCAGAAATTTAGCGACTACACCTTGCCGTCATTTTTGTCTTCCATTAAATATTTGAGCCTTATATATATATTGGTATAAAGAAGATCGTCTTTCAAACAGAATTTGTTTTATCTATTTGAAAAACCCTTCCACATTATTCTACTGGATCACCTATTCTTCTTATGAGTACGTATAGCGTTCATTTTAATACGACTCACTGTAAATGACATAATTTTTTGTAATTACGTGTTTGTTTATATCACACAACATCTTATAATCTCGTTTCATGAAGTTGTTAGACCACTGTTTTGTGCCCATTATCTTTGAAAATTGTGTGTTTTCGCAGACTATGCCATTCTCAAACTATAAATGTATGTGTATACATCATATAGATCTAGTCTGAGAAAACACAAAATTTTCAAAGACAAACATTTTTTATAGATTTATTGAAATCAGTTGCAATGATTATAGTATTTTTCCTGTAAAACATTAGTTTTCTTTATGAATTTTACATAAAAAAGTGTTTCATGAATATGGAAATTAATTTAGTGGTGCAAGGCCTATATAGGGCAGCACGAAATACCCAAATATACCCAAATACACCCAAATATACCCAAATATTGCCCAAATATACCCAAATATTGCCTAAATATACCCAAATATTGTCCAATTATACTAAAAATAAATGTTTTATACTAAAAAAGTGCTGTTTTAATCATGAATACAATATACACTTTCACTAAGATATAATCAAACATACCCAAATATACATTTTCCTATCATTGTGTTTTGAACCAAGATACAGTATATGTACTCCATTAAAGCTTTTTTTTTAATAACATGGACTTCTTCCTCTATTATGATATGAAATTTCAACAAAATTACACCTTAAAAATGTAAGTGTAGACAACAAATATCATATCTTGAATTAAAATTGCATTCATAAAGAAGCGATATTGTAGATAAGCAAATGTCACAACTTTATTTTCTTACAACATCTTAACTGCCCATTTCAACGGAATGAATGAAAGTTATAGCAGGCTTAGTCATGTCATTTTATAAATATTTATTTATTTCTCATTATAATCTATATTTTATACAAACAAAAATAAATATTGCTATATTTGGGTATATTTGGGCAATATTTGGGTATATTTGGGTGTATTTGGGTATATTTGGGTATTTCGTGCCGCCGACCTATATATTCACTTGGAGTATGGTGAAGCAATTTAGAAAGCCTTTTTCCCCCGATTGCCTTATTTTTATAATATCATTACATTTTTATTTTATTTGTGAAGATTTCAGTTATTCCCCGATATAGGTTAGCGTTTATATTAGATTCACATTTATTTGACCTAATACCTACCTGCATCTGGATGAATGATGTTACGCAATTGAATTTTATCCAATCAGAAAAGAGGAAGCATTCTCATCCAAAAAAGTAAACAACAAGACATCTCGACAGGAAAAATGAAATTGTCTTTGGCAATAATAGGTAAATTTAGATAATGAAATCATGTTTGTCGCGTTTTCATTCATAATCATTTTAATAAAACAATATTTTGCAAGTTTGGACCCAACTGTAAAACTGTCATGCTGACTTTTTAATAAAGCCTACGAACTACAAATAATTTTATGAACACATGAACCAAAACCCAAGACCAGGATACTGACAGTATCTATACTGGTTTCCAAGCAGTATCCGGCCCCTAGCAGTTTTTCAGCCTTTTATCATTTTTATCAAGTACAATGTACTTTTGCCAGTAAACTGTATAGCATTTTCTTCATCAAATCAGAGAGACATTCGTTTTTATGAAACACGGCAGTTAAAATAGTAGACTACAGCGTTTTCTGTTTTGAAGTTTTGCCTGTTGTTACGTAAGAAAACTTCCAACATTTTAAAATAAGTGACACCTGGGGAATTTTAGCTTGATGCCCATAGGCAATAACTGAGACCCTATTCTGTGTAAATTAATTCTTATGAACAATACATATTGCAGACCTACATGGAAACGGTCTGGAAGTTCTATTTCCTTGATAAAATCATCTTAACATTTCTTACTGGTACTGAATTTTAATCAAAATAAAAAAAGGTCGGAAAAGCTGCTATGAAATTTTGCATAAAAGTAATAAAAGGTGTTACATTTCAGGCCTATGTAAAGTAAAAGAGCAACAATAAAATCATGGTAATGCTTTACAGGTACCTAACTTTGCTCTGTCAGTCTGCGAAAAATAGGCAAAGCCCGAGCCCCAGTCTTGTAATATTCTGTTCGGGCTAGCATAAAATGTAGGGAGAGTAGTCCGACAGTCTAGCAATGTTTTGAGATAAAAAAAAACAGAATGACTGAGGGAAATATTGAATTTTTCAGTGTACATATTGGCACAAAATTTTCAGGAATAATTTATACATAGAATCATTTACGCCTGTTGTATTTATTATGATTGAGAGGGATATGCATATTGATTTTTTTTAGTAAGCTATGACGCTATAGGGGTAAGCTAAATCATGAAATCATTTGACCCTTGAACTTTGTCTACTTTACACTTCGGGTCACATTAGAATATTAGAAATAGATTTTAACTAAGTGATATCACTTTCCATTATTTTCTCTACATTTAAGTAAATTTGAAAAACCTGGCCACAGCCAAAACCTTTTGTTACAATTTTTGGGCTAGTTGAAATTGGTTCGGGCTCTATGATATTTTGATGGACAAAGCCCGAATGTCTTTGACCATAAAAGGTTTTTTAGTGCAGACTGCTTTGTTAAAGTTTTGTACTTGTCCATAGACAGATTTTTATTTTATTTGTTAAAAAGTGCGATTTGGAACGGGAAACTACTAGGAAACCAGTAAATAAATTATAAAGTCCAAAAGCTAATGTCTATCCGCGCATATTTCAAACTGACCAACATTATACTAAGCATCCAGAGCTTCTGGATGATTTTTCACTTCAAACAAACTATCAATAATATAGTTGAAATAAATCATAATCCATGTAAATGTTTTGTTTATCTGAATGATATAAATGAGAAAAAACTGTTGTGTATAAAATATTATCTTTTATCCATAAGAATTAATGAATAAGGCATTATGGCACATGCAGTTCATGCAGGTCCTGCTTACATATTCATAGATTGAGGAAGCGTTGAGAAGGTTTTACTGTTGAGACCACTTGTTGTCGAGTCCACTTGCAGTGAGCTTGACTTAGTCGTCACTTTTGGCGTACTTTTTGATTTGTGCTCATGTGCGTCAGTCAGTCTGTGCGTTCAGATTTTTCTGATCTAATTTTATAATTTACCCATTCTTTGAAGGGTTACAAAATAATTTAATATAAATGTTCACCATGATGAGGTGGTGTGTCGCACACAAAACCCAGGTCCGCAACTCAAATGTCAAGGTCATACTTGGGGGTCAGTGCAAAACCAGTGTTTTGAGTGTACCTTTTACATGTATGGAGGAATTTTGATATAACTCGGGAGAAAAATGTTTTCCATAGTGATGTGGAGTGTTGCACGAAAAATTCAGGTATCTTTGGCAAGGATCAAGGTCACACTTAGGGGTCAAAGCTCAAATAACAAATTAAAACATTAATTTGCGAGTATAACTTCTAAATGCTTGCATGTATTTTAATATAACTTGGCGCAAATGTTCACCATGATGAGTTGAATTGTCTTGCCCAAAATGTAGGTCAAGGTCACAAGAGGTCAAAGGTCAAATAAGAATATGAAAATTTTGTTGTTGACGCTTTGATGTATTATGCTTAGTGGTCAGAGGATATGAAATCTTGAGCCCACTTGCGCTAAGCTCGAAAATATTTGTCAAAATGGCTGTTTGTTGCTTGTGTTTAGGGCGTGCATCTGAACTTGTCCATCTACATCGAGGAATTTTCAAATAACATGAATTAAGTTTTTTTAGGCTCAAATTTTCATCATGAGACTTCATGTCATGCACATGAACCATGTCACCAGGTTAGAGGTCAAGGTCACCTAAGATGTTGCAATGCTTGGGTATTAAGAGGATGTGTGGTGCACATCTCACCTATGTATACATTTTTCTTCTTGATCTGAAGCTTATAGGTTCTGGTTTGAATTAAGACAAACAGGCTCAGTTTGCTCGTTGGCATGTCTTATTTTAATCTTAACAAAGAAAATATTGAAATTAAATTTTTTCTCATGAAAATTTGTGTAAAAATGTTTAGAAAATATTTAAAAGTTGACAAAAGTGAGGTGGGCAGTTTTGACTGTGGTTTTTCACATATAAGTCATTTGTCTGAAATCCAGGTAGGTTACAGAACATCCACTGGGTTCTACTAAGGTGCCCGATTATGCCTGAAATAATGCATGGTGGGGCACCTGAAGACTTCCTCAACCTCCACCAGTGATACTTGAAAGTCACCATAATTATTACCTTTACAGTGTTGAGTGATGTAAAATCCAACCAAAAAATTGATATTTTCAGGTGTTTGTGTGTTGTGTTTGGTGAAGACAGTCCAGACTACTGAAGATCCAGCTCCAGCCTGCCAATTCTGGAACAAGTTAGCCTACAATCTTTCACATGCATCAGAACAAAATGGGGGTGTTTTACAATTTGCCTGCAACCATACGTGCAACAGTGTCTCGTGTAGAGGACATTTCAAAGCTCCGGTAAGATATCATATCATCTTATTTTAAGTAGTAAGCCTACAGATGAGTAAAATAAATGTTAAAGCTGCTTGCCTCCAGATAGATACATGTAAGCAAAAATATTTCAAGAACAATTGAATTTGAGAAAAATGTACTTAGATAAAACGATTCAAGTAGTAATTAACATGTTCAATGTGTTCAATGATTGATTTTGCATTATTTATCACTATATTTCTGCTGTGTTACTAATGCAGTAAGGGCTGTTTTTTTTTGGTGTATTTTGACCTCAATTTGGTAATTAACGTGGATTGTAGGTGCCCTTTGCAATGTGTAAATTACTTCCTTTGTTCTCACAATATTGAACTTTTAAAATAAAATACATTCAAAATTTTCATGAAAATTAGCATGAATCTGGAGGTGTGCTGCTTTAAAACAATCAGGGTCTGAGGTTTAAAAGAAATTCTCTTAATCTCAGGTATTTGATTGGTCAGAAACTGCCAAAGAATTTATACGGACCAATAAAAATCCTGAGATTTGCGACAGAATTGGGAGAAAGATTTTATTGCCTCAAGTCCAGATTTTAGAAAAAATTTATACAAATTTAGATATAGTTAGAATATGTATTAATGATCATAATCCAGGTATAAATTTGAATGTATGAAGAGGAGTTTGATAGAGTTTACTATATAATAAAGTATATTATTGATACATATTTATCGCAAAAAATCCAACCTTATTTAACTCAGTACTAGTTGGTTTCAGGAACAGATTCCAGAGTAAAGCATCCTATACAATTAAACTAAAACAAGTTCTGTATAAACAAAAACTCTATCCTGTTAGTTACTAATGGAGAATACCTTCTTTAGCTAGGTTAAATTGATTTGTTCTTCTTACTTGGAGCAGTTGTAAAGTTTTCATAAGAAATTAATGCCAATCTACCAGCATGCTCCTTTAAAGGACAAAAGCAATGACATTAGTATTATATTCTTTAGTAATTGTAGTATTATAATAATTATTAAATGTAGAGTTTAATACTGACACTATTGTGTCTACATTGAATTATGCAATATGATTTAATCTTTTCTTTTTTTGCTTTGGCAGCAGTCCATAATTAAGCAGTAAAAAATTAATGTATACATTCAATATTTATAATCACTAGTTAGTTCCAACCACTTTAGCAATAGTTGGGACATAATCAGTTTCACTACTTGTAATAGGGTTTGTAAGCGAACAGCATGGATCCTGATCAGACTGCGCGAAAGCATTATGTTGGTTCTGTCATGGTGTGGCTCATATATCTTTTTTTTAAGGGGATGGTGAATTGAGGGCCCTAATCATTATAACTATCAATAAATTTTCTTACAAACTGTATTTGTTTTATTTCAGCCGGTGTTTTCTTTACATTTCGAGGAAGATTTATGTTTTGGATTGAGACTGAACCAATGTTCAAGCCCATTAGCCTTGGACTATTACATCATTGTACCAAATAGTGGAGTTACCAACTCTGGCTCTATTTCTCACAATGATTCATTCGACCTTCCAGGTAGTCTTTTGTTTAATTGATAAACTTTTGTTTGATTAAGTTAACTTTTGTTTAATTAAAAAAAGTTCTGTTTTATTTAAAACCTTTTGTTGTTTTTGGTAATCTTTTGTTTCCATGATTATAAGACTTGATATGGAGTCTTGAATCTCTTTTTTAGGTTTATAAAGGTACTATGTATATATCTGTTGCCTGCAGTTTGTTATCCTAAAACGGCAAGTTGGACTTTTCTGAAGTTCTACCAGTGCCAATGGCATCATCTATAATAAAAGTACAAAGTACAATACAAAGTACATGATTTGGGCAATTACATAACAATTACTATAACTTCAATTTTTCCAAGGTACATGTATTCCCCTCTTCAGCTCCTTGAAAATGGATATGGTTAACCTATTAACCAGCAAGTTGGATGATTGAGCTGCGTCATGACAAAACCAACATTATAAGTGAGTTTGCGACTAGCATGGATCCAGACCAGCCTGCACATCCCTGGAGTCTGATCAGGATCCATGCTGTTCCCTTACAAAGTCTATAACAAGAAGAGATTCATCAGAAACTGATAGCGAACAGTATGGATCCTGATCAGACTGCGCGGATGCTGGTCGCAAAGCCATTATGTTGGTTTTGTCATGACGCGGCTCAATTAGTTCTATTTGTTCTAATGATATCATAGTTTTCACACTTATTTATCAATACAAAGTACATGATATTGCCAAGTTAATATATACTGACAAGTATATGATCCAGCATTTTGTGTTTAATAAACACATTTTTAGCTCGACTTTTCTATGAAAAGGGGAGCTATCCTACTCGCCCCGGCGTCGGCGTTGGCGTCACACCTTGGTTAAGTTTTTCGTACCACCCCACTTTATTTCAGAAGTATTACAAGTATGGCTTTGAAACTTACCATACTTGTTCACCATCATAACCTCCATCTACAGACAAGAGTACATAACTCTGTCAAGGTTTTTGACAGAATTATGGCCCTTTTTTGACTTAGAAAGTGTATTGAGCTTGGTTAAGTTTTTTGTACCACCTCACTTTATTTCAAAACCATTGGAGGTATTGCTTTGAAACTGACCATACTTGTTTACCATCACGACCTTCATCAACAGACAAGAGGACATAACTCTGTCAAGGTTTTTGACAGAATTATGCCCCTTTTTGACTTAGAAAATACATTGAATATGGGTAAAATCCACTTATTGCCTTAACCCTTTGAGATATTGCTTTGAAACTTTTAATGCTATTTCACATCATTACCCCCATCTGTACGCAAGAGAAGGTAACTCTGTCAAGGATTTGTTTTAAAAATTAAGGCCTTTTATCGACTTAGAATCTTGGTTAAGTTTTTAGTACCAGTCCACTTTTTGACTGAACTGTTTGAGATATTAATTTGAAAGTTGGAATACTTGTTTACAATCATGATTCCCAAACATGTCCAGGAGAAGGTAATTCTGTCAAAGATTTTATTTGAATTATGGCCCTTAACTGTCAATGTTTTGTATTATAGGCAAGCACTAAAAAACTTAAAAATCTAAAAAAAATTCATTCCTATCCACTTGTTCACTTTACCATAAATTATGTCATATAAACATTGCTGTAATATTCAAGGGTATCAAACAACTAGTTATTTTTCTCTTTTTGTACTTGAAATTAAAATCAGTAGTATATGCATATTTCACATTTTATCTCGCCTATTTGATTGGTGGACAAGTGACCAGCTACAGTGTTCAAGGGTATCACACAATTCAGTAAAATAATTCTTCACTAAATATCTTAATGCTCATGGCCATTGTTCACTTTAAAAATACAGAGATTCTTGTATTGCCTTTTACTGCAAAAACTTTTTTTATTGGCAAGCAATAAAAAAGTCGAGCGCGCTGTCTTACGGACAGCTCTTGTTGTTTGAGTTTTGAAAAACATGTTGTTTGCATACTGTTTTAAGAACGAGTGACACATGGACCAGTTATCACTAAAAGGTTAAAAGCCTACTTTAAATAGCAAGCTAATATTTTGTTGCATTACATTTTAAACAGTTTGCATACAATATTCATGTGTGTTAAATTACAGAGACTCTCTATTTACAACTCTTTCAAATAGCTTCCGTAATATTGATGATGCAACATGATTTTCCTTTCATAGATTTTATAAAAGTTTCTCATTTATATTGTAGCTTTATACCCTTTAATAGAATTTCATAGCATATATTATACATATATCAATGATGTGTACAGGTTGTGACAAGAGTTGTCTTTCTTTTTATTGCATGACTAATTTTAACAAAAACAATATGCATACAATGATAATGTTTTTTTTATTTATAAACAGACACTTAGCAAAAGGATGTGTAATATAAAGAAGTATGCATGTAATGGTTAAATTACTTACGAAACAGGGGATATCATGTGATTAGATTATAATTATATACAAAACAGTTATATATACATTTTCTATACAATATATAAACAACATTTGACATTTGGCCTAAAGTAATAAACAAAAAATCTCAATCAGAATCTCAAATTTTGTTAACCTTACTTAATTTCTTAAATGGACCAGTTAATCTTGCAATCTGGACAAAACCATTTCTCATTTTAAGGGAAGTTTTTGAAATACCGTTATGTACTGACTGGACAGTGAGCTGGTCTTGGTCTGCACTGGTTGAGGCAGGTTAAAGGTCATGGAAGATTTCATGGTTAATATAAAAACTTCGAGCTAATTTTGAATCAATTTAAAGTAAAGTTGTTACTTTTGAAGAATATATTGACCAACACTTCCTTATGATTAGCAAAATTAACAAAATACTGAAATTTAAAACTTTGAAAAGACTGTTCTTGAAATCTAATAAGTGTCTGGGCATGCTATTTTATCTTCCTGTTTGCTGTTGCAATTATGTACCGTATTATTTCTAATTAAATTTTCTGGGTAGCATGCATTTTTAGCTCAACTATTATAATTATATATTAGGGAGATAATTCTTTTTAGCCAGATTTCAGTGTCTAAGTTTTTTTGTACCGCCCCACTTATTGTCTTTAACCTTTGAGATATTGCTTTGACACTTTGTAGGCTTGTTAGTGACCATCTTTCTGATACTGTCAAGCAAGAGAACATAAATGTGTCATTGACAAAATTATGACCCTTTGTTGGCCTGAAATTTTGGTTATTTTTTTGTACCAACCCACTTATTTCCTATACCCTTTGAGGTGTTGTTTAGAACCTTTGTACATTTGTTAGCGACCATTATTTCCTGGTAAGTCCTTATTATAGTTGCAGATGCTGTCTCACGTACACCTCTTGTTTTCAAAGCATTATATTAATAAGAGATATATAATTTTTGCTCTAAACAATTGTAGTAAATTATAATAAAAAAACCTATTTAACTCATTTGTGATTTTCAATAAAATAAAAAACTTTTACAATAAGAAATTTCTTCCGGAAAAATAAGGTACAGGGTGCTTATTAGAAGGAGGCATTATTTGGGAAAAATGCGGTATCTTCCACAATTTTGAATGGCAAGTAGGAAAGATAACTATGAAAAATTCAATTTTCTTTGTTCTAGCATTTATCTCCCTTGTTTTTACTTTGAAAGTTGATAATTGTTTAATTTATAGAGAATTTTCTGTTTTACAGGTCCAGAGGTTTATGGCATCAAAAGTACAATTGTGGTCATAGTAGAGATGGTGAGAGTAAATGCTACTGCCATCAAATTTGGGGTAGGTAAACGTTAATATGATATCCCTGAATCTTGTGGCTATAAATATATGTTAAATGTGTACTTCTGTTCACAGTATATAATTCAACTGAACTTGTTGCGTTTATTTTCACAGTTTGAACTGTTAAAGTTTTGGGTTCTAAATACCCTTCAAATAAAAAATTCTAAACATTGTTGCATTTGGTAACTTTTTTAGCTCGACTATTCGATAAGAATAAGTAGAGCTATTGTAGTCACCCGAGCGTAGGCGTCGGCGTAACCACTTATGTTAAAGTTTTTGTAATAGTTCTAATATTTTCAAAGTCCATTGACATATGGCTTTGAAACTTGGCACACTTGTTCACCATCATGACCCCAACCTGTAGACAGGAGGAGGTAACTGTATCAAGCATTTTGACAGAATTATGCCCCTTTTTAGCTCGACTATACGAAGTATATGGAGAGCTGTCCTACTCGCCCCGGCGTCGGCGTCTGCGTCCAGATTTTAGATTAAAGTTTTGGTGCAGTAAAATATTTTTCACTATAACTTTGTCATTTCTTAAGGTATCAACTTCAAACTTCAAATATATGTTCCTTATCATCAACCACATCTTATGTGACAAGGTTTATAACTCTAGCACCAATATTTTCAGATTTATCTCCCCTTGAACTTAGAATTTTCCTTAAAAAATACTATTTTTTACTGTTACTTCTTTATTTCTTAAGGGATCAACCTCATACTTCAAGTATATGTACCTTATCATCATCCCCATCTTATGTGACAAGGTTCATAACTCTAGCACCAATATTTTCAGATTTATCTCCCTTTGAACTTAGAATTTTCCATAAAAAATATTATTTTTTACTGTTACTTATTTATTAGCTCACCTGTCACTTTGTGACAGGGTGAGCTTTTGTGATCGCTTTTCGTCCGGCGTCCGTCCGGCGTCCGTCCGTCCATAAACTTTTGCTTTAAATGACATCTCCTCATAAACCGCTGAGCCAATTTCATCCAAACTTCACAGGAATGTTCCTTTGGTGGTCACCTTTAAAAATTGTTCAAAGAATTTAATTCCATGCAGAACTCTGGATGCCATGGCAACCAAAAGAAAAATCTTTAAATATCTACTTTTAAACAACCCTAAGAGCTAGAGCTTAGATATTTGGCATGAAACATCTTCTAATGAGTGTCTACCAAGTTTGTTCAAATTAAAGCCTTGGGGTCAAAATTGGCCCCGCCCCAGGGGGTCATAGATTTTCCTATATGCATATAGTAAAAACTTAAAAAATCTTCTTTTAAAAAACCCAAAGAGCTAGAGCTAAGATATTTGGCCTGAAACATCTTCTAGTGAGTGTCTACAAAGTTTGTTCAAATAAAAGCCCTGGGGTCAAAATTGGCCCCGCCCCGGGGGTCATTGATTTTCCCTATATGCATAGAGTAAAAACTTAAAAAATCGTCTTTTGAAGAACTGTAACATCTAGAGCTTAGATATTTGGCATGAAACATCTTCTAGTGAATGTCTACCAAGTTTGTTCAAATAAAAGCCCTGGGGTCAAAATTGGCCCTGCCCCAGGGGGTTATAGATTTTCCCTATATGCATATAGTAAAAACTTAAAAAATCTTCTTTTACAGAACCCAAAGAGCTAGAGCTAAGATATTTAGCATGAAACATCTTCTAGTGAGTGTCTACCAAGTTTGTTCAAATAAAAGCCCTGGGGTCAAAATTGGCCCTGCCCCGGGGGGTCATTGATTTTCCCTATATGCATAGAGTAAAAACTTAAAAAATCTTCTTTTAAAGAATTGTAAGAGCTAGAGCTTAGATATTAAGCACGAAAAATCTTCTAATGAATGTCTACCAAGTTTATTCAAATGAAAGCCCTGGGGTCAAAATTGGCCCCGCTCCAGGGGGTCATTGATTTTCCCTATATGCATATAGTAAAAACTTAAAAAATCTACTTTTAAAGAACCCAAAGAGCTAGAGCTAAGATATTTAGCATGAAACATGTTCTAATGGGTGTCTACCAAGTATGTTCAAATAAAAGCCCTGGGGTCAAAACTGGCCCGCCCCGGGGGTCATTGATTTTCCTTATATATGTATAGCAAAAACTTAAAAAATCTTCTTTGAAAAAACCCAAATAGCTAGAGTTTAGATATTAAGCATGAAACATCTTTAAGTAAATATCTACAAAGTTTGTTCAAATAAAAGTTCGGGGGTGAAAACTGGCCCTGCCCCAGGGGTGTCATTGTTTTTAACTATATGTGTATAGTAAAAACTTAAAAAATCTTCTTTTAAAAAACTCAATGAGCTAGAACTTAGATGTTTAGCATGAAACATCTTCTTATGGGTGTCTACCAAGTCTGTTCAAATAAACAAATAAAAGCCCTTGGGTAAAAATTGGCCTGGGGGGGTGGGGTGGGCTATATACAGGTGAGCGACCTCAGGGCCATCATGGCCCTCTTGTTATACCCCCGCACAACAAAGTTGTAAGGGGGGTATACTGGAATCAGCTTGTCTGTCCGTCCGTCCGGCCGTCGGTTTTTTCTTGTCCGCCCAATAATAAGATTCCTTTGACCTTTAGTCTTCATATTTGGCATGGAGGTTAGTCATGATTAGTAGATGACCCCTATTGATTTTGAGGTCACTAGGTCAAAGGTCAATGTCACTGGGGCCTTGACTTCAAAAAGCTTGTCCGCCCAATAACTTAAGATCCCTTTGACCCTTAGTCTTCATATTTGGCATGGAGGTTAGTCATGATTAGTAGATGACCCCTATTGATTTTGAGGTCACTAGGTCAAAGGTCAAGGTCACAGGGGCCTTGACGTCAAAAAGCTTGTCCGTCCAATAACTTAAGATTCCTTTGACCTACAGTCGTCATATTTGGCATGGAGGTTAGTCATGATTAGTAGATGATCCATATTGACTTTGAGGTCAAAGGTCAAGGTCACAGAGGCCTTGACTTCAAAAAGCTTGTCCGCCCAATAACTTAAGATTCCTTTGACCCACAGTCTTCATATTTGGCATGGAGGCTAGTCATGATAAGTAGATGATCCCTATTGACTTTGAGGTCACCAGGTCAATGGTCAAGGTCACAGGGGCCTTGACTTCAAAAAGCTTGTCCGCCCAATAACTTAAGATTCCTTTGACCCACAGTCTTCATATTTGGCATGGAGGTTAGTCATGATTAGTAGATGACCCCTATTGACTTTGAGGTCACCAGGTCAAAGGTAAAGGTCACAGGGGCCTTGACTTCAGAAAGCTTGTCCGCCCTATAACTTAAGATTCCTTTGACCCACAGTCTTCATATTTGGCATGGAGGTTAGTCATGATTAGTAGATGACCCCTATTGATTTTGAGGTCACCAGGTCAAAGGTCAAGGTCACAGGGGCCTTGACTTCAAAAAGCTTGTCCGCCCAATAACTTAAGATTCCTTTGACCCACAGTCTTCATATTTGGAATGGAGGTTAGTCATGATTAGTAGATGATCCCTATTGTTTTTGAGGTCACCAGGTCAAAGGTCAAGGTCACAGGGACTTTGACTTCAAAAAGTTTGTCTGCCCAATAACTTTAGATTCCTTTGACCCACAGTCTTCATATTTGGCATGGATGTTGATCATGATTAGTTGATGACCCCTTTTGATTTTGAGGTCACTGGATCAAAGGTCAAGGTCATAGGGACTTTGACTTCAAAAAGTTTGTCCACCCATTAACTTAAGTTTCCTTTGACCCACAGTCTTCATATTTGGCATGGATGTTGATCATGACTATAAGGTGACCCCTATTGATTTTGAGGTCACTGGGTCAAAGGTCAAGGTCACAGGGACCTTGACAAAAAAAAAGCTTTTCTTCTCAATTGCTAAAGAATGTCATGTCCGCAATGTATTGATTTTGACATTTTCACATTTGAAGCATGTAGAATACATAACTTAGTAATGCACTGGCTTAGTAACCTCAGATTTGGCAGGGAGGTTGTCCTTGAGCTCTAAATGGCCACTGTTGATTCTGACAAAGTGGTATGCGGGGGTATTCATGCCATGATAGTGGCAGTTCTAGTTTCTAAAGGGATCAACTTCATACTTCAAATATATGTACGTTATCATCATCCACATCTTATGTGACAAGGTTCATAACTCTAGCACCAATATTGCAAGAATTATCTCCCCATAAACTTAGATTTTTTTACTAGAAAAATGTTATTTTTTATTATAACTTTTTTATTTTCAAAGGTATCTACCTCAAACTTCAAATACTTATTCCTTATCATCAATTACATTTTATGTGACAATGTTCATAACTCTTGAAGCAATATTTACAGATTTATCTTTCTGAACTTAGGATTTTCTTTAAGAAATATAATAACTTCTTTACTTTTTAAGGTATCTACTTCAAACTTCAAATATATATTTCTTATCATTACACAAATGTTGTGTGAAAAGGTCCATAACTCTAGCATGACTATTTCTAGAATTATTCCCCTTGATCTTGGAATTTTTGTTAACAAATGTTATTTTTTTACTATAACTTAATACATAATTATACATAATTGATTTTTCTTTCATAGTTTTGTCCTCCTTACTGCATCCAGTATTTTATTAGTCGAGCTTCGCTGTCTCCTTTGACAGCTCTTGTTTGGCTTAGAATTTACGTTAAGGTTTTTGTAATACCTCAAATATTTTCAAAGTCCATTGACAAATGGGTTTTGAAACTTGGCACACTTGTTCACCATCATGATCCAAAACTGTAAACAGGAGGAGGTAACTGTATCAAGCATTTTGACAGAATTATGCCCCTTTTTCGACTTAGAATTTACGTTAAAGTTTTTGTAATACCTCAAATATTTTCAAAGTCCATTGACATATGGCTTTGAAAGAAAATGAAATTTTATACTGTTTGACAGCTTAATAGGACTCTTTTCAAGGCCTATAACTGTGACATGGATTTAAAAAGAAAAAAATTCCCTTTTGTTAATTTAGGAAATTTTACATTATCAAGGCTTTCTTACTATCAAGCACTAAGAATAGTTGAGCGTTGCTGTCCTACCGACAGCTCTTGTTTTGATTTATAATTGATTTGTCATGAAGAAAAATGATTAAAGATTGTCTTTCATTTTAAAATTATGGCAATATTCAACTCATTGGTAACTGTTCCGCAGAACTTCAACAGATCCTCTTAAAGGTACTTCACTGAGGTTTTTTTACCTGATTGGAGTGAAATAATTTTTCAAGATTAATGTTTGATTTGATGTAGGTCTAGACCAATAGCTTGTGTGCAAAATTTCAGATCATTCTCTTACGCTGTTTTTCCAGAATAATTATTCCATTTGTTAAAAAATGACCTAAATTATTGGAAAGTGTTGCAATGCATTTCACTCAAAGTGGGCATTGAATAGCATAAAAATACAATTTTCAATTTATTTTGGAGAATATTTATTAATTATATTGCAAATCTTCCTGTATTGATTGCCTCAGTTGATTTATGTAAGAAATTGAAATTTTATGTTTTTAGGATTTTGGACCTCAGTGGAGTTCCTTTAACAATCAGTTTAACTCAAACCTGATTCCAGTCCGTATTTTATCCAAATCATACAATATTTTTTTCTCAGGTGAACACAAATGTGAGAGCTAGTTTAGGAGGTTTACCTGGCTTTGAAGATAAGGAGAAAGTTTTGCCGGAAATGTACATTATTGTGCCACCCTGCACAAGTGGTTCCAAAGCAGTAGGTCCATTTGAAACCCCATCAAGTTGTGCTCCGTTACCAAATATATCTACGCAGAAACCTGCTACTACAAGGAAAGGTAAATAATCTAGGAAATAGGAAATCAGACAATGAAACAAAAATAAATAGGTGAAAATAAATAGATGAATACTTCCATGGCTAGGTGGTTATGTCGTTGATTTTAAACTACTTGTCAATCACCACTGTAGATTCAAATCCCGCCAGAGACTCTGTATTCTTTCATGTGGCGAAGCTATCTATCTAGCTAGCTTACAAAACAAGCTTGCGCCTGAAATAAAGCCCTCCACCACTAAAACTAGAAAGTCGTCATATGACTTTACTTTGTTGGTGCGATAAAAACATTCCACCACCCCCACCCCCCACCCCCCCGAAAAAAAAGAAGACTGCTTGAGCCTTTTCATTATGGGTTAACCTTGATATAAATTTGAGTTCAAATAAACAGTAACATAATCACAAAAGCCCAGAGTTATGAATATTTGCAAAGCATTTGTATGATAAACCATACATTATTGTACAGCAATGAAAGAGAAATTGATACCTCTGTAAGTCAATATGTATAATAGTCTTGATTTTGTTGCTAAGTGAATTTATATATAAATATATGTATTTTCTTCTCTGATTGTTTTTGCAGGGGTAACAACTGTAAAGCCAGTAAAACGTAAGTTTTTCTTCAGTTTTTTCAAAAACCTCTCCATGTAAGTAAAACTGTTATCTATTGTTGGTGACGTAAACTAGCCAAACGCACTTCTATCCACAGAACTTACTGATAACTTATCAAAATCTTCTAAAATATAATATTAAAGTCTGCAGACTCTAAGAATCCCTTTAATGTTGGTAAAAAAAATGGACATTTGAGCTGCGTCACAACAAAACCAACATAGTGCGTTTGCGACCAGCATGGATCCAGACCAGCCTGCGCATCCGCGCAGGTTGATCAGGATCCATGCTGTTAGCTATTAGTTAATCTACTTGTAATAGTGTTGGTAAGCAAACAGCATGGATTCTGATCAGACTGCGTGGATGCGCAGGCTGGTCTGGATCCATGCTGGACGCTAACGCACTATGTTGGTTTTGTCATGGCGTGGCTCAATTTTATATTTTCCATTATGATATAAAAACAGATCAAATCATAAATTTTCATGACATAATTATGTTAAGACCATGTACGACATACAAATGTTCAGTTGAAATCTTATGTCAGATGGCACATTTATATTCCTCTATTTTTTACACCATTTACTAAAAGAAAAAAATAAACAAAAAAATCCACACCATTTCACAAGGATCAACATGTCAATATGTGAGAATTTGTCACCTTAGTGCAATAACCGGTTTAGTCCTTTGAAATTTAATAGGAGTTAATCATTCATTGCAATAAGGTGACCAATTATGCACCTGGTTTGACAAGAAGATAACATCGTGTTTGTTTCTTTTTAGCTCACCTGTCACAAAGTGACAGGGTGAGCTTTTGTGATCGCTTTTCGTCCGTCGTCCGTCTGTCCTTCGTCCGTAAACTTTTACTTTAAATGACATCTCCTCATAAACCACGAAGCCAATTTCATCCAAACTTCACAGGAATGTTCCTTTGGTGGTCACCTTTGAAAATTGTTCAAAGAATTTAATTCCATGTAAAACTGGTTGCCATGGCAACCAAAAGAAAAAAACTTTAAATATCTTCTTCTAAAAAACCCGAAGAGCTAGAGCTTAGATATTTGGCATGAAACATCTTCTAGTGAGTGTCTACCAAGTTTGTTCAAATAAAAGCTCTGGGGTCAAAATTGGCCCCGCCCCAGGGGGTCATTGATTTTCCCTATATGCATATAGTCAAAACTTAAAGAATCTTCTTTTAAAGAACCCAAAGAGCTAGAGGTAAGATATTTAGCATGAAACATCTTCTAATGGGTGTCTACCAAGTTTGTTCAAATATAAGCCCTGGGGTCAAAATTGGCCCCGCCCCAGGGGGTCATTGATTTTCCCTATATGCATATAGTAAAAACTTGAAAAATCTTCTTTTAAAGAACCCAAAGAGCTAGAGCTAAGATATTTAGCATGAAACATGTTCTAATGGATGTCTACCAAGTTTGTTCAAATAAGAGCCCTGGGGTCAAAATTGGCCCCGCCCCGGGGGTCATTGATTTTCCTTATATGTGTATAGCAAAAACTTAAAAAATCTTCTTTGAAAAAACTCAAATAGCTAGAGTTTAGATATTAAGCACGAAGCATCTTCTAGTAAGTGTCTACCAAGTTTGTTCAAATAAAAGCCCTAGGGTCAAAATTGGCCCCGCCCCGGGGGACATTGATTTTCCTTATATGTGTATAGCAAAAACTTAAAAATCTTCTTTGAAAAAACCCGAATAGCTAGAGTTTAGATATTAAGCATGAACATTTTCTAGTGAGTGTCTACAAAGAGTTTTCAATTAAAAGCCCTTGGGTCAAAACTGGCCCTGCCCCAGGTGTGTCATTGTTTTTAACTAAATGTGTAAAGAAAAAACTTGACCAGCTAGACCTTAGATATTTAGCATGAAACATCTTCTAATGGGTGTCTACCAAGTTTGTTCAAATAAAAGCCCTGGGGTTTAAACTGGCCCCGCTCTGGGGCCTATATACAGGTGAGCGACTTCAGGGCCATCATGGCCCTCTTGTTTTTTATTTTGTTTTTATATTTCCAATGTCTTATGTGTATGAAAAAGAAATAAATCATTATTATCTTTTGTTTTTATAGGTACATACAAAAGTTGTGAGTTGGGAGTAGGGAATTGTAAGAAGAATGAGATGTGTAAAGTAATATCTGAAAATCCACTTTCACGAAATGGGATCTGTGTTTGTCAACCTGGTGTAGGCTATGATGCTGCCACTGGTGCGTGTAGAGCACAGAGTACAATATCACCAGGTACATTAACCTACGTACAAATTCTATGATATAAGATTCTTGAATAAAAACAGCGCACACATGCAGATATTCATTAACTGAAATAAAATATGCGTAAATGGGTAGATTCTAGTGATCACACACTGTTGTTGTTGGTGTTGCACGTTCTTCAATGTTCGTGACTCAGAAAATAATGTTACAGCTTAATTCAGTGACAGCCCCATTAGTCTATTATCAAAACATAACTGTCAAAGACATCGCAATAGCATGTTGAAAGCATGGCACAAGTAGTGGTTTCCTTATATGAAATACAGATAACAGAACACGAAGTTACTGATTAAGATATATAGATACTTTATTGCAGGATTCAGGCTAAAAATTTGTTCATGTGCTCCTGCAAATGTTTATGCATTAACACTATATTCTAGTGTTACAACTCAACTCTTAGTTTAATGTTTCATTGCAGAATAATTGAACATATTAGCCGTGCCATGACAAAACCAACATAATGGGTTTGCAACCAGCATAGATCCAGACCAGCCTGCGCATCCACGCAGACTGATCAGGATCCATGCTGTTCGCTGTCAGTTTCTCTATTTGTTATAGGGTTTGTAAGCGAACAGCATAGTTCCTGATCAGACTGCAGGCTGGTCTGGATCAATGCTGGTCGCAAACGCTTTATGTTGGTTTTGTCATGACACGGCTCATATTTTTATTTGGTCTAGCATTTCCTGAATTGTTTCTGTATTTCTTAATCCTAGCTTGGCTGAATTTTTGTGCCCCCACGTTAGTGGCGGGCATTTAGATTTACCCTTGTCTGTCCGTCCTTCAGTCCGTCCTTCTGTCTGTGCGTCCGTCCGTTCACTTTTGTGTCGCATGTAACTCAAAAAGTATTTGACCTAGAGTCATGAAACTTTACAGGACTGTTGATCAGCATGTGTAGTTGTGCACCTGGGTATTTTCGTCTGGATATATTAAGTATTTTCAAAGTTATTGCCCTTGACTTAGTAAAATTTTGCAATTTTCAGCCTTGTGTCGCATGTAACTCAAAAAGTATTTGACCTAGAGTCATGAAACTTTACAGGACTGTTGATCAGCATGTGTAGTTGTGCACCTGGGTATTTTCGTCTGGATATATTAAGTATTTTCAAAGTTATTGCCCTTGACTTAGTAAAATTTTGCAATTTTCAGCCTTGTGTCGCATGTAACTCAAAAAAAATTTGACCTAGAGTCATGAAACTTTACAGGAATGTTGATCAGCATGTGTAGTTGTGCACCTGGGTTTTTTCGTCTGGATATTTTTTGTATTTTCAGAGTTATTGCCCTTGACTTAGTAAAATTTTGCAATTTTCAACTTGTGTCGCACGTAACTCGAAAAGAATTTTACCTAGAGTCATGAAACTTTACAGGAATGTTGATCAGCATATGTAGTTGTGCACCTGGGTATTTTCATGTGGATATTTTTAGTATTTTCAGAGTTATTGCCCTTGACTTAGTAAAATTTTGCAATTTTCAACATGTGTCGCACGTAACTCAAAATGTATTTGACCTAGAGTCATGTAACTTTACAGAAATATTGATCAGCATGTGCAGTTGTGCACCAGGTATTTTCGTCTGGATTTATTTAGTATTTTTAGAGTTATTGCCCTTCACTTAGAAAATTTTTGCAATTTTCAACTTGGATTTGACATAGTCATTAAACCTTATGGGCAGGTTGCTCAGCATATTTTAGATTTGCACTTGGGGTTTCGCTTGTGGATTTATCAAAAATTTTGTAGAGTTATTTCCCTTGGCTTAGTAAAAAGATTGACAGAACAGTGGCGCGGTGGGGGCACCCGTGTCCTATGGACACATTTCTAGTTTTAGTTGACTTGTCCTGCTTCCATATTTGTGACTGTCCATTAACAATTTTGGGGATGACAAGTTGGAAAACTTTGACAGGTTACAGCATAGAGCCTGGGTAGACTGCAAGAAAATGCAAGCTGGGCAGGCCTGGCTCTATACTGGTGGCAACGTCTAATCAGCATGGCTGAGTGGTTAACGCTTTAGGCTATTAAACTTAAGGATCTCTAGCGGGGCAGGTTCAAACCCATTCAAGGGCAAGCAGATTTATTCCTAGAGCAAGAAATTTTATGCTCATTGCTCAGTATTGATTGGTTCCAGGAACAGTGTGTGTCTGTAAGCTCTAAGCTAACAACTTTCTACACACCCCTTGTGGGGGAGGGGGTTGCCTTTGTGGGTTGAGGCATCAGAATTGCAGCCACCTTTTAACCCTGCATGAATGTAAAATTTGACTAAATGGGTTGGTATTACTGAAGTTCAAGCATCTTTTTGCTCTAGTAGATAAGGTGGTTTTTGACCACTTGTGTTACTTTAAGTTTGTAACACCAGAGGTTGGCCAAAATCATCTTTCCTGTTTCAACACCATGTGACCTATACTGTGTTGATAAAGGGCTAATCTGATTATCTCATTTGTTTACAGCAGGGTTTACTGTGTAAGAAAATAACTTTGATATGATTAGAATTTTTAAAGAAATGTGATATTTAGGGTTTTTTTTAAAGCAGCACGCCTCCCGATTCACGCTAATTTTCATAAAAAAATTTGAAAATGTATTTGAATGTAAACTATTGTGACGTAAGCAAAAGGAAGCAATTTATACATTATGGATGGCATTTACAAACCATGTAAATTACCAAAAAGTGGTCAAAATATGCCTACATAGCCTTTACTGCATTAGTAACACAGTAGATTATCTAGCTGTAAATACTGAAAAATCAGTCATTAATTGCATTTAATATGTAAAATATTACCTGAATCTTGAAACTTTTTACTTTTCCTTACATCTTAGTACATTTTTCTCAAGCTTGATATTATTGAAATATTATGACTCATCTGGAGGCATGTAGCTTTAAAAATAATTTGTCATGATCAGATAGAAATTTGTAGATTGATGATAGATACTATTGGGATTATTTTCTTGTAGATAAATCAACTGTTACGAAACCTTCCGCACATCCATCTGTGACAGTAGCTCAGACAACAAAAAGCAAGAAGGGAGGAATTAACAGTGAGTTCTTTTGATACTCCATGTACTCTGGGAAAAAGGTTTCAGTGTAAAATGTTTTTGACCTGTTCGTCTGTCCAGATGTTTGCAGCTTTGTGTCCATGTTATGTACATATCTTTCAAACTTGTTATGTACATATCTTTCAAACTTGTTATGTACATATATTTCAAACTTATTATGCACATATCTTTCAAACTTGTTATGCACATATCTTTCAAACTTGTTATGTACATATCTTTCAAACTTGTTATGCACATATCTTTCAAACTTGCTATGTACATATCTTTCAAACTTGTTATGTACATATCTTTCAAACTTGTTATGTACATATCTTTCAAACTTGTTATGTACATATCTTTCAAACTTTTTATGTACATATCTTTCAAACTTGTTATGTACATATCTTTCAAACTTGATATGTACATATCTTTTGATCTTGTTGAATGAAATTCAAACTGTTTGGCAGAAATAATGACCACATTTAAAAAAAACATTTGCAGAACTTAGGTTTTGACTTCTTTGGAATAAAAGTTGCCTTGCTTGAAAGATATGTGCATAATAAGTTTGAAAGATATGTGCATAACAAGCATGAAAAATATGTGCATACTTTAAAGCATTTACTTTAAATAAACTGATATATCAAATAAATATCTTTAAAAGAAAAACTATATTGTTTCTATAATCCTATGGTGGTTTGTTACTTAGAATGTTTCTGTAACCTGCCACACATGAATATTGTATGTAAACAGAGTAAAATATTTATATTCCAAGAAGGGTTTTAAGCATTTATCCGTAATTTCATGCATGCACCAATTCCTATTATGAAAATACAGTTGACTCTCGGTAACTCGAAATCCAAGGGACTGGGCATTTTACTTCGAGAGAAATGGAATTCGAGTAACGTGGAACTGCCGCCATAACGTTGACATTCGTACATGTATATACATGTGCCTGATTAAATGTGCAAAGAAGTAGGTTTGTTATTGTTGATAGCGGCAATGCTGCAATATGTAACCGTTGAAATGACGGTAAATCACTTACAACTACAAATTATATTAAACAAAAATATATCATTCAAAATTTAATAAATATATATTAATAGTGAAACATATACACACAATTATATTTGATTTAATTGATCATCGGACGAAAACGAAAGTAGCAACTATCGTGAACCGGAAGTACAAATAAATGTTTGCAAAATGACGGAACATTAATTATACAAATGTCATTTACGTTGGTAACACACATCAATACCTAGGCTGTTATTTGACTAACACCCGTCAGACTGGCAGGATTCAACTTTCTTAAAGAAATGTAATCAAATTTTAATTTAGTTATCTAACTGTTAAAACCAATTAAGTGCTGAAACGGATTAAAGCCACTTATACGACGTGTTAATAATACATATGATGACCGGCAATTAAAAAATAATTACTATGAAACGTGTAAATCACGAGTGACAACATCACACCAGGATGTCGCCGACCTTTGATCAGTCGGCTGATTTCACACTTCGACTAATTGAGATGAAAATATGTTGGACTTTCATTGACGGGACCAAATTTTCTTTTCGACTAAACAGGAGTCTCGGTAAGTCAAAATTTGACCTAAGCGGAGTTAAAATACAAAGATAAAGAAGGAAATTTGACGGGACTTTAGAAATTCTTCGACTTACGCGGAATTTTGAGTAAAGCGATTTTGACTTATTGAGAGTCAACTGTATACCAAAATTTCTGTCACAAAAATATTTTTCAAAAAAATTACTTTGTTAACTGGGAACAAATATACAGGTTTGATAGACTTTTACATGTTTTAGTCTTAAGTCTCAGGGCTTAGATATTTGGCTTTTAGCTTTGTCTTGTGGTCACTACAAAAGTGTTTTCAGCCATTGCCAATTGTGTCAAAAATGGTGCAGTCCTGTCAGTCACTTTGTTTTAAGTTAACATAGTTACAAAGTTATATAAATCATGCCCCTGGCGTCAATATCTGCCCTGCCCGGTGATAAAGACTTATATTGCAAAACACATTTAAGTATACTTTTATAAACTTACAATGCCCGTAGCTTACATATTTTGCATGTTGTATTGCCTTATGGACCTCTACAAAATTAATCAGTTTATTTGCATCCCTACCATCAAAAGGTAATTTACAATGATGAAATTAATATAGGGATTTTGTATTCTTGTAGCGAATACAACTGTTATGAAACCCTCTGCACGCCCCTCTGTGACAGTAGCTCAGACAACAAAAAGCAAGAAGGAAGGAATTAACAGTGAGTTCTTTTTGTGACTCCAAAAAAATGCCTGCATGTAATGTTATGCACCGGGTCGTTTGTCTGTCCGTTGCAACATTGTCTCATTTTATTAGCTCACCAGAGTACAATGTCCTTAAGGTGAGCTTTTGTTATGGCCCATTGTCCTCTGTGTGTGAGTCCTTCAACAATTGCTTTAAACAACATCTCGTTCTAAACCTTTTGGCCAAATTTGTTGAAACTTTGCAGGGATGTTCCTTGCATGAAGTTCTACCAAAGTTGTTGAAAGAAATAATGTACATATCATTCAAATTTGTTATGTACATATCTTTTAAACTTATTATGTACATATCTTTCCATCTTGTTGAATGGGACTCATACTGTTTGGCTGAAATAATGATAATATATTAATAACAATGTGCACAACTAAGGTTTTGGCTTTTTCAGATTAAGATTTCCCCTGCTACCGAAGTCACTTACTTTTAATAATCTTATTAAGGGAATGTAGCTTTATTTAATGTAATGTCTTTAAAAATGTAATAAACATAAAAATTATGTTGTTTCTATAATATCTTATGTTTGATTTGTTGCTAAGAAAGTTGCTGTCCTCTGCTACACATAAGTATTGTACTTAAATTGAGTAAAATATTCCAGGACAAAATATTGTGTTTCTATTTAACAAGAATTGCAACCCCAATTTTCTTTTGTTCCTCTTAATATCTTTTTATAACAACATGCCTAGTTTAAAGGAATTCTGTTGAACCAGTTTTATATTTTGCCTATATGTCTATATGAAAACTCCCAAAACATTCCTTAGATATTTGGCTTCTAGCTTTGTCTTGTGGACCACTACAATTTCTTGTGGACCATTACAATGTCTTGTGGACCACTACAATGTCTTTTGGACCACTACAATGTCTTGAGGACCACTACAATTTTTGTGGACCACTACAATTTCTTGTGAACCACTACAATGTCTTGTGGACCACTGCAATTTCTTGTTGACCTCTACAATGTCTTGTGAACCACTACAATGTCTTGTGGACCACAACTTCAATTTCTTGTGGACCACTACAATTTCTTGTGAACCACTACAATGTCTTGTGGACCACTGCAATGTCTTGTGGACCACTACAATTTTTTTGTGGACCACTACAATTTCTTGTTGACCTCTACAATGTCTTGTGGACCACTCCAATTTCTTGTGGACCACTACAATGTCTTGTGAACCACTACAATGTCTTGTGGACCACCACTACAATTTCTTGTGAACCACTACAATGTCTTGTGAACCACTACAATGTCTTGTGGACCACTACAATTTTTTGTGGACCACTACAATTTCTTGTGAACCACTACAATGTCTTGTGGACCACTGCAATTTCTTGTGAACCACTACAATGTCTTGTGGACCACTCAAATTTCTTGTGGACCACTACAATGTCTTGTGAACCACTACAATGTCTTGTGGACCATCACTACAATTTCTTGTGAACCACTACAATGTCTTGTGAACCACTACAATGTCTTGTGGACCACTGCAATTTCTTGTGAACCACTACAATGTCTTGTGGACCACTCCAATTTCTTGTGGACCACTACAATGTCTTGTTGACCACTACAATGTCTTGTGGACCACTACAATGTCTTGTGAACCACTACAATGTCTTGTGGACCATCACTACAATTTCTTGTGAACCACTACAATGTCTTGTGAACCACTACAATGTCTTGTGGACCACTGCAATTTCTTGTGAACCACTACAATGTCTTGTGGACCACTCCAATTTCTTGTGGACCACTACAATGTCTTGTGAACCACTAAAATGTCTTGTGGACCACCACTACAATTTCTTGTGAACCACTACAATGTCTTGTTGACCACTGCAATGTCTTGTGGACCACTACAATGTCTTGTGGACCACTCCAATTTCTTGTGAACCACTACAATGTCTTGTGGACCACCACTACAATTTCTTGTGAACCACTACAATGTCTTGTGAACCACTACAATGTCTTGTGGACCACTACAATTTTTTGTGGACCACTACAATGTCTTGTGAACCACTACAATGTCTTGTGGACCACTGCAATTTCTTGTGAACCACTACAATGTCTTGTGGACCACTCAAATTTCTTGTGGACCACTACAGTGTCTTGTGAACCACTACAATGTCTTGTGGACCATCACTACAATTTCTTGTGAACCACTACAATGTCTTGTGAACCACTACAATGTCTTGTGGACCACTACAATTTTTTGCGGACCACTACAATTTCTTGTGGACCACTCCAATTTCTTGTGGACCACTACAATGTCTTGTGAATCACTGAAATGTCTTGTGGACCACCACTACAATTTCTTGTGAACCACTACAATTTTTTGTGAACCACTACAATGTCTTGTGAACCACTACAATGTCTTGTTGACCACTGCAATGTCTTGTGGACCACTACAATTTTTTGTGGACCACTACAATTTCTTGTGGACCACTACAATTTCTTGTGGATCTCTACAATGTCTTTTGAACCACTACAAAAGTGATATACATCATTGCCAATTGTATTAAAAATGGTCCAGCCCTTGGAGTCACTTTGTTTTAAGTTTACATGGATCTGAAATGTAAATTGTCTTAAAACAAAATTATAATTCCTAAAGCATATAAAATTGGCTTGAAGCATCACAATGTGGTCTCCTACAAAAGTTATATAAATCATGCCCCTGGTGTCAATATTGGCCTTGCTTTGTGGTCACTTAGTTTTTATAAAGACTTATATTGGAAAACACATTTAAGTATACTTTTGTAAACTTACAATGCCCATAGCTTACATATTTTGCATGTTGCATTGCCTTATGGACCTCTACAAAATTAATCAGTTTATTTGCATCCCTACCATCAAAAGGTAATTTACAATGATGAAATTAATATCAGGATTTTGTATTCTTGTAGCGAATACAACTGTTATGAAACCTTCTGCACGCCCCTCTGTGACAGTAGCTCAGACAACAAAAAGCAAAAGTGGAGGAATTAACAGTGAGTTTCTTTTGTGGCTCCAAAAAAAAAATGCCTGCATGTAATGTTATACTCCTGGTCGTTTGTCTGTCCGTCTGTCTGTTTGCAATTTTGTCTCATCTTTGTATCTTTTGAACTGATGTAAGGAAGGTTATGTTTAAATTACTTGGCAGAATTATGTACTATATTAAGGCAATGTGCAGATTGTAAGTTTGGGCTTCTTTGATTCTAGGTTGCAGGCATTATGTATGAATTTCATGACTTTTTGTCCTTGTTTGGAATTTATTGAAGCTAAATGAAATTAATTACTACTTAGCAGAAACTTTAATAGTAATGTAATTAGACGATGTGCAGAAATGAAGTGTCCACTTTTTCTCCCAGTGGTCACTAACTGCTAGTTTATGTAGACTAACACAGGAAAGCACCTTGAAATCTTTAAGCCAAGAGCTTAGATATTTGACTTGTAGCATTGCTTTTTTTTAGACCACTACAAATGTGATATTAATCATGCTTTGTAATGCGAAAAAATGGCCCCTTATTTCAGTCACTTTGTTTACATAGACAACATTCTTCTACAAAATTATAATTCCCAAAGCTTAGATATTTGGTATGTTAAGCATTGCTTGTGGTCTTCTACAAAGTTTTATAAATAAATACATATATAGGAAAAAGGGGGGCTCTAAGGCACAGTGATGAAAGAGGTTTCCCATAGTTTATTTGCCTTTTACATAGGCAATGAAGGGAGATTTCCACTGGTGAACTAAAACTAAATTTTCTAAAAGTTTGCATTATTAAAGCACTTTATTTTTGGAACAAATTTAAAAATAAATAAATTAGGGAATGGTGCATGTCTTCCTTCATTTTATCTGCTTACATACTTAATTTTTTAGCACAGGTAAGACCAAAATAACTTATCGGTTCTGTGAATTTTTACTATAATTCTGTTAGAGGGCCATAGAAAATGTGATTAATGAGAGCTTTAACTTATTATTTCAGTGACGGCAGTTATCATCGGTGCAGTCTTCGGAGGCCTCTTGTTGATTGTTGTTGTTGTCAGTATAATCGTCTTCCTCGGTCGCCGTCGACGACAAGCCAACTATCGCGGCAGACACCAGCTGCTGTCGGATAATGACGATGATGATGACACAAATGTAGTGATATAAATAGATGAAAGGGAGACAATTTCTTATCAGAAAGCCTGTATAGTTTCAGAGAAATCCTTATGATTTAAATTAGCTGAAAAAAATACTTAAATGAAAAATAGAAGAAAAACGGTTTGAGACTACATTATTTCAAGTTTTGAATATTTTTGCCAGTCATTACAAGTTTTTACCTATACTTTTGAAATTCTGGTAAAATTTGAACACCAATCTTGGTGTAAAAGCAAGTTTTGTACAGTTTTTTTTTACGTTTAATCATGTTAATTAAGATACTGTGAATAATAAACACTTCTTAAGGACATAATTTGTTTCAAACACTCTTTGAATCTGTAATATTAAATTTTGAACACTTTTCTTGATATTATTTATTTCTTAAGGAATCTCATTTTAACTGCATGTTTGTGAACAAAATTTGAACACTACTTCAGGTTTTATAGAAATTCTGATTATACCTAAATTTATGAATTTTTGAAATTACAACTTGTTTTGATCTTGAACCGTTTTACTTTTTGAACTCTGTACTTACAGTTTATACAATTTGAACACATTTCTAGAAGGTATGATTAGTTTTTTGAACACAGGTCATTTCTGTAAGTTATAACATTTTTTTTGAACACTTCTTAAGTAACAACAAAATGTAACACTTTTTCTTCAAGTTATAACATTTTTCCAAACATTTCTTGTAGCTGGAACAAACTTAAAGCATTCCTTGAATCTATAATTAGGTAACTTATTACAAATTTTAAACACTTCTTAAGATACAACAAAATCAACACTTTAAGTTATAACTTGTTTTAAACATTTCTTGAAGTTGGAACAAATATTTGAACATTTCTTGAAGCTATTACTAGTTATGAAAACTTTTTTTGTAAGTTATTGCAATATTTTTAAGTAAGAGCAATATGTGAATTATTATTATTTTTTTTTTTTTTTTTTTGAATTTGAACACCTTTCTTTAAAATATTGCTTGTTTTGAATTCTTTCTTTGACTTTAAATCGGCCTTCAGCTTTTTTTTTGTTGGAAAACAATTTTGTGTTGTTTTAAACTAAGTATTTCAGTAGCTCTATCTTGGAAAAATGCATCATTTCACTGTAAAAGCATTCCCCGAGAGCTGTTTATATCGTGACAGTGGCCGTCGTTTCTAAAAATAGAAGATCAGAAAAGGAATCGTCCGCTTTACTAATTTACATATTGAGAGCCGACCAGTAGATTAGAAATATCAAAAGATTTCCTTATTGTACTTTAATGAGGGCAAATTTCATTTTATACCTTAATTCTTTTGATTTGACAATTATATGAAATGATTTATCTAAAATTATAACGTATTTAACCTTTAGAAAAGCTGAAGGCCGCTTTAAAGGGACTCCACTGAGGTTTTTTGACATGATGGGACTGGAAATAATTTTTTGAGATTATTACTCCATTTGATGTAGATCTGTACTAAGAACTTATGTGCAAAATTTCAGATCATTAGTTCGCTCCGTTTTTCAAGAATAATTATTATAATAGTGAAAAATGACCCAAAATTGAAAAATTAAACGCTTTTCAATCAAATCGGACTGAGAATAACACAAACATACATTGTCAATGTATCTCTTGTATATTTCTTAGTTATATTTAATTTATTATTAATTAGGCTTATCAACATCAGTGGAGTTCCTTTAATGAAGATTAAATTATAACACCATAATGCTCACATGATGAATTTGACATTCCACGGAAGAAAACAGATTATTCAGGAAAAGAAATAGTTGGAATTTTCTATTTATAGACATTCATATTGTGTTGTTGTTATTTTTTCTTGTACTGTTCTTTACCTAATTTTTGTATAAAATACTCTTTTCCTCCTTTTTGTAGTTAGTTTATCAGTCAGTGCGTTCTATGAAATAGTGTTGGTATTTTACTGAAATTGTAATTTAAAAGTAATAATTTGAATTTTGTCTTCTAATTTAGATTTTGACTGATTGTGTAAAATAGATTTTTTCCTTCATTTTTTGTAATATAGTGAATGTGTGAAATTTAGCTTTAAAAGCATCATTGTATGATTTTCAGGGCTGCCATTAAAATGTTTTCTCAGGCAGTTTTGTTTTGAAATTGATGGGTTTTATCACCTACAACAAAGGATGTTTTCTATGTTTTGAGTGGATATTTACAGTAAAATTCCTATTAAACGCCCACGGGGGCTCAACATTTTCCAGAAGGGGGGCTATTACTACACCATATTTTTTCCTAAATCCAAAAATCTTTGTAAATACATTTAATGTTAGCATGTGTTGGTAATAACATTAAAAGGTGTCAAGGTTTTGATGTTTATATGATACATTTTTGTGTTTACTAAAAAAATATAAATTATTCTGAATGATTTGAATAAAGTTATGGATTTACTCATGAGTTCAGCACTGATGAGTAGGTTTTTTCCTATCAAATAGCCTGGGGGTATCAGTGGGTGGGGGGGGGGGGGGGTTCTTTATTAGGGAAGGGGCGTTTATGAGCAATTTTACTGCATATCATTTTGGCCGACATCTACTTTCTAATGGCAGCCCTGAGTTTGGTTTGATTTTATATGGCTTATTATTATTTTTCTATTCATATTCATATAATTATGGTAAGGACCATTTTATTGAACAAGTTTGATATGTTGATGTAAATTTGAGACAAGAGCCACCTATATTGTACTATGGTAGTCTAATTTATTCTGATTTTAGTCGTTGCAAATGTTTGTTCGTTTACAGAATCTCAGAGGTGAATGTTAGAGTTTTAAGAGTGCAGGGCAATACTAATGCGAAAAGGTTGATAATAGTTCAGGGCAATATTGTTGTGAAAAGGTTGATAATAGTTCAGGGCAATATTGTTGTGAAAAGGTTGAAAATAGTTCAGGGCAATATTGTTGTGAAAAAACAGATGGAGGTAGAGAGCGAGGGACAAATACAGGGAGGAGAAAAACACATAGAATCAGTTCAGGGCAGTACTGTTGTGAAATATCAGATAATTAGTTCAGGGCAATACTGTTGTAAAATATCAGACATAGAGTTCAGGGCAATATTGCTGTGAAATGGCAGATAGAGTGTTCAGGACAATATTGCTTTAAAATAACAGAAACAGATTTCAGGGCAATATTTTGATGTAGAGCTCTAAACTGAGACGTTGGTTGGGGTACTAAGTTTTGAATCCTGTTGGATCATGGTTCAGGTCATTTATGCTCAAAATAAGGTTTTTGTATGCTTCTTCATGGTTAGACCATGCTTGTTTGTTAAAGGAGCAGGTTTTGTGTCACCAACAAACGTGTTCTTAACTTAATTGATCAAAGTAATTTTGTGTGCAAAGATAGAAGATTAAAATCCGAATCTCAGTGTGGAATGAAATTCTTTCGTAGATATTTTTTGTGTATTACTCATACAAGTGATTTAGGGTGTTTTTGTAATTGTTTTTTTTGGGGGGTGGGTGGGTAGGGCATATTTTTTTCTATAAGATCTAGATTTTTTTTGTTATCTACTGTATAGCTTGTCTTTCACAGTATTTTTTTCATCTTTGTTTTTTTATTATCTTTTTCTTCCTTTTATGTTACCTACAAACCTTTTGTTGACCAGTTGAATGATCAATTCATTATGTTGTACATTTATTGTAATGTATGTGTTTTTCTCTTCATTAAGATATTTGTTTTTTGTTTCATTAAGATATGTGTTTTTTCTTTTTATTAAGATATGTGTTTTTGCATCTCATTAAAGTATGAACATATGTTTTTGTCCTAAGTCCTAACTTACTATCCTGTACATAATTTAGAAATTTCTCTTGATGCATATAATTGGAGAAGAATAAATATTGTATTTTCTTTTACATTATATTTGATTGTACTATCGGATGGTGTTTGTTCTCATACCACACCATTTTTTTCACTGAACCTTTTTAAGATATGGCTTTGAAAACACGAAAAAATATTATGAATGAATTTTAAGCCTTTTTCTATGTCAGGATACATAACTTTTGTCTTGGAAAAATCATCCCCCTTTGTGACTCACTATATATATAGTCTAGTGTTAACTTTTATTGATGGGTAGCTCTTGAACATCTATTTGAAAAAGAAAATTTTAGGGGGAGGGGATTTTTATCTTTCAGCTTACCCTATTACAAGTAGCGAAACTGATAGAGAACAGCATGGATCCTGATCAGACTGCATGTTGGTTTTGTCATGGCGCGGCTCAAATTTATGTACAGCATTGATATACTGTAATAATAGATCTGATCATAGACTTCACTACTCTTGCGATGATTATACTTATGAAAAGCATATCGTGCCCTTAGTGCAGTAACCGAATAAGTCCTTCTAAATTTAATAGGAGTTAATCAGTTATTGCATTAAGGTGACAATATTAACCCAACACAGGTAATGTACTATCAATTTTTGTTGGTGTGTTAATTTATATACATGTACTGTATAATTGGATATTTTGCGTGTCGAAAAGTTAGCGAATTTAAAATTCCAAACATTTCGCTTCAAGAAATATTAGTGAAACTTGCGAAGGTAGAATTTAAAGACAGGTTGGTTGATATTTATGCTAGCAGAAATTTTAGCGATTGTCTTCAATTTGCGAGATTCGCCAATATTTCCATGTCGCTAACATGTGTTATACATTTTTCGTGTTATACAGTATTGTAATTTTTTTTATGACACAAAGATTTAAGCATAATATTTCATTTGTTTGTTTATCAATAATTATTTGTGAATCTGCACTATAGTAACAGAAATACAGTTATTAAACTAAATGGTCACAATCATGCTTAGCTCAATCGGATGAGCATCAGATCTGTAATCCAGGGGTCGCGGGTTCGATCCCTCGGCGGATGGGAAATTTCTCAGTGACCTTTGATGTAGGTCATTTTTATCTCAATGCTGAGAAGTCATATGAGATTAGAAGCCTGTCACTTGCGGAGAAATAAGAAATTACTGGTTAGTAATCAAGAAAAGCAGCTTCGGTGGACGGTATAAACATTAAAATATCACCCAAAATACATTAAAATCGGCATGAAAACCAAACTAACATTAACAATTTTAAAAAATGAAAATGTTAACAGTCAAGTGAATATTGTAGTTGTTTAAAAATAGGATAATTCTTGTATTAAGTGTTTGTTATTGTTTATATATGCATAAATAGCACACCACTAGATGAGTTAAATGTACCTTCCAAGTCATAGATTGTAAGACAAATGTTTTTATAATTCTAGAAATATATAAGTGTTTGAAGGGATGCTAATGGCCGAATATACATCTGTATAAAAACTCAGGTCTGGCTTGGAATATACTAAAAATTTAACATGTTTTAGATATACATCTTTTAAATTTTAGAGCTGGTTTTAAAAGGCACATTATACCTCAGAAATGCATTTTTTTTTAATTCTTTCAAAATATCATATACGTGTTTAATAATGTTTCAATAACAGATTTAGAGTATGTAACATGTAAGGTAGTAGCACTAAGCATGGTAGTATTTTGAATTTCTTACAAAATACTAATTCACTATATAATACCAATTGTTAACAGTGCAAAAACAGCAAAAGATAGTTCATGTATATGGAAAATTAAAATAATTTTGTGGAAATTGTAACAAGATGCAAAAAAAAGTGTTTGGAAACTAAAATGGACAGCATTTCTGAGACATGATGGGCCTTTAAACATTTGCTCATCTGACAAAACAAAGTTTTATTTTATCTTGTTTTATATGAATATTAAAGCTGCACGCCTCCTGATGAATGAAATACATCTTCCAAAAATATCAGTATGTATTTTCAAGTTTGGTAGAATACTGCAAACAATTGTAGTGACGGCGTGACAGAGTTGTTACAAAATACTGGCTACATGTGTTTCAAACCCCGTAACGAGCAAGAAACTTTATATGTACTCATTGCTCAACACTGTTAACTGAAGAAAAAGAACCTACAGAATTAGACAAAAATAATATCTGTATAAACTGAACTCGTAGTAGATGTAAGCATTATTTTTCCATGAGCTTTTCAGTCAAGTATTTTCTACGTTTTTCGGTCTAACTAAAAAGCGTCCAGAAGAAAATAAGTGCCTGGTAGAGCCGGGACTTACATTGTTTCTTAACTTGTCAATCTATCAAATTGTAGGCAGATTTTTTTTTACTTAGAGCCTCCAGATTCATACTAATTTTCATGAAAATTTTGAAAATTGCACATTGCAAATGGCACTTACAGCCCATGTTAATTACACAAAAGAGGTCAAAATATGCAAAATTTGCCATTACTGCGTAAGTAAGGCAGTAGAAATATGGTGAAAACTACTGAATAATCGGCCATTTATCACAAATAACGTGGAAAAAATATTTTATCTTCAGTCTTTTACCTGAATACATTTTTGTCAACTTTGATTTTCTTGAAATATTTTGGCTCCTCTGGAATCATGCAGCTTTAACGTACAAATTATATCAACAAAGAAAGACGGGAATTGACATTGTTTTGATAGAAAAATAAAGATAGAAAAAAAATAACCGTATAGTTGTAATGAAACTTTTCTTGTTAGTCCCCTACCGGTTTAACCGGAGGGGACTTTAGGTTTACCCTCCGTCCGTCTGTCCGTCTGTCTGTCTGTCCGTCTGTCTGTCCGTCTGTCTGTCAGTCCGTCAGTCCGTCCGTCCACAAAACTGGATCCCGCGATAACGCAAAAAGTACTGAAAATATTTTTATGAAACTTGATATATGGATAGATGGCAGTATGGAGATTATGCACGTCTTTTTTTTTTCTTCCTATGTTGAAAATTCTGGTTGCTATGGCAACAAATAGTCTGAAAATATGGCAAATTTAACACATAAACTGGATCCAGTGATAACTCAAAAAGTACTGAAAATATTTTTATGAAACTTGAAATATGGGTAGATGGCAGTCTGGAGATTATGCACATCTTTTTCTTTTCTTCCTATGTTGAAAATTCTGGTTGCTATGGCAACAAATAGCCTGAATTTCAAGATTTCTGATTTAAATTTTTCAGCTTTTTCACTATATGTTCTTTATTTCTTAAGGTGTTTACTTCAAACTTTAAATATAAGTTCCTGGTCATCAACCACATCATATGTGACAAGGTTTATAACTCTAGCACAAAAAATATCAATATTACCTCCCTTGAACTTAGATTTTTTATGAAAAAAAAAGTTGTCTTTTTTAAATAACTTCTTTATTTCCTAATGTATCTACTTCAAACTTCATATATATGTTTCTTATTATCACTCGACATTTTTGAGAAGGTTAAATACTCTAGCAAGACTATTTCCAGAATTATGTCCCCCTTGAACTTAGATTTTTTTTGAGAAACTGGTATTTTCACTCCAACTTCTTCATTCCTTATAGGATTTACTTTAAAATCCCACATCGTAATAATATGACAAGGTTGTATAAACATAATTTCCTTACTAAGCATGGAAACTTAACACATTACTGTGATATAGACAAACTTATTTTATTATGTTTTGTGGTCGATATTTTCAAATACAGACTTCATCCTCAAATTCATTATAAATGGCAATACACAGGAGTGTATGACAATTAAAGAACTTTTTGAGGGACCGGTAGGGGACTACTGTATTGCCCGCAATACTATCAAATGCTTGTTGATTTTGTAAATATTTCAATTACACATTTATTTTTGTAAGGGTGTGATAAATTTGAAATTGATTTTGCTTTATTTTTGGTAACAATATTTGTTCTTGTATCATATAGGTGTGGACAGTGTGTTACTTGTGTAAGGGGTGTTTCATAGATTTTGTAAATATTTAATAACTTGTTTAATATTTTAAGCGTTGTTAAGCAGTGAAATAAAATACATACATTTAGAATTGGCTTCCTCTTTATTTACTATTCAAACTCCTACCCCATGACTAAAATAATAAATTAAAAAGCTTACCTTTCCAGAAAATTCCAGCTGTACACGGACATACCTTAATTAATTAACGCAATTTAACCATGATTTGAGAGAGGAGTAAAGACCTTATTGCAAGATTTAGTTTATGGTCCAAGACAAAAGTCCCTACTTACGAAGTCAAGTTCACATGAACACATTCGTGTACGGACTATCACTTTGTCCACACCGTACAATCAAATGGGCAGACAGCTGTTCAGCGTCCACAGCTGTACCAGTATATACATGTCGGCGCGGGGAATGCAATTGACGTACGATAAGTATTCATCTATTGTTGTCATGCATTGAAGGATTTTAAAATAACTTGGTACAACTGTCTTCAACATGAAAATGTAGTGTCGCGTCTAAGGCTCATGTCTCTACCTAAAAGGTCAATGTCACACTTAGAGGTTGAATCCGGACTGTAACTGTGTAATTTTGTTGTGTTGCAAGTTTGCTATGAATAACACAATAAGAACAATATTAAGCAATTAGTTACTTTTATTGTCTTTTCTTTTCGTAATGCCTTTCTGTAATACTTACATAGCCTTTCGGGGGGCATTCATCACTTTTGCGTGAGAGTTCTTGTTTTTAGGGATAGGGGCGTTGGTTGGGGGTATATGAGACTATGAGTTCATACGTATCACGTGCATATGCTTGTTTATAAGAATGTCTTTTTGAAAGTGTCGTACTATGGTCTATGTAAATACCTCACAACTTGGTTGAAAACTAGACAATATAAGGACAGATTATAAAAAGCAAATGATTGAAAATTTAGAAAACTTACGAAATAGTTAAACAGTTAAAATATATACAGTAGTAGAACAAAAAAGTGAAATTGATAAAGTTTATTTATACTATATCACTGTTTCACCTGTTTGGGACAAGGATGTTAAGGCTGTGAATCCACCATGTGTGTTTTTTTTGTAGTCTATTACAACATGTACAATATTAATAGCTAATTAACTGCTTAAGACCCATTACTCCTCAGAAATTCTATCATTTTTTATTTTTTCAAAAAATTTCTATTTTGGTATCTTGTTTCAGTTTCCCAGTAAATGCTCATTTGCCATATAAATGAACTATCTATGCTTCTTTTGTTTTGTTTTGTAGGCAATTGGCATAATTATAGAGAATTAGTAATCTTGTATGATAAGTCAAAAATGCTACTAAGTTCACATTTTGCTACCTTTACGACACATTACTGCACATTGAACGCTACATGTTTGACATTTCTAAAGAATTTAATAAATACGTATTTCTGGGGCATAAAGTGCCTTTAAAATGAACAGAAACATTACTGGAATATGTAAGATCGCTGAAATTGTTTATATCAAAACTGTGGCTGTTCATTCTTTTTCGGCACTTCTTAACGTGTTTATCCGACATTACTGTATTTGATATTGAATAGATCTAAATAATATCAGACGTAGAAGATAATTATGAATTTCACTTATTTCTTATATTATATATATTCTAACTGTTTAACTATTTGACATATTTATGATATAAATAATCAACGGCCCGGTAATGAATATGGCGGACTTTCAGACAAAAACAAAATAATAAGAAACTTCTTGCCTTTCCCTTATTTACGTAACATTTCAATGAAAGTCCTTAACCGAAATAAATGCGAACAAAACATGTTATGACATAATCAAAACATGCCCTAAAAAGAAAATCATGGAATTGAAAACCTGAAGCCTCGACAAAATCCGGATATTTATTTCGTGTGAATCAGAAATTATGCCTGGAACGAAGTCTGTTTCTTTATTTAAATTCTGTGAACGTTTAATCGGAAATGAAAGAGGTCTTAGCAGACGAGAAATTTATGCCTCGTACATGATTAATAATGTTTTTCTTGGCTTCCGAAAAACACTTTTGTGAAGTAAGTCCGCTAAATCTATAGTTAGTGCAAAAATTATTCATGTTAGGCGATATGAAATGAAAATGTTTTGTTGTTTTATTTTATTATTTTTTTTTTTTTGTTCTTTTTTTTTTAACTTTATTATATGTTAAATACGAACATTTTAAGACACAACATAATTGCGATGAAAATCGTGGTGGTGGTGGTCGTTGTTGTTTTCCGGGTCACCGCAGTGGGCCACTTTGATGTCCCCAAAAAGCACAGTTCAGCCACCGCATCATTCCTGGGTAGGCAGTTTACCAGATGAGTACTAGGTACCTTCACTTTCGCAAATGGCTGATAACTTCTGTACATGTCAGAGCAGAGGTACAGTGCGAATGACCTTAGAAAGGATTTCATGATCAATCGTAACGAAAAATGAATCGAACCCGGACCGCCCAATCCACAGTCCAACGTTCTACTTATTGTGCCGATCGGACGGTTATTGACTTTTTGTGGCGGAAGAAGGACTTTTGATATTTTTATAATACTGCAAAGTCTGTTGCCTTGTTTTTCATTGGATACTCGTGAGTTTACACGGCTGCTGTCAATATATGAAGCAATTTCTTTTCCTTTTTCTCTTTCTTCTAAAGAGAGTTTGCCATATAATAAAAACATTTTATTGATTAGTGAGTGTAGGCTTTTAACATTGACTCATACAGACTCATAAATAGTTCAATTTTATTTCGTCGAGAGATTTTAAATCGAGAGAGAAACTAGTGGTTAAGGTATCTGTCTTTTAACCCAGGGATCATGTGTTCGAGCCAGATTGGGGACACGACCATGATTGCACATAAGAGACCGGTACTGGTTAGTTCCAGGAAACGGACTCCATAAGTGATTAATGTAGGCTGCAAGAACTTGTTTCGCAATCAAACTAATAGAAAATCAAGCTAGAACAGATCGCATGCGTAGCCTGCACGTTGTGCCAAAACATTACTAGATGACAATTTGTTTTATAACTGTTTTTTTTTCTTCTTTTTTTCAATACAATGTTCTAGTATTTAACAATCTATATCTATTTTTTTACGTCTGGCCGATAAAACTAACGATGATGGAGAATAATAATTTCGATGTGTCAATGGTTTGTTGTTACGTTCATGACGGGAAACCGATTTCCGATGTTACCTTTACTTACTTGTCAAGCTTGAATTACAACATCACGTCGGAAAATGTTTACTAAAGTATTTTGTATATTTCACTTTTTGTATTAAACGTCGTTTTTATTAAAATTGAGGTTGATATATCTAAGATTTATGATAACTAAAGTTTTCAGAATGATTTAAATGATTCCGGTTTAATACCGGACAGTCGGGGTGAAGGACAAAACGAAACTTTATAGTTCCATTTTAATTTTTCCATTAACCTTGTTTCAGAGCCTTTAGAGTTCCTGTAAATAAAAGATTCATTTCTGAAAAAAGTTCAACCAACTGGGAGCGGGCACATTTCCTATACGTCTCTATTTTATTTAACGTATTTTGAACTGTTTTTGTTTTTGTTTTGTTTGTAAAATTTATGCAAACATATCAATTTTTATCTTTATTTTCTGTGTCTGTTGCTACAGCAACCACTTTTCTTGACGTAGCAACAAAAATAGCATGGGTGTTATTGCAATAAACTTTTTATTAAAATTATAATATTTGCAACAATATAGATTGTTTATATCAAAAGTAATTTCAGAATACAATTCAATCAGCTTCACTTCATTTCACTCACTGGCAGACGAATGTTTAAATAAGGACGGACATTTACCCCTTTCAGGCTATATATACTCAATGGACTTGTCCATTTTCCAATCTGGAACATCTCGTGGAACATTTATACACAAAAGTGTATTGATAGAAATGCAAACAGTGCAGACCAAGATCAGACAGCATGGATGGATGTGCCCACTTATCTTGGCCTGCACTGGTCGCATGGTTGAAACTTATTGCCCGTCAAGGTTAATAAGCATTCATGGACTGACCGAAAAGAGAATTTTAAATAAGTCACAGTGTAAACTTAGCTGTCTTTTTTTTTTTTTTTTGACTTTGATTTTGATGTCATTGAATAAGAGTGTCCATTTGAGTTGAATTTATGATGGATTCAATTAAAAGATATCGAACCCTTATGAATCGGTAAATATCGGTTTATGTCGGGTAAAAATCGAAATAAATACGAAGCAGCTCTCGCCTGTTTCGGCAGTTTTCGTTACACCTATTGTTAGTTGAGAGGGTGTTTCCACTGTTACATAACTTTAAAGAATGCCAATATGGCGTCTCACAAATATGCTCCGTCCAGCCTCATTCAGGAACATGCCATTATATTGTTTTTCGGCGTGGGGGGTTGGTAGCGATTTGGGACCGAAAGCGATAGGTTAATTTCCCTAGGTCAAAACCAAGGTACAAATGTAGTTGTAGGGCCATTGGTAAAACTGACAACTGCAACACATATTTTGGAAAGTGGAGCAAATAACGTTTCTAAATACCAGCAGTATAGATATTTTTCCACTTTTAAGTCGTTATAATGCTATTTGCACACGTCATGCCTTTTCCTCATTGATAATTCTAAGGATGATTACAATCGATATTGAGATGTTATTTTAAGATTTTCCTGAATAATATTACAATTTGTCTAACTCTCGCAGACGGTGCTTCGTGATTTTCATTCATTGTGAATATTATAATTACGAAACAATAGTGTTCTGATACCGGTAGATGGTCGTTGTCATTCTAGGCATTTTTTCAGTTTTTAAATAACCAGCAAAGTGTCTGCAGCGATGATTTTAGTGTTTCTTTATGAACGTTATAGGAGCATAGTAGATGATAAACATGGATGGCATATTTTAAAAAAAATTTGCAATAACTATTACGAAAATATGTTAAAATTAAGAAACAATAAATGATTGACATTTTCTTTTGTCTTGAAATTTATTTTATCCGAATAAAAAAAATTATAATGGATAAAAATACTGAATGGAAAAGCCTGTTGGTATGCATCTCACGCAAGACAAACATTCTTATACGGAAGTACTCGCAATAGGATATTTTCACGTGTTAATAAGCATTTTTATAAGTGACCAATGTTTGCCGAAATGAATGCGACCGATTTACCAGAAAGAACAGCTACTAAATACATTTGGATGATATGTTCGCCAATACTCTTAATATTTGGCGCATTTGGAAACATCCTTTCCGTAGTTGTGTTAAATCGACCGCATCGCACGCGGACGTCAACGTCCACTTATCTTACAGCGTTAGCTGTTTGCGACCTATTTGTGTTGATCGTCGGTCTACTGCGGCAGTGGGTCAGGGCAACATTTGACTTTGATATAAGGAACATGAATGACAGTTTTTGTAAAGTGCATTTCTATCTTGTAAATTTCTTGCTACAGTTTTCCTCATGGATTTTGGTAGCGATCACCATTGAACGGGTTAAAAGCGTGCGGAAGCCGCACATGGCTAAAGTTGGCTGCACCAGAAAGCTTGCCTCTTGGGTACTTTTGGCGGAAGTCATTGTGCTTATGGTGTTAAACGGACATTCTATTTTCGGTGTTAAAATACGTATTGTGAATGACACGGAAACAAACAGCAGTGTGTGTAGATGTGAGCCGGACAATGAAAATGATACATACTCACGTTTCATGTACTACGTATGGACGTGGATTGACTTCGTCATTGTCTTCTTCTTGCCGTTCCTAATCTTGATGACAGCTAACATACTAATTATCATAAATGTGAAACGAAGCAGACGATTCCAGCGTGGCCTTATAAACCACACTTCACGACACGCCCTGAATGCCCCGCAGAAACCTCTGATTCCGATGACAGCCATGTTGTTGACCTTGAACTCTGTATTCTTCGTCTGCGTTGGCCCTGTCAACGTTTATTCCATCGGGCAGTTTCACTGGTGGCCAGAAGAAACTGAGGGACATACATTAACTGTTCAGTTACTGTTATGGGTCATTGTTAATATTTTGATGTACACAAACAACGCTGTTAACTTTTTATTGTACATCATGTGCGGATCTGAATTTCGAACGGAAGTGAAGGCTATTTTCCTCACATGCTGTCAACGGAAGGCCGAACAAAGCCACAAACAGGTACGGAACCCCGCTAAACTAAATAATCAACAACATTCAACAAACACATCGTTCGAAATGATCAGTGTTTGACGTTAATTATTACTTGTATCAAGTTGAATGAATGAAAATTATAAGTTTTTGTTAATTTGACATTTTGCGAAATGGCAACAAATTGACACTATTTTGCGAAAATGAGATCGAATTGACATGAGTTTGTGAAAAAGAGTGAAACTTGACATAATTTTACGGAAGTAAGAAAAAGTCGACATAGTGTTGCGAAATTGGCAACAAATTGGCGTAAGGTTTACAAGAAAAGAACATTTGACATAAGACTTTTTTTTATTTTTCTTCTTTTTATTTAACTATTTTTTTATTTTTATTTTTGTAAAATGAGAACAAACCGATATAATTTTGCAAAAGTAAGAACAAGTAACAATATTTTATGTGAAAATGAAACAAATCGGCATATTTTTGTAAAAATGGTATTTAAGTGGCACAAATTTGTATAAATGACAAAAAGTCGACATAATTTTGTAAGAATTGCAAAACGGCTGGGCATATTAAAAACGGGAAAGTGATAGCTATTATTCACTGTAAAATGTATTTAAAATACAATGGACATGTATGTATACACATGTATTCAATGTGAAAGACTTTGTACATTTTATGTAAACATATATTGATTTTGTTTACGCGCTCTTTGCTTCAAACATTCAAAATAAAATTTACTCGAATTGTACAGAAATATCTCTTACAATAGTATCAACTCTTACAATAGTATAATCTCTTATAATAGTATTTACTCTTTCAATAGTATTATCTCTTACACTAGTATTATCTCTTACAATAGTATTAACTCTTACAATAGTATCAACGCTTACAATAGTATTATCTCTTACAATAGTATTATCTCTTACAATAGTATTATCTCTTACAATAGACATATATTCATTTTGTTTACGCGCTCTTTGCTTCAAACTTTCAAAATTTAATTTACTCGTATTGTCCCGAAATATCTCTTACACTACTCGTAGTATCAACGCTTACAATAGTATAATCTGTTACAATAGTGTTATCTCTTACAATAGTATTATCTCTTACAATAGTATTATCTCTTACAATAGTGTTATCTCTTAAAATAGTATAACTATTAACTCTAACAATAGTAGTATCTCTTACAATAATATTATCTCTTACAATAGTGTTATCTTTTAAAATAGTATTAACTCTTATAACAACGCTTTCTCTTACAATAGTAATATCTCAAAAATTTCCTCCTGGCTGACTACAGGCTTGATAAAGAATGAGCATGGAACCAAAGCACTTACTTAAATCTGAGCATTGTCAGACGCTTGCCTTTAGGTTGAATCCAATATTTTACTCGAAGTTAGTTTTTTGTACAATATTTTACGTACGTAGGTATCATGATGTCATTTTGGTTGATATGTTGTAAATATAGCTTTACTGATTTGTATTAAGTCACACATATAATACTGCACCCCAGTAAACTATTTTGTTATTGCCAATTAAAGTACTTTAAACAATAAGGTAAAGCATTTTAAAAATATTTCATACAATAGTACTAATATTATAAACACATGTATATAATAATCATTTTTCTAATTAAGGTTCATTACTTTTTACCAGTACCGATGTTTCTAAACAATTAATTACAAGGATATATTTTATTTTATTAAGTTTCCATGTATACATGTTTGCATATATATAAATATTGTATAGAAAGTATTGATTAAACAATAAATGCGTTGTACATAGATTTGGAATTTGGTATTTGGAATATGACCAGTTTTCTGTATTCCTTTACTATCCTTATATTTATATTATTTACAAAAGTGCAGCAAGTAGATGGCGATATGTCTGAAAGGCACATTAAAGAGACTCCATGATGATTTTTTAATTATCTTTTTTATTTTAGTTTTTTTAAGGGACTAGAAATATTTTTCGCAAACTGTGTACCATTTGGTGAAGGTCTGGACTAATATCTTCTTTGAAGAATTTTTTACTTAAATATTTTAGCTGTTTTCTTTTACCTCAGTGAAGTTCCATGTGTTTTTATAATGTTTTGGAAATATATATAGAACATTTTGGAAGCTTATTACCTTGAGAATGAAGCGCTGTAGCAAAACATAAATAAACTGGTAGATTTTGGCTTCTATATAAAATACTAATTCACTTAAACTTTACTATATGCCATCAAGCAAAAGATGAATGAGCAATACATATATTGCCAATGAGTAACTTTTTGTACGCTGCCGCGGGTCATCAATAGTAAAAGATTGTAGAGAAAAAGATTTAAATATTTTTTGTTTTATGCTTTTAAAATGTCTATTTTTCAGAAGGTGATGGAAAATATTTTATGGAATGCAGTTGACAACAACATCGCTGAATACGATGGATGATTTCAGATCCTATAAAATGTGTCAATTGATTCAATGTACATGAGTTAATAAAGGTTGTAAGAGCAAAAGTTAAAAAAATCAACTCGTAGTGACATTGACCACAGTGATCCCTAACTGAGCCCTAAGACATCCCTAGGCATATACCTACCAAATATAAAAAAACCCATTAATTTAAACATTAAACTAGGTAGAGTAAAGACTCTTTGAATTTACAATTCCGTCTACTGATATCTATCACTGCATGAAGTTTTAATCAAATGTTTTCAACATTTTCAACTTTTCAATTTATTGTCCGGACAAGCATTATTAAAATATTATAAAAGGAGATAATCTAAAAAAAAAACAATGTAAAAATTTGTGTGACTGCACTTCCTCAAACTAGTCTCTATAAGTGTGTGAAGTTTCAAGGAGATCGTATTGCTGATAGTCTAGAAGTTATATACTGGACAATTATTATTAACTTAAGGGAGATAATTCAAAAACAAAACTAAGCAATGAAGATCACTGGCGGAAAGGCGGCGACTACGAGTATATGCTCTCCCTTTGGACAGCGTAAATCTGTTAATATATTTCCGAATCTCTATGAATTCGGGGTATTTTTTAATGTGCATTAGAAAATCTTGTATCAGTTAATCTCAAAGGAAACAGCTGAAAATAAAAGTTTATTTATACATTACTTATACCACCGAATAAGCTTTCGAATGTAGTACTTCAACATGCAATTATATTCCCTAAAAGTCCTTTAAGGAGGTTTTTTTTACATACTTTTAGTGCTTTGTTTTAGGGAATATACTGAATTACCTCACTTGTGACAAATGAACTGAGCTGAAAATGTTTCAAAGAAATTAATGAAAAATAAAATCAAAGAGCTGGGGGGCACTAAAAGTGTTTGAGTTCTGCAATGCCCTTTTTTCTAGAGCAAATTGTTCTTAATGGGTAAACAAATGACGTTCAATTCCTTCCTCCGCTGTTCCTTTTTAGATCGTCATCGTCAGTTACTTACCTTGTTTATACGTTATTCTCAATTATGTGCTGGTATTTTATTTATTTATTTTTTGATAAATTAATTAATTAATTTTTTTTGTTTATTTATTTGCTATGAACTGCATGCATTAGGTTCTCATTTATTTTATATATTTATATATGATGCACTTACCATTTTGTGTAAATAGTAATATTTTGTTTGCTGATCTACAAGGTTTCTGGAGGGGGGGGGGGCTTTTATATGTATATTTAAACAGATATTGTGCTCATTATTCCCATGGTCTGTCTCTTCAATATTAAACAGTTAAGACTGTCCATTACTTTTTAAAACAGGTCTGTCCTAAATTCGATTTACTTGTTTTTTTGTTTTCTGTTAATGTGTTTTTCCCGCCGATTTTCAACAAATAACTTATCATATCTCGGCGATCGGTCGACCTAACCGTCTTCCTGGATAACCAGTGGGAATCCTCTACTTATCTCACATGATTTCTGAACCATATATGAGGGACAAATGGCCATGGGATTCAAAGTCCGAGTTCGATTTTTCACGGCCACATTTTTGCCTCAGCCGAGGATCAAATCAGCGGCCCCTTTGTCACAAATCCGAGGCTCTCCCTATAGAGCTAATAAACGTACGGAAATTCGGATAACAGTTGATGTAAGATGAAGGAATCACTTTTTTCTTTAAGAATTGGAAACGGTTATATGTTTAAAATTGAAACTTAACTGATCTGATGCTGCAGTTAAGTATACTATAAAGTTAAGCATTCATGGATCACCTGTCTTCATCTGGCAGTTTAAACCGTCTTAATTTTATTAAGGTCTAAATTACTTTATTTACAAAAGTAGGGCCCCAATCATTAGTTTAACAGTGGCTTCACGTAGTCATTGTACCAGGGTTTGTTTATACCTAAGCGTAATGCGATGTATTTATTTTATTGCGTTTCCGCATCGGTATGAATTTTCAAACATTATTATGTAGATATTGTTGACACTGCCTAAAATGTGGACAATCTTAAAGGTGATCATTGACGCATCTACCTATGTAAACAACTGTCCGATAAACAGCATTAATATATATTATAATATCTACGCCATAAAATGTTGACCATCATCATATGGCCGCAAACATCACTGACTTTGAAAACAATCATGCTATGATGATGACGTCATTAAATTATCTGACCAACGACTCGCGGCTACGGTAACTTGTTTACGCCACAAAGAAAAGAGCCCATTCATGGTAGACAACCGTACTGTCCGGACAGACCTTTATGGCCATGGTTGTTTGACGTATTTTGAAATCCCTTGAAAGAACAGTGGACGGTTTCGAATACAAAGTAGGACAGGTTCATTATAAACATTTAGCGTGGTAATGAGTAAGCGTAGACTGGTCAATGACCGGTCAAAAAAATGAAGGTCAGCGGCTGCAAACGTAAAAAAACAAAGCTATTTCGTGGACAACTAAGCTGGTCTGTTTATGCACTGAGGACAAATTGCTTACTCGACAGTAATTTATTAATACAATATACACATTTATTGCTCTAAGGTGGATATTTCAACTTTTACTATCAAAATAATCAATGCCCTCCAGTATTTTTTTTATGTTTATAGTGTCTTTTATGTGGGCAAGTTTTTCCAGGGCTGGGAATCAAAACTGCGTCGTATCCTACAAAATGTAAACAAACGCCGCCATCTTGGAACGAAAAACGTATGTTTTTGTTTATAACTTCTTTTGTTGGAAATGACTGAAAACCAGATATATGTATTAACACGCTACACTATTTTCCGCTTCGTTCGGTATATGTTGCTTGCACAACTATTTTGTAAAACAAAAG